TCTGACACCATTCGAGCTCGTTGAAGTTTAGGAAAGATGATATAGTGAGGGGTAAACTTTTGACCTCTTAAAGATTTGAGGTAATTAGGGAAAATTTAATTCTTATAGTTAAATGTTAATTATGTTGTAAAATGTGATTTGTAAGATAAATTGATGATGCATATTGGTAAATACTTGATTGCGAAATAGTTTGGGAAAGAGAAAACCTTGATTCTACCACCCTCAATGTTTTATGAAATTACTTGTGATTTATTACTATGGGTAGAGAATTTTTGATGAATTATATGTTAAATTGTGAAGTATTTGTGTTATGTGAGTTTATGTGTTGAGAAATGATTGTTAAAATGCATATTATGTATGAAATATGCATAGCATGATCATTGGCAGGAGTTCGTCTGGGGAGAGGAGTAGAAATCCATGTGGTATTGGCAATGACCGTTGGAATTGAGAATTAGCTTTGGCACCGACCGCTGGAATCGGGAGGTAGCCCTTGTCCCATGGTTGATTCAAGACTGTCCCACTTATTCTACGAGGGACTCAAACCTAACTAGTCTCCATCGGTTCATGAGGAGCCTAGTTAAGGGTACGACATCCCATCGGATTACATAAGTGTGTGAGTTACCCTTGGTCCAATAGCTCCTTACAAGTAAAAGGTTGGGTTAGTCTGTGAAAGACGTAGCCACGTGAAAGCCACCGGTTTCGTGTCGGAGGTAACAAAAGGATATAAGGCTGGCGCATGATCATGCATATAAGTCTGGCCACATGGTTGTTAGTTTTGTGGTCTGACACTTGTTAAGGGTGCATGGTTATTATTTTTGTGACCTTATGTTATGTTTTTGTGAAATGACATGATATGGTGTTTTGTGGTAAGTCCAGTCACATGGTTGTTAGTTTTGTGAACTATAACCTAATGCTATGTGAAATATATATTTATGTGCCTAATTGTATCTATTTATAATTAGTATGTAACTGCAAGGGTTAAGTGAAACTTGGTTATTGAGTGGTTGTACTCACCCCTCAATTTTTAATATTTTCAGGACCTAACTCATCGGATCCAAGTCGGGAAAAACATACAAAGGCTTAGGATTGGTGGAGTAAATCCTCTATATGCCTCTCTTTTGCTCTTTACATGTGTATTTGTCAATGTCTTTGCCAACTAGTAGCAATTGTCATGATTGGTGCACTACTTACATGATTTTATATTTAACTAGTATATTTTGTGCCCTGAGTTAGTGCGTTTTTATTGTGAACCTGTGGATAAAACCAAAATACTTGTACAAGTAAGAACATATGTATTTTTGAGAAATATAAATGAAATGGTTGATTTTGTACAACTTTTCCTCCTTCTCTATATTTTGTGAAAGTTAGGGTTGAGTGGTGATTTTATGAAACAAGTTTGTTTGATTGCATGTGGTGTATTGCACAAGTCCGCAAGAGTCCATTAAGTGTGGTTGGAGGGTTGTTGTAAGCTATTGGCACGTTTGGTTGAGTTGGAACACCCCATTTGAGAAATTTTGTGAAAATGTATCAAAATGGGTCTTGGTGTCTAACTTTTGATAGAAAATAAATTTGAGTGTGAAACCTATGCCATTAGCTAAAGTTAGAAGAAAGCTCCGTGTAGACACCAAAACCACTTCAATCGGACGTCGGACGGAGATTTAGGATGCGCCGAAAGTTCGTTCCCTGTGTTGTCAAATGACAGCACTAATTTGTTAAATCTCGTGCAATGCACCGTGGCGCATGGCACAGAGGAGACACGCCGCGGTGCACGTGTCATTTTCTATACAGAAATAATTTTTGAATTTTAAAACTCATTATTTAGGACTCAATTAGTTTCCAAACTTTCACTTTGTTTTTAAAACTCTAATTTGGAGTCCCTAAATTATGTTTGAGATTTAAACTATCGAGATTGGAATTCCTATGAAATAATTTTTGTGAAATTCTCTTTAAAATCTCAGATAACTATGATTTGGAGTTAATCGTAGTTTAACCTTAGAGAGGTTACAGGTAATTTAAGAACAACATTGCTCTTTTGAGAATAATTTAGTGATAAAATTACACCTTAACCTAAAAAAATAGAAGATCAAAGATATCAGGCTACATAGAAAGCTTAATACAAGGATTTTTTTGTTAAAGATTTTTAATAAACTCTGTGTGTGTTTGGTTTTTAGTTTGCTAAAAGTTCATTTGATGAAAGTCTATTTGATGAAAGTCAGTTCTTGTAATCAAATTTGTATTTGGATACATTTTTTTAAAAGTCAATTTAGTAAATTGAAAGTTGTTTGGATTAACGATGATTTGTGCTTTTGAAATGTACTTTTGAATATATAATGACCACAAATGACATTGATTTATGATAATTTATAACTTTTGTTATACAAATATAATATATTAAAAATGTGAAAAAAATTCAAAATAACATAAAATTTAATATGTTAAATAATAAGAATAAAAAATGTAAAGTTTAATATTGAAAAAAAATGTAATAAATAATTCAACAGTCATTAATATTGAATGGCATACCCTATAAATAGGATTAAAAATATTTTTTTCTTTTTCATATACAAAAGGTTTATAAAATTGCTTCCCTATATACACTAAATTCAAATTCTAATAAAACAAAGCACGCAATAAGTACTATAACGGAATAAAGGTAGTATAGTAAATTCAAAAACTCAATACCAAAAAGTCAGTTTGAAAAGCTTCAAAAAGTTAAGTTTTCAAATCTACTTTCAATAGCTTTCTTAATATACATTTAAAAAGTTAGTTTGCTCAATCATAAAATTCTCAAACAACATCCTTCATTCAAAAAGTGTAAAAGTACATTTCAAAAGCTAAAAGTTATGTATCCAAACAAGCTCCCAATTGGATTTCAAGATTTTTTTATTTGTTAGCATATCTTTATCTAAATTTTTTATACAATGCTTTATGGTCTTGGATACTCCCCCTCGACCTCTATTATAAAACATTTATAATCAACTATTTTATTGAAATTTATAAATGGTTGGTTCATTAAACATGTCTCAAAATAAAAAAAAATCAACTTTATCTCTATCAAAAACATGATAAGGGAGATACACAATATACAATGAGCAATAAAATTAAACATACAACAAGAGTAAATTGAAAAATAATAATAAATAAATTTTGTGCACCTTATGTTAATGACCAAATAATTTTTCTCAGTGTTTTATAATAGTAGAGAAGTATAAAAAAAGGATGACCAATCTCCCTTAAAAGTTGGCTTTCCTCCTTTAAAAAGAAGGTAGAGGAGGAGCAAATATAGATCTAGATTATTAAATTGATTTTAATTATTTAGATTTATAATGTTTTGGGCTAATGAGGTCAAATTTATTAATGATCAAAAGAGTTTACAAAGTACCAACATAAAATTCAAAAACAGATAAACCCAACCCAGAAACAAACAAAAACAACAAAAGAAACATCCAATGATGGTAAAGAAACACTCATAAGGACACCCTGCAATCCAACAATGAAATAGCCAACATATGATGCTCCGAGGACTAGAAAAATGGTTATAAAGGGTAGTAATCCTAAGATTTGCTCTACAATAGAGCTCAACCCCTTAGACGCCCTTGCTACTTCTACACTTATAGCTTTCAAACACTGCCTCAAACCACTGCATGATTGTAGAAACCTTATGGTTTTGGATATAACTAGACCTTAATCTTTTGTATGATTTTATTGTGGCCTTATAATTCTAAAAAAAAAACACTGCCTTGAACCAAAGGAGGAAGAAACTCTCTGAAAGCCTTCGCACACCTCCAGAAATTCAGAACACATTGCAGAAATTAGCCATTCAGTGTTTAACCACAGGTCAAATCCACCTTTAACCTCATGTCTTAACAATGTCACCTCATATATAGCAACTAATACACCGCTGCAAGTATAACATCCTGGTGGAACCCATCTCTTGTCATCTACTTTTTAACAATTTTTCCACTGATTGCAGTCAAATCATCATGCCAACATAGACACTAGCAGAATCCCATGGCACTAACATCTATATTCTCCAATCCATCATCAGATAAAGGAGTGCATTTTAGATTATTCATTAATCTCATTCCAATTTCAATGATTCTAGCAGGAAGGAAAATGTCATGCCACTTGTTTTCCCCAAACTCAGAATATTTATCATCAACCAAATTCTCACACAAAGTCATATAGAGACAATGAAAGGCCATGCCAAGTGGAGCAATTCAAAACCAAACTCAATATCACCTCTAGATTTGTCTCATTCTCCATTATATTTAAGTTCCATTGCCTCTGAAAGTTGTATTCTATGAGAAAGAGTAGCCACTGAACCTTTGAAATCTTCTCCAATTGTTACGCCTAGAATAGCCAATCTGAGTTCCGTCACCACTGCCAAATATTGAAGTCACTGGTGTAGAAGAAATTGTTTACTCAATTTATTTCTTTAATTGGCCAAAGAACTACTCCCATAACCTAATTACTATCACCACTCGTCGATCTAAATATTGCCAATGTTGATTTCTTCATCCTCAATATCATTGTCTTTAGATCTGCCAGAAAAAGCTCATCACCAAACTCAGTTTGAAAACAACTATCCTCTTTCTTTCTCGATCACATCGATTTGTGATTTTGCTACTCTCCATCAGACCTTGAATCGTGATTTGCTCCATTCTTCACCACCTTTGTTTTTGTCAAAAACTCAACCTCTGTTTTTGATGATACGATAATGCTGACACTTAAGGTGCTCCCCCTTAATGGCCGAAAAGACGCGTTAGGAACTAAACTCTCACCAAAGGAGAGGACTAATGCTCACACTAAGGAAACCCCAGGAGAGAAACTAAACCCTTACAAGCGAAGGGAACTTTTCACATGGATACATAAGCCTCACAAAGTACAGATTTAATTTGAATTGTTCATATTTATTCATTGACCTCTCAAGTATCATTTTCTATCATATCTATTCACTGACAATATTGCAAACTTACATCAAAACTGGGCTGCCTATGTAGTGAATGATGACTTCTTTATTGAACTCTTTTGTGGCCAAATACAATAGCTTCTGTCAAGTATTATCACATTTCTTTCTTCACCACATGCCACATATTATGATTATAATTATATGAAATATATTTTCGTTACTTAAAGTTAGTTCTTTTTATCATATATACCCGTGCATCTGTTGCAAACTTACATCAAAACTGGTGTGGGATGCTATACATTGGGCTGAGCCCAAGGTATTTAGCAAGGTGCATTGTCCATATTTGAACGACAGCAACAAACTTATGACGATTCAGCACCACCAACATTAGAAGTGTTGTCAATCATCTGTTTAGTTGATATCACCCTGTCCAAGGTCTCATCTGAAACTACGATCCCTGTTGTCTCCAAGCTCGCAACTACTGCTACTGCCGCATCTAGTTCCCCAAGATCAAGGCACACTGAGATGATCTCATCATAGAGCGGTCTGAAATTTGGCATTAAAAAGGAACTTGTAAGCAGCGAACTACGTATATGGGAACAGGGAAAGTGGTAAACAAATGTTGCCTTCATCTTACAGTTAACAATCAAAGAGATAAAAATATCGCACCATCTAACATAACCCAAAAGGCCGACAACCAACAATGCCATCAATGCCCAAAAGAAAGAAAGACAAATTAAAACGAAGGTGGAAACAAAAAAAGGAAACTTTCTATAAAGTTATGTAGAGCTTTAGTATTTAAGAAAGCATGGAATGAGTTGAGTTTCAAAATTTTCATTCATCAGGTAAAGCAATGTAGAATTACAGGAGCATTGTCATTAGAAAAAATAGAATTACCTCCCAAATTTATAACCAAGACTATGAGTCGTCTGCAATATCGTCAAGAAAGATGAAGGCAAAGGTGCTCTTATGGCAGCACGCAATATCATAGCACAATCACCAATAGTCGGTGTTCCTCCTAGTTCTATAACCTGCATCATACAACCCAACATCTCATTCAGCATTTAGTTTTTCTTCTTCATTGGTGAAATCAAGAAATCATTATGCCTGTATCAGCGATTGCTCTTAATATCATACAGAACTTTTAACAAGACCAGAGGAAGTCTCGTAGATAGTTACAAGAGTAACAGGTATGCATGTGCGCGCGCATGTCGAAGCCAAACTTAGAATATGAATTAATTTTACACTTACATTATGATTTAACTAAGAAGGCCATTAGAAGAACCAGTAAGGAGGGTTGAGCAAATGGCATTTAGTCTTATGAAAAGATGTAGTGCTATGTCTGGTGTCATGGAAGTAGAAATGAGGGTAGAAGTCACCAAAATGCTTGTTTGGTTAGATGGAAGCTGAAAATTTTCCATTTCCATTTTCATCAAAATGGGTGGAAGTTAATTCTTCCTCGTGACCATAGAAATGAGCAGAGTTCCATGGAATTGTATTTTTAAAATCATTTTGTCCTTAATTATTTAACTTAACTAACAAATTTACCCTTTCACCATTTTTAGTCCCATCCACTATACCTGACACTTCATACACCCTATTTGGTATCTTGGAAGAGCTTTTTATGAAAGTAGAAATGAAAGTGGAAGTGGGGATTTAAAGTCTGTTTGGTATCCCTATGGAAATTTTCTATCATTTTAATTTAACTTATGTAGATGTAATATGAAAAGACCGTGATATTCATCAGTAACAACTCCCAGTGCTTGGACAACCACCATCCTAGAAGACTGTGGACTGTTGTGAACCACTGACCTCAAACTACTGCTTAGACTCCATTTACAGCAAGAGAAAAAAACCAGAAATCAAATACACATTTATCAGGAAGCAAGACAGCCATTTCCAAACAAGCAATTGAACAAAATCCACGCAGACTTCCATGGGTGAAATTAAAACTAAGAATAAAATCTGCTCTTCATCGAGTGAAGAGTGGCATTACAAATCTTTATTGCAGATAATAGGAGGCAGTTGACGTTGCAGGAGAGAAGTGGGGAAGGTTGGGTGAGAGGGCGTGGAGGAAGGGATAGCACTAAACACTTCCATTTCCATGCTCTCTTTGGTTCCCATGTGCTAAACGGGGCCTTAGTGGCAATGATTGCTTTTGATTGGTGTATCGTGACCCCATTGCCCTATAGTCTCCATCTCGCAAGCTCTTTACCAAAGTTCCCATTTTTTGTGAAAGCGCTGGTTCTCTTTTTCTGTACCTCCTACCCCCAACCTCATTTTCATAAATATGCCCCCTGCCATTTTTGACACTGTCTCAAGTCTCAACCTCCTTCACCAACATCAGCAACTAAGCTCAAAAGGTGGTTATCAAATATGATATGGGTTCAACAGCAGGCAGGTGGTTTCAGCATCAGACCACTGAACCACAATCAATTTGTGGCTCACTTCAATTATGATAAACGGCGGTCTCAATAGTTTCTGATCTATGCAAAAATTTCTGTTTCAGATCTCGCCCAATTTTTCATATCTTTATTTCAAATTTATGTTTCTTGTTATGGTAAATGAATCTTGTTTATTCTAGTTTGAATGGGTTCTTCAAAGGTGGGTGTTGATTGTGGTACACATTGGTGACAATTGGTGTTCTTGGCTGGACATGATGGCTACAGTGAGCGTTGATGGGGGTACACAGTTCTTCATGGTGGAATAATTTCCATAGATTTTTTTTTTATTTTGCTCAAGGCATTATGATTTTTCAATATTATAAACACGTATATCATATTGAAATTATATATGAATTCTGTGGACATACCAAATATATTTTTTTAATCTAGTTCTACTTTTTATTCCATTTCTACTTCTTATTCCACTTCTACTTGCACTTTCATCAAAACCAATTCCAACTACCAAACACGACAGAGGGAGTTCCAGATACCAAACGGGGTAGAGAAAGACCAAGAAAGACACTTGAGGAGGTCATTGATCAGAACCTCTTGGTGAATGATATACAAAGTGTTTTGCAATCCATATAGCTAACTTTACTTAATTGGGATAAGAATTGATGCTATTGAAGAAGCAAAAATTCTAATGCCTACATGAAATCAAGTTAACTAGTAGCTGAAACCAATTTAAAACAACAAAGACCATAAAAATGACTGCTAAAAATAAGATGCACATGAATATGTAATAAAGGTGTGGTTACTTGCCTTCTGCATAACTTTAATCGCTAACTCAACTTCCCATTCCTGAGACCACCTACGTGGACATCTGTTCTTCAATTCTTTCTCCCATGTCCATCCCCAAGCATCAGCTATGGTATACATGTCTGATACATCAAACACTTTCCGTTTTCTTAGCTCCTTAAATGCTTCAAATATGTCCTCAGGAAACCAATCATCATCATCATCATCCTGCATGGAAATCCTTTAGGTCTCAGAAGCACATTAACAAGTTGACAGTCGATAGAAACTTGGTAGTATGGGATCCCACTAAACAGTATGGGATGCTTAATGGGGTATTTAAAAAGGTTAGTTCTCCAATCTCAACAGCCAGCTTTTGGGTTAGGGTTTCCATCTCACTTTAGTACCCATCAACAATAAATACTAGCAAATAATATGCAAGACTGTCTGGAAAAATACTCACCCAGATGCTGCTTATAGCCTGGGATTTTTAGCATATTTGCCTAACTGACTAAGCAAGTTAAATAAACACCATTCCCACACTTAAAAAAAGGGGTAAAGGCCACCATGTGACTTTCATACCTCAACCTGCAACTTAGACACTTTTTTTGACTTTTTTGATGAGGAGTTTGGTTGGTCAGAATCTTTCAACAATTGAACTCCAATCATTTGAAGGGACTTTTGAGTTTCAACTTCATTGTCCTTCACCCTGTCTACATCTTGGTTGTCAGCTGGTTCTGCTTCTTCAGGCTGTTCTGCTTCCTCTTCCTCCTCCTCATCAGCTTCATCATCTTCAACTTCTTTTGCAGCATCTTCCACAGCTTCAACATCATCCAAAATTTCAGGAGGCCCAGGTTTACCGGAATCCATTGGCTTTTCATGATTATTAGTCATGCCTTCTCCCAAGAAGCGTCGCTTCCAAAATTCTGTGTCTCCTTCATACAGTTTTATTCTTGAAATAAATGCATCCAACTCTTCATCCACCTAGAAAATAAACCGCATTCAAATTTATACATTATATCTTGAAGATCAAGGCAAGAATAAATTAAAAGGCAATTTCTTAACATGTGTGTTATGTATGAATACTGGATAAAGGATTTACCTCTTCTTCCTCCTCCTCCACAGGAGGAACCCAAAGGGGCCGACCGCGAGATCGATTTATTCTCCTTGCTTTCTGTACACGCTGGTAAAGAACATTTCTAGTTCCATCAGTTGGCAGGCCTTGTGCTTCCAGTTCTTCCTTCAATTCTGACACTATCATCTTACTAGCAGCCTTAGGCTTTAAAACGTTCTGCTCAGGACCCTTTATAATTTTCTTTAACCTCTCCTCCACTTTAATGTAATCAAATTCAGATGCACCATCACCTAAAACTGAAAGTCCTTCATTTTGCAAGGTCTTTAGAAGTTTACGATGGTGTAGTTTCCACTCCTCAAGACATCTTTGTTTAAAGGAGGTTTCCATAGGGTTGGAATATACAAATCCAGCAGCATCAGGGTCTAGAGGTGTTTTTCCTCTTCGAGGCACCCATCGCTTGCGCGCTCCAGTAAGGCCACCCTCTGCAATATATCTGGTAATGAAATAGGAAGAATGCTTTTGATTATTGCTGGCACCTGCCTTAAATAGAGGGGGAAAGAAAAAATGAAACCAGAAAGAATATGCTAAAATGGGGTACAGAGAAGAACGAAAACCTGGCAGAGAATGAAAGAATTCATGAATCATCAAGCTGAGTAGCATCATTACAAGCTTTCCTCTTTCATCCACTCTCTCCCTAACTAACTACCTGCAACTCATTTCATGTAATCCCAACCATACCCCTCTAACAGACTCTTACTGCTAAAATATACTAGGCCCTCTTTACTGCATAACCATGTATCAAAAAGTTATTTGACTATAGGAACTAGGAGTTACTTATTACCAATATTTAGAATTTGATCAGTTACTTTGCAGTTATACTGTATTAAAGAAGTAAACTATAGAAACACACAACTCATCACCATGAGATTAGCCTGCACGCTGCCCATGCACAGCATCTAGAAATCTAAATTTTCTTTGAAAAAAGATGAAATTTAAATTCAAACTAAAAGTTAATAATCATAATAGCCTCAATTAGGGATTCATTGCCCAAATCAAGGATAGATACTGTCACACAAACACGCACATAGAATGCAGAAGAAACATTGCAACAGAAACAATACCTAGCAATGTAATCAATCTCATAACCAAGTTCAGCCTCCTCTTGTAAGGGTTCAATCCATGAGCTGACCAACGTGCGGTATTTTCTGCTCAATATCATTGCCCGTGGTGGAATTGCTTGCTTATCTTTGGCCATAGCTTCTAAAGCTTCAAGCATTTCAACAATCCTCCCTGAATTTAAAAATGACTACAAGCTGAGGCAACCATTTGAAATAGTTGTAGGAGAATTCAGGCTAAAAATCCTTCCAAAGTTAATTCCAACTCTCCTCCTCAATAAACCTTAGTATCAGATTAGGAGCAACATAACCAATATAAATTTCTTAGTCAGCATAAATACCTGTATCACACAGTAAAAGGATTCAACACTGTATTTTCTTGAACACAAGTTGGTAAGAAGGGGTCAGATGCCCGAAGAGTACATTCACTGGTACTAAACAGTTTTCAACTTTTCAGTTATTATTACAAATAAATATGCTGAAATGAGGAAGAGATGGGAGAAACAAAAGAATGGAGGGTTACCAAACGGGATAAGGACAGGAAAGAGAACTATATCATAAAGGAGATAGGAGGATTACCAAAAGCAGTAAGGACGGGAAAGAGAATTATATTATACAGGCGACAGAATGAAATTTCAAATTCTGTAAAAGTAGAGATAACATCAGTAAAAATGACAAAACAGCATTATAAAGTAATATAGCCTTACCTTCTCGACACAAAGCCCGTAGATACAGTGAAAGTGGATCTCCGTATTTCCCTTCATTATGAACCAAAGTTGTACCACCTTCAAAGTTTTCAAGAGCACGAAAATGCCTGATAGCTTCTCGTACTACACAGTATTTAGTAAAACATTCCACCAACAGCCTGAAAAGGTGGTTAAACAGGCTAGAAGAAAAAATCAAGGTGACAAAATATAGGACCCACTGCCAAAGTGAAGTAACTTAGGAGCTTAGTTAATACATAAATCCCCAAAGACTATAAGTTATTATTCAGTTTTCTACAGAGCACATAAAACTTAGAGGGGAACTAAAATTAATGCATAGCTTAGTAGACTGTCCCCAAAATGACAAAATTTATCATAGCTATGTTATCATGTGTGCAGCATTTAGCATAATAGAGAGTCAGGTTTAAAAAAAAAAAAACTATGAAGATAATGCGTCTTACGCATGGGTCTTAGCATTTGGTTGTATCCGCTTGTGATCTTCAACCATCATGCCAAGTAGCTCAGCAACATCTTGAATTCTAAATGTCATAGGAAAAAAAAAAAAACAGGGTGATCAAATCAAACATACAATACTAACCAATCTAGAGATGATTAAATTTAAGGAACCATAGGGAAGACTTCACATTATTCTTCATAAAACTGAAAACAAGTAAAATGTGAGTAAATTAGCACATATTAAAGAGAAAATTAAAGGCATTACAGCCTCTTATGTCTTAGAATATAGATCAAAGGGCAGGAAATGGTGTTAAATGATAAGTATATATAATTCATGTTAGCAAATTTGCTTATACTTCAAGAACCATGCAGGTTGAGGCTGAGAAACAATTTAAACTCATTGAGAATATGGACTATCATGCAACAATATTGCTATATGGAAATGTTGTGCATGGCACACACAAGCAATGCACTAACCTGTCATAAGATTCAGCTCTAGTATATGCTTGAATAACCCAATTGTAGGTCTCTGTGTCAGGCTTCATATAATCTGTCTCAAAAAGATAAACCATTTCACATGGAAAAATATTTGAGCAAGATACTGGATAAAATTTTTCTAGCATTTGAAACTTGAGAAGGAGACAAGTTTAACACAAGAAACACACACTGCGAAACCAAGATTATACTGAAAAGGTTAACAGAATTAATAGCAGTAAAGAAATATAAGCACCAGAAAAGGGGCATGGAAGAAGTAAAAGAAGATATTGACCTTCTCCAAATTCCATATTCTCAAATGTAGCAAAAGCTATTTCAGGTATTCCGCAGCTAGCCTAATTCAGTTAAAGCAAGAGAGATGACATAAGTTTGGTGCAATATTCAATCATAATGTGAAGTAGCTAGCAAAACTCAAACAACCTCAATCAGTTTTTCACAATTAATTGCAAATTTATTAACAGAAATAACAATTGTTTGTGCAAAACATGTGAAACTAATGTACCCCAGCCACATCTTCTCTTCAGAAGAACCACATTAATTACCTTCACGAAGACTTACAATAAAAAAGAGAACCACGAATTACAAAGCAAGGATTTGATTGGTGCTTTCAGGAAGAGGATAAAAAATTAATATGGCCCACGAATCAGGGCCAGAATAGTCATCAAATGGAAAATACCTAAGAAGAAAGAACTGCTTGTACAGCCTGTAGCTGTCAAAGTATTCTGACGTCTATGACCTACTCAGTCTCATCAATGCAAAAGAAAGAAATGAAAGAGAGAGCAATAACCACATTCAGGAAGGGCACCTGCACGCTGAGCAGACAATTGAAATGGAATGTTGTTGCCATCCTCCCTGCCGCCTCCATCTCATATGCAATTTCCAAGGCATTGGAATGGTCCCCCACTTTGCAGTCTTCCTCAATTAGAAGATCATAAACCTTATCAGCAGCTCTCAGGCCTCCTTTGGCACCTTTGAAGAACACTCGGTTGGCATCTTCCAAATGATTGTTCCTAACAAGTTCCTCTGCATGAGATGATACGGGTCACAAAGACCACATCCGAAACCATAAAATAAAGAGGTTGTGTTCAATAAATGCATCAAATGAATAATTTAGAGGTTTTCGTACCAATAAGCACCATCCATGCTTGACGTATATCATAATTTAGATTTTCCATAGCCGCAAGTATTTCTAGACCTCTGGAGGTACGCCCTTTGCACCCGAACAATCTAATCAAGGCCAGAAATGTCTCGTGAACAGGACGAAGCCCTGCACTCAACTCTCTTCTCAGTGATTGCATCTGCATATACGTAAGGATATATACGTTTTAGTTTCAAAAAGGCCCTGGGTTTGAGCTCAAACCCGAAATTGATCCCTTGTTTTTTTTTCCTTGCTCAGTTCTATTTTGCCCCATTATTAAGTCCGTGAAAAAACATAGGTTTCAACTTGGAGACAATATTTACAAAAATATTATTGGAGACGATGTTTTGCACGAAGAAATTTGCCTTAACAAGCGCATTGCAGGATTTTGTGTGCAGCCAAGTGATAAAAAAGGGAATACCGCGGCTTCTTCATCACCATTGAGGACATGCGACACTATCAAGCCATGAAAGGACCTAGGACCGGGGCTGAGCCCAGCAGCAATCATGTCGTAGATAACCTCAGAGACACTGACGGGGTCGTGATTCCGGGCACGGTCCATGAGCTCCTCCATAAAAGTGAAGCGAAGCACATTCTCGAGGGCTGCGTCGTCATCCTTTAGCTGCCTCTTCCTTCTCGTTCGCTTCTCTGGAGCTGAAACCGCAGCCCGAATGACGACGCTTCGACGAGATAGTCGACTCAATTGAATGGGAAAGATGTGGAAGGCAGGAGAGCAGTGGACATGGGGATAAGAAATCGGGAGTGTCAGAGCAAGTGACACTGTGAAACGCAGCTGAGGCAGCTGCTGAACGTAGATAATTCTGGTGAGGCAGACAGCGAATCCGAGCGCGAACAATGTGATTCCAAATTTCCAACGACGAGTCGTTTATTTTTGTTGTTGAAATATTAAAGGTAAAGTAACAAATTTAGTCATATATTAGTTTTAAATAGTATCTGATAATATAAATTATTAAATAATACAAAATAAATTACAAACTTTTAAAAATGGAATATCATTAGCCTGCTATTAACTTCACTAACGGATGTCATGTGGGGCTCATAATGACACGTGATGCGACATGGGCACAACATGTCAGTATGATAAATATGTAAATTTAGTCACAAACTATTTTTTGAAGAGTATTGGGTAGCTTCTATTGTAAAAAAACAAATCATCCAATACTTTTTCCTCAATTTTGACCAAAACACCATTTATTTTCATACTTATGAGACCCACAAAGCATTAATTTTTTCAATCTTCTTGCTTTTGTTCTCAATATCAACTCCAGAAGAAGAGGTTCAATGAGTTTTTATTTAAAGACATTTACAAGGATGATAACAATAAAGTAGATCTTGAATTTACTACACATGAGAAAAGCTTAATTTTAATTTAATTTAGCCACGAATTATTTCTTCTACTTTGTTAACATCATCTTCATAAAATGTCTTCAAATAAGAACTCTTTGAACTTTTTTTTCGAGCTAAGATTGAAAATGAAGGCAAGAAGATTGAAGAGATTAATCCTTTGTTGCCTCATAATTATAAAAATAATTGGTGTTTGGTCAAAATTGAGAGGAAGGTGTTGGATGGTCCTTTCTTTTATAGTAAAGGTTACCGATTGCTTCTCAAAAAATAATTTGTGGCTCAATTTATACCTTTATCATGTTGACATATCGTGCTCATGACATGCCATATGCCATTGTGGGCCCCATATAACGTCCGTAAGTTGAAGTTAACAGTAGGTTATTAGATGCTCTATTTTTTAAAATTTATGATTTATTTTACACTATTTGATAGTTTAGACTACCAGATGCTCCTCGAAAAATAGTACGTGGCCAAATTTGCACCTTTACCTAACATTATATGTATATATATAATAAGGAAAATGACAACTAAGATCCCCTTAAGGTTATTAATTTTAATTAAGGATTATAAAATATTGAAATCTAATAAAAGACCACAGTCCTTACTTGAGCTAAAAAACATATATGACTTTACAAGATTGCCCTCTGCTAAACACTAAATGTAGATAACAACTTACAATGTGTTCTCTGGGTATGAAAAATTTTCTCCCATACTTTGCTTGCTACTCTCCTTGCCTTCGATCCTAGTCTTTAGTGGAGTGAATCGTCATTTAGATCATCACCTTCTCCCCTCTTCGTAATCTAAAAGTACATGCATTGCTTTTTTTTTCTTGACTTTTACATTTCTCCCTTTTCTCTATCTTTGTTATCGAACCATTGTGATTGTCTGTGGTGCATATGAAATAAATACTCCACTTTACATCGTAATCTATTGCTTCTCTTCCATATCTAGAAAAAAAGTAATCTTATTGATGATTATATATGCAAGAAAAAATGAGAGCATCGTGATTTCTAATAAAGACAGTGTTGGATAAAATTGAGTGAAAGAATTATATTGTTTCTTATCATCATGCTGCAAAATTTTTCTTTTTTGTGATGAGAAGTGAGCTAATGTTGAAAAATGTAACATAGATGCTAAATTTTTGAAGTTATAGTTGGGATTACTAGAAGGATAGTTGTGAAACAATAAATTTGTACATTACTTCTAGTTCTTTCAAGTTTAATTCCCATGTAACAAGTACTTTAGTAAAAGAAGTATTTTTGTTTGTTTTCACATTGAATGATATTTTGTAAAAGATTGACAAGGGAAGGTGACCCATAAAGATCGGAGATTAATTTTTAAATTGATTAAAGAAGACATAAATTATTAAGAATTGTTGAGGATGGTATCACCACTAACAAGAGTCTAAAGTATTGCAACTAACTTGAAATTTACAGTGAAGTTTGATAACAATAAATTCGTAGATCTTTAAGATGATGAGATAGTACAATATTTAATAAAATATAATGATGAGTTTGCACATGTATATGTTGAAAAAAAGGATGATGAAATTATAGATGAAGCAATAGAGTATTTAATGGAATAAGTTGTTGTTCTATATTATTAGTAATTTTAATTAGTTTAATCACTATTTTTGTTGACTTGTGAATAATTGTAAATGCAAGATGGAGGATTTTTTAGCATGTTTACTACTAAGATCTCCCTTTGGGCAAAAACTTGAAGGTATATCACTCTTTTTGCCATATTCAGCGTGAAATACTCTTACACCACTCCTTAAGGTTAATTCAATAAAATGAAAGGGTTTATTTAGGGGTGTTAGACAAACCTTTGATGACAATGTAACTACATTCAAAAAAGCAATATATAAGTATAGCCTTACTCATAAATTTAGTTACATATTTGTGAGAAATATCCTTAAGAAGATTGTTGTCAAATGCAATGGTTGTAAATGGAAGACAATAGCCTATGCTTTTGGCAAGACAACCTTGTGCAAAAAATTTCCACAATGAACAAACACATTCTGTTTATGACGACCTCTTATTAAATTGAAAGGCTAGCTTAAGTAGTGTCATCAATTATCACTAATGCCATAACGAGGAATATGGAGAAAACTCTAAATGAGATCAAACAAGATCTTTATAAAGAGTATGGCTTGAACCTCACATATCAACAAGCTTTTAGGGGAAAAGATAGGTCATCGGATGATATACATAGGTTTTCACAATAATCATATATATTGATCCTATGGCCTTATGAGAAATTGAAGGAAACAGACCTAAACACAATTACAAAGTGGCTTGCCTTGACAAATAACACATTTGACAGACTTTTTATTGCATGTGGATGCTGCATCAAAAGATTTCTCCAAGGTGCTTGTCCAATGTTGTTTATTGATGGAAGTCATTTAAGCACTGCATACAGTGGAACTTTGTTAGCAGCTTCTACAATTGATACAAGTAATTACTTATTCCCTTTGGCTTATGCTATAAGGGGTGGAGAAATATATAATAATTGGGCTTGGTTTCTTGAAAATGTGAGAGAGATCACATACGAAGTTTAATTGACCATAGTATCAGACAAGCATAAAGCTATTATCAATGCAGTGTGTGCAATACATGCCTTCTGTTATCATCATGTCAAGAAAATTACAACTATAAGTTTATGATAATTAAAAAAGGCATACGAAGGATTGATGGGAAGACTTCGGAAGATGCATTTAAGTTTCTGGACAATGTTGCACATGCAATGGTGGAAACAAAATTTCATGCCGCTACGGTTAATTTGATAGTTTTCTCTCCACAATTGATAAAATGGTTAAAAACAAATGGGAATATAAATTATTGGGCCCTAGTAAGATTTTTATGTAAAAGATGAGACAACATAACAATAAATCATAGTAAATCTTCTAATGTTATGGCTAGCAAAAGAGAGAAAACATAATATATGTGCATTGATGAAGGATTTTCCTTCCTCTTCTTTTTTCATCGTGTTCTATCTCTTCATCCTCATCCTTTTCAACTACTTCCTCTTGTCTTCTTTTATCTTAGAGCTTGAGAAGTTTTTATGAAATTCCATGTGTAAAGTTTACTACATCTCTATATAATTTTTTTATATCTTACATCATTTAAAGCATCATAAGTTTTAAATCATATAAAAGATGACCTTACTAATTAAGAGCAATCATTTTGCTTTTATTGAATCATAAAATGAATTCCTCTGTGAAAGCTCCACCAAAAAGCTACCATTTCCTTTAGAAGGGTGATATAAAATGTCATAGTTACTTGCTTTCTCAAGATACACCTTTGTTGTGACCCACTTCTTTATCTAATGTTTTAAAGCATCTTCCTGTGATCACATCCCATTTAGTTCTAGCAGAAACATTTCAAAATAGAAAATTTGTGTATTTACCTTAAATTCATGTACCCCATGGAAATTAGTTGAAAATAATTTAACAAATAACACATTTATCTTAAGTGATTCATGTATTGTAAAGGAAACCAGCATCCCTAACATCTTTTTATGGCCATCCTTCTTCTAATGTGCTTTGTATTCATCTTTTTTTCTTTCCAAGCTCAAAGACCACGAAAGATGACCAATCATAATGTACACTTTCTAACTTTAATCCAGATATAACCATCAATGATTTACCACTTGCCCTAAGGAAGTTCCGCAATAACTCTCTAAAAACTTCAATCTAGCTTTAAGCCCTTGTTGATGCTCCGCAATTGCCTTCTCTATTTCATACATATGCTTTACTCTCCTTATAAGTTTTCTAAAGCTCTATTTATAACTTTTTTCACACCTTTTCAGCCTCTTATTTCCATCTTATCTCGTTTGATTTTATAAGATATCATTTAATTTTGTAAAGTGATTAAATTACTTTACACCATTAATCATTACTCCAAATATTATTGTGACAATTAGGGATTAACTATCCTAATCACCTCATTAGCAAATGACATGCAGCAATGACAAACCTTGTACAAGCCAAAATGTGAAAAACTCTCAAATAATAATAATAAAACTCAGCTCACAAAATAATAATAACTCGTGTAAGCCAAAATGTGAGAAACCTTCAAATCATCAACTAAACTCTTAACTCACCAAACATTTAACTTACGTAAGCCAAAACGTGAGAAACCTTTAAAATCCCCAGTTGAGATCTTGAAATCATTAGAAGCACTGCTTAAGATAGAGGGATTTTAAACTCTACGTACCTCAAAAGTTATTCATCGACCATTAGAGCTCAAAACCTTTGCTTCCTCCAACTAAATACTCATTCTTGTGTTTGTCATCCTCTTTCTTTATTCAATTTCATTTCTTTTCATTAAAGGTAAAATTGCATTTTTGGTGCGAAAAAATATTGCAATAAGAGCCAAAAGGCCTGCAGTATAATATCAAATTTGTTGAGGCCCAAAGTGCAACAAAGTTTGTTTTTAGGGCCTTAATGCCATTCTCCCTTAATAATTAGTGTTAATCACATCTTTCAAAAATAAAAAATAAAAAAATTAGTGTTAGTCATGAGCTTTTGAAAAATTAACATTTAAAACATTATTATTACAAAATATCAATTTTAAAGAATATTTTTAGGATTAGAAGTTCTTATTTAAATATCTTTCACAGTCAATAAATATATTTTACATGTTTTAATTAAATTTTATTATTTTAATTATGACTAGTCTAACTTCAATTTGACTTTCTATTAAACTACTGACCCTTGAATCACTATTTCAACTATTTTAATAACTAATTTGATTTTCAATACTTTTTTTTTCAACATTTTTTCCTTGATAAAACTAGTACTTCGAAGATTTCAGCTTGTAAGGTATTATTCTTCAATTTTTTTTTTGGAATATATTATGCGGTTCTTTAAGCTCATATTTTCATTTTTTTTCAAGTTTGAATTTGGTTGTATTCGCTTAAGCTTTTAGAGTTGTCAAATGAGATTAATGCATTGTTGCTATATATCAAAGGCCTTAAACAAAATTAATTGGATTAATTTAACATTTCTAGCACTACATGGAAAAGTAGTTGGGGTGGCCTGGTGCGCACAAAAATAAGAGAGACTTATCATCTCCAAATTCCCTATAACATAATGTGATTCTTGTTGGCACAAAAAAAAAAAAAAAAAAAAACTAAACGTAATTCTTTGAAAAATAATATTGTAATAAGACACGCATCGTGTCTTGGAACATGGATGTTTATATAATAAATTTATACTCATTTCAGTTAAAAATTATAAAATATTTTTAATTGAATCTCATTTTTTAATAAAACAATTATTTATCTTTAAGTCAACATAATTTTTTTATATTTATTCCTTATTTATTTAAAATAAATATAAAATAATTTATTTATTAAACATACTTAAAAAAGGTAATAGTTATATTTTAAAGTACCCCAATAAAAACATTTTATATTTTTTAGATGGAGGGAATACATGCAAAAACGCGAGAGTTAAAAATGAAGCTATGGGTGGAAATAGGGAAAGACGTGAATTATATTATTTAATTTGCCGAGAAGAATGCGTGGAATTACACGAGGAAAACAAGAATGACAGGGAACGGGCATGGATGCTAGGGGATCGCATCCAAAGCGAAGATGGTAGAGAGGTTGAAAGGGTTCATGTATACGGTAGAGCCAGTCATGATCTGCCGCACAATAAGTCTATTAGCCTTTTCGGAGGGATGGAATGGATCCCAAAACGCATACAAGCTCCGGTCGGGGCACAAGTTGGAGAGCGGCGTGCACAACCCAAGCCCATTGTAGGGTCCTTGACCGCAGCAAGCTATTTTAGAGGTGATAAACCCTGAAACCAAATCAATTAATTACGCTGTCTAATACATGGCCAGTGATTAATGTACGATTGAGTTGGTGAATATATACCAAACGCTGCAGGGTTAGAAATGAAGTCATTGTGCATTCGAGCAGTATTTACGGCGATGAAGACATGCCTGCCAAGCTTCTGGTTCAGTCCACGAAGCATGTGCTCGAGTTGAGGGTTGTACAAGGCAGCAGCTCGTTGCAGTTCGGCGGAACAACCCCCATTGGTCGACCGCATTGCCAGTTCTGCGGGGACGCAACCCATGGGTCCCGTGCCCGTCACTAAAACCCTGCGCGCTCCCAGATCATAAAGCCTCTGATCCACGCATTCATTATAATTTTTTAAGAAATCAAGTTGAATAAAATCAATAGATAACGGATTGAGATGCATTGCTCGCGTGGATCACACAGTCACCTGCAGAAGTTTGCGGAACTCGATGATGAGAAACTTGACGTAATCGGGCACAGAATACCGGCGGGCCCTCGCAGAATATGGCACCAAGTAGTAGTTGTTAACGAAGTCATTTCCGCCGACCGTGACGAGCACCAATGCTTGGTTCACCAGCGTTCTTGCTCGCTCTGCTCCAACCAGCGCGCCCAGTCGTCGCTGGTATTCTTTGAAGTACTCTAGCTGTCTATACATTCTTATTATGTTGAGCTGCAAAATTTGAAAACAATATAATAATGCATGATTAATTTCAATACAATCCAAACAGTAAAAGACACGCACAAACTGAACGCCAGTGTCGTTGAGGATGCCAATTCCAGCAGAAGCGAAGTTGGCACCCACGAGGAGTTGGTCCCCTCTCAGCCGGGGGCTCAGGTAGGGCAAAGCTGACTCGGCACCAAGTTGCTGGCCTGGATCACAAAAATTAGTGAGTAATAATAATAATAATAATAGTGGGGAGAGCGAAAATTAGGAAACAAGCAGAGGGTGGAGTCAGACTGATGAGATCAGGGATGTTGAGGCCGTTAGAGAAGCGGCCAGTGGGCCTGCGAGTGGGATAGTCAATTCCGTAAGGAGGGGAGTCGGCACGCGCAGAGGTGGCCAAGTAATTGTTGTTGCCGCTGTCAACCAGTGAATCTCCAAACACGAAGAACGCCCTGGGCCTGGGCCTGGGCCTTGCCCCTGCTGCCCCCACCACGGCCAGAACCACCACCAAAAAGCCTATCAAATTCAAAGCCCGCCGCCGCCTCATCATTCCCATCCGCGCCAACAATTGGATCGTTCGGGTTGGGTGTTTGCTCCTGCGTTCTTCCCTGCCTTCTTTATAGGCCCCCCACCACCCAACCCCCCGTCATCATTCCCCTGATCCCGCCCCCTCCCTTTTAGGTGCTCTCTTCTTTTATTTCATGCGGAACCGTGTGATTCAGTTGATCTATCCATGTGATGTGCGTAAATGACAGGGGTAGCTTTATTTTGATATTTTATCCCTATCATCTTCTCGCGAACCTTGCTGCAACCGCATCTTTTATTGTTGACCCTAGAGGCGGAAAAAACAGGTTGTAACGACGTCCCCGTTCTGCGTGCTCGTGCTGCTGCTGCTGCTGTGAATATATTCATGTCTAACAAATCCACCACCCGAGAATTTAAGACTAAACCTCGCTTGCTTCTCTCTCTGCTTGACGGCACTGTGGGGAGTGATCATTCATTCTGGAAAGCTGCAGCAAAGTCTGCGGTGCAACGCGCCCTCATTCAGCTATATTTTTATTTATCGTTGCATCGATTTTATGCCGCGCCCGTCAATTCTTTAAAATTCATGTCGCAGCTGCATCTGCGTTTTAACTTGCCGCTTTCCATTTCATCTATTCTCTTGCTTTGTTCTCCATTGGCTGCTTGTTCTTAATTAATTATCAATCAAATATCACAGGGTGGGGTCCAAACTAAAGCCACCCCCACGCGCTCTCTGGATCGCGACTTTTTTTTGGGTTAACTTCATAATCCAGGTATGTTGTCGAATTCATTGTCATGACAGCATAATAATCTTCAATTAATATTCTGAATAATAAAATTTTGAAATTTTGCCACACAAAAAAAAAAAAATTTCTGAAATTAGGCTCGGGTGCTGCAAGATTCACTGCTTTAAAAACAATTAGCTCCAGTTATCTTCAGATTCAAATCAAAGTTTCTTCCAGATTGACAAATGCTATCTGGGATGAAACTCTAGCTACGTATAACTAATCTCCGCTTCCTGGATTATGAAGACTAATAATTAATGAAAATTATAAACACGATACAGTTTGAGTTGGCAAGCTACGAAGTCAAGTTAAACAAATTTACCATACTCGTGCACGTGACTTTCATTCTAAAACAAATCAAAGTCAACCCTTTTAATTGATTGATTCAGGTGGCAACAATGTTTTCATAATAACAAGGAGTTATACAAATATGATTGACCACGCCTATACTCCTACAAAAAAGCTCTTTCAACGCGTTTATTTTTGCCTTTTTAAAACGTTTTCAAAATATTTTGAAAGTTGAAGCTCCCACCTACACAAGAGCTTTTGCATGAAGAGGGGCTCTCGTATGCCAGGCCTACGGGAGCTTTTCTTCATGTAAATGTTCTTTGCTTACTGAAGATTTTTTATTTAAAAGTGCTTTCATATGAGATTTTTGTAGGAGCTTTTCTTTCTCGAAATGCTCCTGTGCATCAATTTAAAAAATAATGATTCATTTACTATTCCTAACATGCATCGTATGTTATAACTAATATACAAAAAAAAAATCATTTATATAATTAATGCAAGTATACAAGCACTAAGAAACTTCAGTGTATGTACAAGAGATCAACAACTAGTTTCAATATTACAATATACATGATTATAATGTAAATTATTATTTAAGAATTTAAAAACATTTTCAATACTCCCATGCTTACATGGTACAAACAAGTACATGTAACATCATTTTTACTTAGTTGAAGAGTATCCAATCATATTTTATCCGCAAAAAATAAAGAAAAACAATTTTATTATCCGATTAAAAGTTTGATCAATGATTTTAATTTATTTTAAACTATAAAAATTTGGAATTCCATTTGTACAAATTTTAAACCTAGTAATCCCTTGATTACTTTAAACTTTGAAATTAATTGTGATTAGATAAGGGAGATATTTCATTGAGCGTGTCAAAAGTTCGTAGCAAATAATGTCAAATTGACAGCATTAATGTTGTCATTATGTGCAATGCATCGCGGCATATGGCACAAAGGAGAGAGGTCACTACGCATGTGTACAGGCAATAGCGCATCTTTCCCTTTTTGTACTAAAATTCCAATTTCAACCCAATTTCAAATATTTTGAATAAATTTTGGTATCGCTTACTTTCACATTTAATTATGCTCTGATTTAAACTTAAGGAATGGATATTAGAAGTGTTTTTGAGGTTATAAAACTAGGGATCCTACTGAATTTTCTTTTATCCTTAATGTTTTTTAAAGAATAATTTTCCACTTGGGTTAGTCTCGTGATTATCAAGCAAATTATAGGTAAGTGTTGGTTTAGTAAGGGCAACCTTACAATCATCAATTCTCTCAATAGGTCTTTGAAATTTCACTAGCCAAACCTTTTAATGGAAGAAGACCAAATTTGGATTCACGAAGAACTAATTAGAATCTATGATTTTTGGCCCGTGAGAGGTTGGAGATTACATTTGAGTCTTTAAAGACGTAGGTTTCAAACCATGTTGTGATTAAAGGTGTTGGAGTGAGCTTGATCACCTGCACCTGACATTGAAAGTGTAACACCCTAAAATTTCATACCATTTTTTCACAAATTTATGATTTATTTAATTGAAATAAAGTTATTAAATACTTACTATGATAGAAAAAGGTCTATCATGGTAATAAAGAATGAAAGTTATTTCTTTAAAACATTGTAAGGTAAATGAAGGATTACCATGGTAGAAAGAATTTAAAATATTATTTTAAAATCTTACTATGATAGAAAAGAGATTATCGTGGTAATTAAGAAATAGAACTATTTTCATAAAACTAATCATAATGGAAATAGTTTTCCTCAAATTGAAAACTTTTTACAATTAGACTACCATGGTAGAATAGGATTACTGTGGTAGGAAAGGATCAAATATAGTTAAATTACTCTACTATGGTAACATAGTAAACGCCTATATTAAAGTGTGCTTAATGGGATCCCCTAAAAATAATTATTTAAAACTCAACACTTTCTTAAAAATCACAAACACTATTAAAGTATAGATTACCAAGATAGATTATTTCCAAACGACATATTAATCTTAAAACATTTATCAATTAAGTGACTCAAGCGTACACCCTTGACATGAATACAAGACGTTGGTCAATTAACCAACACTTTATAAAGATGGGTTTAACCATCAATAGCTGATTGGGGCCCAAAAAACACTTTACTCAATACATGGTTACAATCCAACCAAAGTCCTTAATGGTGTACATTTGATCACAACACCACAACAACAGATATCACATTTCAATATAAACCTCAAATCATATATTTAAATACTCAATATAATCAATTAGGGTCATAATAGGCAGACAAAAATCTTATAACCAACATGTGAAACATTCAATCAAAATATAAAGTATTTAATATGGTCATGAGAGGCGAACAGAAGTCTCATAGCCAACCAATAAGGAGTTAATCAAACTAATGAGCCTACACACTCAAATGTAATCAAAATATATCATAGATTGGTGCATATACATATAATTCAACAAAATAGGACAACCAATCCCAAGTGTACCAATATACACCAAGCTACTCCTTTAATAGTTCTCTGGTAGGACCTTTCCCTGTAAAAATATTAAATCATAAGGAATGAGACATAAATGTCCAAGTAACCATAATTAATATGCAATGATGCATGCAATACAACTAACCATGCAATTAAGGGGGGATATGATAATAAGAATGGGTGAAGAAATTGATGATCATTGTGATAAGATGGGTGAAGAAATTGATGAACAAGAAGAGCAAGTTGGGGGGCATGAAATTAGTGAGAATGATTACATTAAAAGTGAAGAATCTACATCTGAAGAGGAAAATGAGATTGATCTAAATGATGATATTGGAAGTTATGAGCCTACATCTGAAGAGGAAGATGAAATTGAAAGTGACTAGCATAGTATGCACACATGCACTTAATAGTAAATCATATCTTTATCTTCTATTTTTTATATTGAATTTCATATTAAATTAAGTGACCTAACAATCTTTGTAATAGGGATGCGATGCTAAGAGGAAAAGGAAGACAAAGATCTATTGGAGGTTCAAGAAATGCAAGCATTCAATCTAGGAAACATCAATCGAGAAGTGCTAGTCATGAATCACCCATAGAACAAGCACCCATTGACCAGGCACCTATAAAGCATGCCATTAAAGGAGATAATGACATGGCTCTTAATATTGAAAATGATGAATCCACTTCGCTTCAAAAGTCTGCAAATAGATGCATATACTTAGAGCCATATAATAAATTGTATGCATAAAATTAACTTAGTTCCTTTCTTTTCATTGGTTTAAAACTAACATAAGATTTTGTTCATTCATAGGTACAGTCTACATAATGCCATGCATAGTTTGGCTTGCATAATAAAGAAATTTTTTGGTGGACCATGGATTTCTTGGGATAAAACACTAATAGAGGTAAAAGAACGGTGGTTTGGTGAACTAAAAGTAAACATTATTATTGAAATAACAAACTTATAAATTTATGCTACTATAAAATGATAGCTAATCTAATTAATTTTGTATTTGCATTTTAGAAATTATACATTTGGGGGGACAGGTTTGATATTGAGAGGAGCAGGCTTTATTTCAAGTATATTGGTAAAAGATGCTTAACCACTATCCTTTATAATGCAAGAAAGACCTTTAAAGAAAAAAAATTCCTCCAGTTTAGATGAGCAACAATAATTGGAATGAACTTCTACAACTATGGGCAATCCCAAAATATAAACATATCTCTGAGGCTAATGCAAAAAATAGATTGAGTAACAAGGATGGACTTGGCCAGTCATGCCATTCAGGAGGATCGATACCATCTTTAGAGCACAAGAGAAAATATGTAATGATAGTATATATATAACTTAAAATTTTCTTCTACTTAATCAACATGTTTAACATCTTTATATGTGTGTAGGAGGAGAAAACAAGAAACCAAGTTCGCCTATCTCAAGTATTCTTGATGACCTACAAGAATACAGTCATTGGAGCATTTGTTGATAAGAAATCAAAAGTAATATGGGTTAGAGAATATGTATAATAGTTCACATTTTGTCATACAATTCTTCTTTAGTTAGTTTTATTGTTTTTGGATTTGTGTTATACTGTTAGTTATAACTATGTGATATTGATGGAATATGAGCATTAGTGTATTTTAATATGAGAACTTGTGCTGTTTTGGTTGTAATATTGAACTTGAATTTCAATTTTGACATATAGATATAAAATTTTGTATTTAAATATGATAATTTGTATAGTGTTTGTTTTTGTACCAAACTTAATTTATATATACTTGCTTAGAGAAATTTTAGTTTTAATATGCATTTTAATCTAAGAATTTGTGTTGTTTTGATCACACTATCAAGTTTAAAGTTCAAATTATGTTCATTATGAGCATTTCACTTTAAGGTAAAGTTTGAGACTGAAATGAAAGAATCTTTTGATGACATGCTAGATGTTGGATCTAGTAAGAATCATGAAGAACTAGGTGATTTTAACATTGAGAAGGAAATGTCAATTTGGAATAAAGTTGTTGGCGGTCCAACAAAGGGAAGAATATATGGACTTGGATCAAATGCTTCTAATACTTGTTTGTTTATGGTCCTTCATTTACTTCTATACAAGCTTCGGTTCATGGACTTTCAATTAGTCAAGAAAGCCTAGAACAAGCAGAAATTAGGATGCATGAAGTGGTTTAGAATGAGATACGAAAAAGGGAGCAAATGGAAAAGGAGTTGCAAGAACTTAAAGCAATGGTTCAACAAGTAACTACTACTCATAAGTTAGCTCAGTCTTCTCCAACATAACAAGCTTTTGATCCATCATCTATAGGATCTAGTACATTGCCAAACAATGATGCTAATATATGATCATGTTTATTTACATGTTGAGAATTGCTACTAGATAACTACGTTAGTCTTTATTATCAAACTTCTGTAATGTTTTCTTTTTGCGAAGACCTTTTGTAATGTTGTTCATTATATTAAATAACTTATAGTTTGTGTTTATATTTTAGTGGAACAAATGCTATTATTTAATAGATGACAACATTTTATATTTATACAATTCATCCTCATATTAATTAAAAATAGCGATAGGTGTTAATGAAAATTAGTGACGAACTAATTCTATCACTATTCAATGAAGAAAATTGTGATAGGTATGTCACTATGTTAGTGACGAATGTGATGAAAATAGTGACAAACTTTTTTGTCACTAAGATCGTGACAGAAATTCATATAAATAGTGACAGAGTATCCATTACTATTTTAGTGACGGCAATATTTATTTTTGTGACAGAGGTATCTATCACTTTTTTAGTGATGGATGTGTTTATTTTTGTGACAGCAGAATCCGTCACTAATTTAGTAATGGATACTTATCCGTCACTTAGATTAGTGACACTATATTTTATAATGGATTTAGTAATCGAAAAATCCATTACTAAATTCATATTAAGTGACGGATTTTGGTGTTTAGTGAAAGATGTGTCTGTTACTAAAATTAATTTTTTAGTAGTGAGTGACCTAAATTCACTCAATCAATGAGTGTCTTGTACAAAGCAATTAACAACCGTTCAATTTAATATAAGAGATTTTGTCTTCATGTAATATTCAGAAAAATATCAAACCTTAAATTTTTTGGAGTGCAGCTTTAATCATGAGAATTGTTTTAAATTATTTTTAAAATGCATATTTTAATAAATTTTAAGTAATGATGAAATTTAATAATTACAATTGAAGAAATCGTTGAATGAGCCGACTTAGGCCACTCAATTCACCGAATTCATATCTGTATAATTAAGTGCGGGCGCAGTTCATGCTGGCAGTGATAGCGAACGTTTTGTATCTCAACACCCTACGGAATGGCCAGAATTATATTCTCCCATGGCCACACACGTATGCTTGATTCCGGGATATTTCGAAGATAATTATCATTTCACGCTTTTCACATAAATTAGGGGAGAATTCTCAGCGAACAGTGGTCGATAACAAAAATGAAAAAAAAGTGTAATAATTTTATTAATTGGCAGCTGCTATGAAATATATATTTGGTGAGGACAGGGAGGAATACAACAAGATGGGGAGAGAGAACACACATTGCAGTACATATAGAGAGACAGAATGGGGGGCGCAGGAGGAAACGAAGGTAAAATAAAGACGTAAATAAATGGGGAGAGGGATGAATATATAGAATGATTAATTGAGGGAGGAGGCGAGAGCGCGATCCAAGGCCAAGGCGGTGCTGAGATTCATGGGGTACATGTATTCGGTGGTACCGCTCATGATCTGCCGGACAATCAAGCCGTTGGCCCTCTCCGACGGGTGGAAGGGGTCCCAGAAGGCGTACACGTCCCTGTTCGGGCACAGGTTGGATGCCACCGTGCACAATCCCAACCCGTTGTAGGGCCCTTGACCGCAGCACGCCACTTTCGACGTTATAAACCCTGCATCCAACCATTTCATCATCTCATCCACTGACTCTTCCAATATGCTCAAAATTAACGGAGTGATATGTGAGGAATTCTATTACCATAGGCTCCGGGATTGCTGACGAAATCATTGCTCATCTGCTGCGTGTTAGCACCGATGAAGACATCGGAGCCAACTTCGCGGTTAAGTTGAGCCAGCATCTGAACAAGTTGCGGGTTGTACAGTGAGGCCGCCCTTTGCAGCTCTGTCGAGCACTCCCCGTTCCTGCCTCGCATCGCCAATTCCGCCGGAACACACCCCAACGGCCCCGTCCCCGTCACTAGCACCCTCCGCGCTCCCAGATCGTATAGCCTCTGAGCTCGCGCCATTAGTTAGTTCAAAAAAAAAAAAACCATAATATTGTTTTGAATATCAACATAATGATATAAGTAATGTAATTTAATTTTCAAGAATAATATAATAAACCAAAATGTGTTTATATTATTTTCGAGTACATAATAGGGGTGTATATTTTGAAAAATACGACCGTGCACATTGATTAGTTAGTGCGGTAGATCATTGAGCAGACAATATTAATACAAACGATTAAGAAGAAAACTAACCCGGAGTATCTTCTTGTATTCGGAGATTAAATACTTGACGTAGTCGGGAAGAGCGAACTGGCGGGATCTTGCGGAGAAAGGAACCAAATAGTAGTTGTTCACAAAATCGTTGCCTCCCAGAGTGATAAGGACCAGTGATCCCCTCACCAAACGCTGCGCCTGCCCCTCTCCAACCAGGGCGCTCAGCCTCTGCTGGTATTCTTGGAAGTACTCTAGCTGTCTGTATATTCTGATTATGTTGACCTGCGCTCAATCGTTCCCACCCACAACATACACACACACGTGAACAAAAAACTCGGGCGTATATAATATATATATATATATATATATATATATATATATATGTAAATATATTTATATGCATGCAAGCCGCCAGGGAAACGAAAACGATCACTCACAAACTGAATTCCGGTGTCGTTGAGAATGCCGATTCCAGCAGAAGCAAAGTTGGCGCCCACAAGCAATCTTTGTCCGGTGAGCTCTGGGCTTAAATATGGCAACGTGGATTCTGCTCCAAGTTCCTGACCTGCAATGAATGAAAATGAATGAATATTGAATAGGATGGACGAAGGAACGGGAGCGAAAAGGCAATGAGGGACAGAGATGCATGGTATAACCCAAGGACACGTAACTGATAAAGTCAGGAATGTTGTAGCCGTTAGAGAAGCGGCCAGTGGGTCTGCGAGAGGGGTAGTCAATGCCGTAAGGAGGAGAGTCAGCTCGAGCGGTGGTGGCCAAATAGTTGTTGTTGCCATTGTCCACCAGCGAATCCCCGAACACGAAGAATGCTCGGGCACCCTCTGCCCCTCTCAACCCACCTGCCAGTGCCATGATCATTACTGCGCCCATTACGGTGCTGTAAGCCCACCAACTGCATCCCATTGAACTGCCCATGCCTATCCACAGGAGGGGATATGACTAAAAGCTCAACGTAACGTATAACTCTGCAAAAATCGACTTGTGTGGATGCCTCACTGCACCTACGGCAACAAGCCTTATATAGTTTCCACAAATACGAATGGCCCACGTTGCACGAGCTAAATTCGTACAGGGTGGTTGCATGTATTGGAAATAAAGGTCCCTCGCGTCTTTTCCCGTCCACTCCTGTCCTTCAACGTATTATTCCGGTGCTCTCCATTTCTTGCACTTCCTCCCCCCACCCCCCCCCCCCACAAAAAAAAATCCATCTGTCCAAGGAGCAGGGTGGCATTTTCTGAATCTGGATGATGCACGCTTTAATTTTTACTCTTTGTGTGATGAACACATCATTAATTTCATCCCTTCTACATATCTTGCCTATACTATAATTTTTTACTATAAATTTTATATCTCTTGCTATATATGTATATATGTATATCCTATAGTAAGGACTCTAATTGATTGATGACCCTGGAATCGAACACCACATTATTCAAGCACTTAAGTCCCACTACTGTTGTTGATATGAAGTGATTATTATAGTTTTAATAGAGTTAAGTCTTATTTCTTATACAACATATACGTGGCGAAACAGGATTTAAATTTTTACTAGAAGAAATATTCACATTTAATGTTAAACCACATCTCAAATAAAATTGTTTCTACTAGCTAGGAGAAATGGATATGCACGATAAAAAATTTAATATTTTCAAATATGAACCAAAAAGATTCCGGTAAAATAATTCGTGTGGGTCGCATCCTTCATTATTCATTTAATTCGAAAGCAGAGAAAACTATATCAAGTGTAGAATTCAATTTCGCTTTATCATGCATTTGCTTGTAAACAGTATGTGAACTCCCTCATTTTTTATTTATCGGAGAAACTATAATTTTTTATTAATTTTTTTAAATAAGCAAAATCACCTATTTCAATAAGTATTTATTGCATATTTTTCAAATCACTCTTTATAATTTACACTAATGAAAAATAATTAATTCATACCTATGTTGATTAACATAAGGCATTTTAATTTGATTTTTTATTTTCAGATATAATTATTATGATTAATTAATTTTTTTAAACTATGTGATATAACTTTTTTCTTTTATATATAAAAACAGAAGGAGTACATATTTTTGCAATGAGGCCCATAGCATATTGTTTCTGGCTTAAAAAAGAAAACGAGTGGCATATGCTATCTAAAATATTGAAGCCGTAAAATTGTAATTTTGATTATGGTAACAAAAACATACAGTACACTAGTTCATCACTGAGTGCAATATAAGACAAAATGCCGTCCTCTTAATTAATTATGCCTTGGTTCGTCATTGTCGATGATGTGAACACCGTAGACTGCTCGTCCATCGATCCCGCTCTATCTCACTAATGGAAGTTTAAAAAAACAGAGGCAAAAGGGACAAAAGTATTCAAGAAGCTACCAGCTAGTAACATTCAGCAACTTAAAATAAAAAAAAAATTATAAGTGTCCATACAGCTATTCTTTCAATACATTTGTGACCAAATCGTTAAATTTCAAACTCACAACTTAATGGTCAACATCAATAAAATAATTTAGTCACATATGCATCAAAAGAATAACTTTATAAATACTCATGCACTTATTTTCATTTTAGGCTATTAAATACTTCTGCCTAATAACATCTTGAGTATTTTTTGCCTCTTTGCCTAAGAGATTTAGGTGGAATTATGTTAGAAGTTCCAAAACTAGCAAAGATTTAACTCATAATTAATAAGGTTGTAGGTTTAAATCCTGTTGTTAATGCAGGGACCTTGTGTGGATAATCTGTAAGTATTCTTTGAGTTCGGAGGCATGCCTGACTCTAATGAGCCTTGGGACCCAACTAATTACTTAAAATTTTTTATATTAAAAAAAACAAAAGAAGTCCCAAAATTCATCTTCCCTATCTTCCACGTTTAGATTTCACATTTCATGTCTTTGGTTAATTTCCGGTTGCTTTTATTAATTAGAAATATTGAACTAATTAGAATTGTATCATCTTTGTCTCGATCAGATTGACTGACAACTTCTCTCCATGATCACGAGCTATGGATTAAATTAATTATGTAAAAGTGTAAGAAAATATAGTATATAATGATATTGATATCTTTGATGTATATTCAGGGAAAGTTTTAAGGGAAGCAGTTAACTAGTCATCATAAGCAACTAAATTTGGTTTCGTTAATTTGAAGGATTATGACAATAACTATATCAATTAAGCCATAAATATATAATTATATATACCATACTCCCTCTGATCCCATTTATAAGACACCTCTTAGAAGTAATTTTTAGTCAAAAATATATGATGCCTTGTAATAATTAAACCATTTTTTTAATTTTATTACCTTTTTGATTAGCGTGAATGTATTTAATATAACTATATTATTATTTAAAGTAAAGAGTAAAAATGAAAGTACATTTCACAATTTTATAATATAAAAAAAACTACCTTTTCTTAAGATGCGTGAAATGATTGAAAATATTTTATAATAAGGACCAGAGGAAGTATGTCATAAATAAAAAGGCATTCGATCGATAATAAGAGCTTGTTTGGTAATCTATTTTGGAAATAGTTTTTTGATTTTAGAATAAAAAAATTATTTGATAACATGTTTTTAAAAAGTATTTTAAAAAATAAAAAATTAAATATTATTTTGACGAATGGAAAAATGAAAATATCTTTTAAATAATTTGAAATTATTGTTTTGGAGGATAAGAGTGAATACAAAAAATAAATATTTTATTATTTTTATTTTTAAAATATATTTTACAAAATACTAATTTTTAAAATAATAAAATAAAAATAACTTCAAACAAACCTTGCATATACCGGTTTTCACATACGATGGTTAAGCGCCCTGAAGGTTGCGTGTTTCTGGTAAATTTTCATTTCATCATGAGAATTTGACACGGCAGACTAGGTAATTATTAAATTAGATGTGCATGCAGAGAGGAATTTTTCACGGCCTCGCGTTACGTATCACCAACGGAAAAATAATTGGGGCATGTGTCAATCGCGTAATTGTTAATGCGAGCGGACCCGGTTAATAAATGTCCAATTGAAGCCATTCATCTCGATCTACAATAAAATTTAAAATAAATAAATAAATAAATAGCTGGCTCTGACACCAGGAATTGAGGTTGACTGGTCAAGTCTATTAAAAATAATTTTACTGGTCTAGATGCAATAAGGCTGCCAAACAGATACAGATAAAATTGTTGGGGGAGGGGGGGAGTAATTGTCACCAAACATGGAGTAGGGGTGACTTGTATTTAAACCGGCTTCCAAGCGCATAAGAAATGTGAAAACGAGTGAATTATTTATTTTTAGGGGGTCGTCCAGATAGGGAAGTGGTCAATAGTTGAAGTGCACTCATCATACAGCGGAGATTGGGTGGTAATAATCATTAAAAATTAAAACAAAAATACATGCATGGGACGGGACCATCGTGTATGGCAATAGTAGTGGATCAGAGAAAAGTATCCGAGAGCTGTTAGCTGTATTAGATTTAATAACACCAACCACTCTGCACCTATTTCATTGACGTAATATAAATTATCTGGCGGGAGAAATGGTTCAACTAACCCACTAAGTGCTAGTTCGATTCCCCTCTTTTCTTCAACCTACCCGTGAGGCTATTCAATTCCTGACAAGCTTGAGAGTTAATTACTTGAGCTTGTAAACACTCTCCATCTGCATCACCCTTCAACAGTCTCTGTTAGTATTTTCCTCTCCCCCGGCCCTTATTGTCCCGTCGGGAAACACGAAAGTTAATTAAAAAGGTCACGATGTATAGTTTAATATAATTTAGGGGAATGTATGCTGCTCCCTCTTGTACTAAATATTATCCCTGGACCTGGTGGACTAATTAATGGAGATTAAGAAGATTGGTTAAGTTGATCATATGCATGTACTGTTATTATATAAAAAAATGTGTATCACTTTTTCTATAAAAAAATGCCCTTCTTCTAATCAATGAGGGCATTATTAGTGGAAAAAAAATATTAAATGCATGAGAGAAATTCCAGGGCTAGAGGGGAGAGGAGGGAGTGTTATTATCTTTGGCGTGGTTTTTGTTTGCATATTCCTGAGTTTAATGGGAAGAGGATGAGTAGATGGGGAGATGTAGGGAGCAACACCTTTGGAGGCCGAGTTAATGCGACAGTATGAGTGAGAATTAATGGAGGAATTGTGCCGCCTCCTAAATTGGGTTCACTCTTAAATGCACCACTTTTGCAACCCCGTCGACTCCGATAATATCTCCTTCCTGCTTCATGCTACACATGCCCTCATCCCCCTCTTCGCTGTACCATACTATATCGCACTTCTTTTTATGCGTGTGTAAATTAAATGCATCGATTATATGTTCTTTATTCACTCATTTTCTCTGTGTTTTCTCTAATTTGAAGTCTGCGCCGATAGACATTTTAAAATAGCGATGCCACACTTACACTCTTGTGTTTCAATAATCCTTTTTTTGATGTTCATTATACTTTAACTTGTCCCTATGATATATATATATATATATATAGAGATTCCCGGCAACGACAACAGATTCATTTGCATCTCCTGTTGGCCCCTCGAGACAGCTTGCTCGAAATTTAAAGATATAACATGTATATAATTTCCATGGATATTGCGGGGAAGTGGATGATGTCCGCGGGTCCAAGGTATTTTCGTAGCTACAGCATAAGGCACGCACTATTAGATAACTCAAATTTTTGTATACATGAATGAGCAAAGTATGAGATTGACTGTCCACTGGAGTTTGTTTGTTTTTTTTTTGGGGGGGGGGTGGTAACAAGTGACTGAAAAGGGGGATTGATGTCAATATTACATAATACTCCCCCCATTTCTATAAATAAGAAAAAAATTGCATCACATAATTTAAAAAAATTAGTTAACCATAATAATTATGTCTGAAAATAAAAAAATTGAATTAAAATTAAATGCTCTATGTTAATCAACGTAAGCATGCATTAATTATTTCTCGTTAATGTAAATTATGAAGGGTGATTTAAGAAATGTGTAATAAATACTTATTGAAATAAGTGATTTTGCTTATATAAAAAATAAGTAAAAAGTAGTAGTTTCTCCTACAAAGAGAAATGGAGGGAGTAAGGTAGAAGGGAGCATGTCTGATCCGGTTACTTAAACACAGTTGATTATCAATTCCAAGGTAATCAATGGTCTAAACCTATTAAAAATTACCAAGTTTTCACAATTTAAAATGCTTTCATATGCTTTCAATATATGCAAATCAGAGTTTACAACATTTGCATAAGCTTGGGAAATAAAGAAAGAATCAAAACATTTGTAAAAAAAGTGAATTACGTAGAAAACTGCATGTGTGCCACGACACGAGGCGCCATGCGCTGCGGTGCATTACACGAGTTTAATAGTATAGGGGATGATTTTTGACGCATCTCATTCCTTCATCTGACATCCAATTGAGGTGATTTTGATATCTACAGAAAGCTTTCTCCTGACTCTAGCTAATGGCACAAGTTCCATAATCAAATTCATTTTCTAACAAAAGTTGGACACCTATTACTAATTTCACTCCCTTTGCATAAAAACTCACAACTAGGGTATCTAAACTCTTACATGTAACAAAAGCTTACACCAACCTTTAGATCCCACTCAATAAATCATTTTGGACTTGTGCAACACATCATTCCCATTCAAATACACACATATAATAAATTCAACCCTCAAACCCTCAATTCACAAAAACACAAGGGGAGGAAATTTTACATAAATTATCAATATTCATCCCAAAATACACTTTACTTTATTTGTACTAATATTTTGACTCTATATAAGCTTTACAACTACATTGCCATTAGTTCAGGGCACAAAATACATGTGATTTTCACAACAATATTGCAAGTAGTCAAAATTATGGAATGAAATTATAGTTGGCAAACTAACCATCAAAATACACATCAAAATAAATCTAAAAGGCCTATTAGTTAGATTTACTCAGAATCCTAAGCCTTCAGTCATTTTCCCCGATCCTGGTCCGATGAGCTAAGCCCTGAAAATATTGAAGAATGAGGGATGGGTAAAACCACTTAGTAACCAAGGTCAACCTAGTCTATACAGTTGCATATCAATTAAAAATGGATACAAATGGAAATAAACTCATATATCACACACATATAGCAAATATAGCCTCAGCCATAATAAAAACAACCATGTGACTAGGTATGCAACATATATCATTTGATTTATCATAAATATATACATTTTAGGGTTGCAAAAATAACAACTATACACCCCTAAAATACGTTGGACTATAATAATAACAACCATATGGTTGGAACTAAATGCATGATCAATGCCAACTTTATACCCTCTCTTTACATCCGCTATGAAATTGATGGCTATTAAGTGGCTACGTTCACAACTCGAACTAACTCAGCCTTTCACTTGTGAGGAGCTACCAGGCCAGGGTTAACTTACTCGCTTGTGTATTGTGGTTTTCCCCAATACTAACTACTACGGGGTATCCTACTCTTAATCTAGCCTTCTCATGAATTTGTAGAAACTAGTTAGGTTTGAGTCTCTCAAAGAACAAGTGAAAGAGTCCTGAATCAACCATGAAGCAATAACTACCTCTTAATTCTAATGGTCTACCAAAGCAAGCTTCCAATTCCAATGGTGAGCCATCAATACCACATGGATCCTCTCCCTAAGTGAACTTTCGCCGGTGATCATGTTATGCATATGTTACACATATTATGCAATTCAACTAATAATTATATAATATCTCATCCATAACCATGTTCTTTCCACTATGTAACCTATGTCAAATATCATTTATCATTTCCATATAAGTATGTTCTCAAACATCAATATTAGTCATAATTATACAAACATGCATATTATTTCTCCACACTCCTATACAAGATTCACATCACAACACAACACACTTTAACATTTGCATTAATAGGTTTTCAAGCACCCGAATGAATTTTTAAATGATTTAGTTTAACAAACAAGTAACGTACAACTATATAAACAAAATTTTCCCCAGTTACTTTAAATCTTTAAGAAGTTAAAGGTTTATCCCTCAAAATAACCACTTCTAAAGCTTCTTCTTAAATGGTGTCAACATCGATAGATTAAAATGAAATCACAATGATATTCATTAATATCCTTTTATGAGAAATTTTCAACGTTTAACTCCACATTCTCCTTTCCAGTAAGATCATAAACTCACTCCCAATCACGCCCAATGGATTTACTAGGTCCTAACAACTCACATTGTCATTAATAAACCATTAAACCACTATCAATGGCAATCAAAAACTCTCGACAACCTTATTTATTCTTATTTTTGGGTATTAATGATCCACAGCCACTAATAACTCACTAAACCATGAACATGAGGTTTAAATACTCTAAACAACTCCCATTATATCTATTTTAGTCAATATGTTCGGACTTATAGCTCATATGGATTGAAAATTACTCCCTCAACTCAAATCCTAACTTTAACCTTCATAAAAATGAAAGGAAAGGGGAAGAAGAAGACAAAATGCACTTACCTTGTGAGTTAGAAAACTTCAAAATATCTCCAATATGTTCCAAATACGTGCCCTGGCAAAGAAAACTTCGTGTCTTTCATTTTCTCCTTTTTTTCTCCTCTGAAACACAGACATGAACCCAGTTATATAAAAATTTGGCCTTGTGCCATGGCACATGCAACCCATGTTGTAGTGTATGGCATGGAGAGGCTTTTCCTCGTGGTTTGGCCTTTGTGCACTACGGCATATAGCACAAAGAATCTTTCTTCAATTCTTCTCCCCTTTTCATGCACGAATGGCCTTACTTTACTTTGAACCAACATTTAAGGCTGAAATCATAATCATTTACCTAAATTAGTTCTCTCTAGTCACGCATCATATTAATTTACTTAATTACCCTTATTATTTCACTTGATCACAATCATTTATCGTTGGGTGGACATGGCATTATTATTTAACATGTCACGAATCTTACAGGGGCATCAGCCATGCTTAATGGTTGCTGATATTTCACACATGGGCTCTAGATCTTGCGGGTACAATAGTCTTGGGTGAATGCTTATAAAAGGGACTAACGACTACAAAAGGGGCATCATCAAAATCAACCAAACCAATATCAATATTCACCATAGCTCATTTTTACTTCCCAAGTTATTTTCCTTGTATTCCTAATTTAATCATATAATTATTTCTAGTTTCCAATTGCAATCAACATGACTTTGTATTTACTTTCACATTAATCCAAAACATCTTATATTTCAATCTCTTTGTATCTTCACTTCCGGCTAAACTTTGGTAAGGGGGTCTAAGAGCCATATTACTATATTTGAAACCCAACGTCTCTAATACGTCTAGTATTTATTGTTTTGCTGAGAAGAGAAGCATTACTCTGTGTGTGTGTGTATAAAAAGCAAATCTTCCTTATAAATAGATACTTGTCACCCACACGGGAAAGTGTCAATTGAGAATAACTTTAATCTTACTCACTGGCCTTGTTTGGGATGAAACAAAGAGAGCAAACATTATGAGAAAAAAAGAAACTAAAAAAATAAAACTTTCAACTTTCACCAACTTTTCCCTCTAATATTTTCTAGAGAGTAAAAAAAATACTAAAAGAAAAATTTTATATTGGAGAGGAAGATATATTTTTATAGAGATGGTGAATTGAACATATAGTTAGAGATTTGGTTGTTGTTGCCATTGGAGGTTTGGACGACATCGAAGACAAAGAAGAATGAGAATAAAGCAAAAAAGAGAGGGAGAAGTCAAAGACAAAGAAGAATGAAGCAAAGAGGGAGAATTGCCGCTGCCACCATCTTCACCATGCATAGTGGACAAGAGATAGTCGTTGTTGACATCTTCTTTGTTCTCCGATCTAGTGCCTGGTGATGATGAGAGATGAGGAAGAAGGGTTATTTCGTCGATCCGGTGACTAAGGCAAACAAGAAGTCTAAAAATAAGAAGGGCAATGATGATACAAATTTGGTTTGCATGGAATTTTTCAAAATTCCTCATGTTAGCACTTGGAATTCATTTTTATCATTTTTGATTGAATTGAATTACATGTGGAATTAAGATATGACATACTAAATAATCTAAAATTTGGTTTCCACCTCTAATTCTATTTTCATGCTTCCCACTTCCACCATACCAAACAGGACTTCACTTATCACTGTGCGTGATCACCATGCACATGTCACTTCAATAAAAAACGAATAAGTTGATGGTTGTTTAATAGAAGGGATTTTTTACTTTTTAAAAAAATATTTAAGGATAAAATTACCTCACTCATTAGTATAGATTGTCCAGCATTCTTAAAAAAATTATGAATAAAAATGTATCTCAATCCTTTTCTTTAAAATAGAGTCGGATATTGAACTGTTATTGGTGAATCCAAGAAGGGTGGCATTGCCACAACAATCTCTTCAATTGGGACAGCACTTTCCGGGCCTATTTCCCCGTTGGAGTGCAGGGCCATGAAGGACTCGGGAGCCCATTGAACTAACGGACGCCTAAAGTCTAAATCAACTCATCACTTTCCCCTCTCCAGTGGCTTAAAAAAAAAAAAAGAAGAAGAGACCTCCATTTCACGCTGAGGCTTAGCTGGCCAGCTGCTTCTGCTAAAACCCTAATCATCCCTTCGATTGATTGTGTTACTGTGCATGAGGACTTCTTTCTTTACTCTCTGATCAACGCATCCACTGGGATTTCAATATCCTCCCGTTTTATAATGGCGGACGCATTAGATACCCTCATTTCCATTGCCCAATCCGTCTCAACTGCGTCCACCACCAAACGGGTTCTCATATTCCGTGATGAAATCCCATCAATTTTGAATAACTTAGGTCAGTGATCGCGTCTCTACATCTGACGTGCCACTTGCAGTTGTGAAGTGAAGTTTTTTCTGTGTCATTTTGGACATCCTGGAATGGATTTGCCCAATTCCCCCCTAACTTGACCAAGTGAACTGACATGAGTGCTTACTAGAATTTATACTGTTTTATACTATAGATATGCTGAGAAAAAGATGTGTGATGCACTTCTATCCTTACATTCTGTATAAACAACCCTAACCTTATGTTCACTGCTTATTTTAAACCAACCTGGAATTATGTCTGATGAAGATAAGCGGTCCTGACAACATCTTCTTCCACTATCGGGATGGGATAATGTGGGAGTGTTCCGTGCTTAATAGGGTTCAGTGGCAGATTCAAGGGGCACAAAACAACTGTAAAATTTACTCCGTTATCTGTAATTTTGCACCCCCTCCGAAAAAAGGCTCCGAAATATTTCTCTAATAAGATGGCTTCAGTGCTCAGCTAAGTTTGAACAGAAAGAACTACTCTTTAGTTGTAAAAGTTCGACTTTTTATTATGACTGAAGGCTGGCAGCTTTAGCTTCTGATAGTTTTGAAGTAATAGAAACGTTACCGAAAATTCTGAGTTTCTATCACATAAGTAGGATAGTAAATAATACACACACATCTTCTCCTGCAAGGATAACAAGTATGCCTTCAAACAACTCACACTTATCCTTGCGTGGTACAGTGTTAGTATTAGAAGGAAAAAAGAAGCGAGTAAAGTAAATTAAGTATTGAAATAGAACATTCACATCGATCCAGGTGGATTAGGGGAGTAAGTGATAATTTTCTTTTATCATATACAATTTTTGCTCCTTTCCAATAGCCGAAGTTGATTTTTTATGCAGATAGTTAAGTGTGCCTCCACAGTGATATGTAACTTTGCCCCATTGTATATGAAACTTTTGGGCTATGTTATCATTTTTAATTTTTGTCCCTCCAAATAATTGAATCCTGGATCCAACCCGGATAAGGTTGCAGTGTTGGGATTATTGAAAATTCGTGGAAACTATGGGTTCCATGTTTGTTTCTCTTGCTGCTGTGCAGGAGAAGAAGGACGAAATTTGGGAAGCTCACTAACCTACGCAATCCGCAGGACGCTAATTGGATATGTAGTTAGATAGATATCTTACTATACTAGAAATGCTTCCTGCAGCATTTTTTTCTTCAATCAAACTATTACATGCTGCAGATATCTTAGGGGCAGCTAAACATCTGTATTACCCTTTCACTAGGCATTCGGTTCGGTTCGGTTTAAAGAGTCATGTACACAAGCTATTGGTCTGCTTACATCTATGACTTGTTTGCAAACTTTTATATGCAAAATTTGTTGTAAAATCTCAAAAGTCACTATGATTTTTTAACTATGCAGAAATGTCTACAGACCTGTCATCGTCATTGACAGATGTGATCTTTAGAACACTTCCTATTTATGATGATCGTAGATCAAGGAAAGCTGTTGATGATGTGATTGTGAAAGCTTTACGGGAAACAGTGTTCATGAAAACTTTTGCTGCAGCCCTTGTTCAGAATATGGAAAAGCACTCGAAGTTTCAATCACATATAGGCTGCTATAGACTGCTCAGTTGGTCATGCCTTCTTCTAAGCAATAGCCAGTTTGCCACTGTTTCAAAGAATGCTTTGTGTAGAGTAGCTGTAGCTCAAGCTTCATTGCTAGAAATTGCCATGCAAAGATCATTCCGTGAGCAAAGGGCATGCAAGAAAAAGTTTTTTCATTTGTTTTCTCAGGTTCAGCTACCTTTACCATTTAAAAGAAAATGACCCTGTTTTGCTCCTTTTGGATTGTTATCATCATTTAATCAATTACAATGCATAATAGTTGATACACTATAACATGACTTCTCATATGTGTCCAGATGCCTAATATTTATAAAGTCTATGTGGAAGAACTGAAGGATTCTCGGATCCCATTCAAGGACAGTCCTGAATTATTATTGTTGTTACTGAAGTTCTCTATTCAATCTCCATCTTTATTTAGAGAATTTAAGGTGAGATTCATTGATAACTTATATATGTGCTTGACATAAAATTTTCATTTCCATCTCCTGAAACTCTAATGTACTTGTTTGCTTGTTACAGTCAGCATTTGTTGATATATATGTTCAAGCAATACTTAATGCAAAAGAAAAGCCAAGAAATAGTCTTACTGAAGCATTTTCTCCCCTTTATTCACAAATGTCACATGAAGATTTTCAAAATATCGTGGTCCCATCCTCTCTTAAAATGCTGAAGCGAAACCCAGAGATTGTGTTGGAATCTGTTGGAATTCTTTTGAAGTCTGTTAAGCTTGATTTGAGCAAGTATGCTTTGGAGATTCTTTTAGTGGTGTTAGCACAGGCCAGGCATGCTGATGAAGGGAGGCGGGATGGAGCATTAGCTATTGTCAAGAGTTTGAGCCAGAAGTCTAGCAACGCAGATACTTTAGAAGCGATGTTTAATGCTGTGAAAGCTGTTATTAAGGGTATATATTAATATAATCTCTAAGTTGACATGATTCCTGTGAAACCATTTGGAATAATTTGTTCTTATATTTATTGATTGGCTGTGCTAATTATGCTTTTTAAATATATTTTGATTTAATTTGATCTTATGAGTTTGATTCTCAATAGGCTCAGAAGGAAGACTAGCTTTTCCATATCAGAGAGTTGGGATGGTGAATGCAATACAAGAATTATCTTATTCAGCTGATGGGAAACACCTCCTCAGCCTTTCACATGCAATATGCAATTTTCTTTTATCATTCTACAAGGATGGTGGTATAACACAAGCTCTTAATCCCCCCTTCATCTTCATGAAAAACAATTCAGTTGGTTTTTCACCTTAATATCTAAACTAATTTGAACTCTGTTAGCTAAGGTGGAATGACAATCACTTGTTTGACATCCATATTTTTTCTTCACATCTGGTATTACTTTTTATTAATTAAATTCTTTCTACAGTGCTAACTTGTGCCCAAAACCTTAACTTGTAGGAAATGAGGAGGTAAAAATTGCAATTTTGTCAGCTTTAGCTTCTTGGGCGAGAAAATCTGTAGATTTGATTGAAGACAACACTGTTGCCTTTTTTGTTTCTGGTCTCAAAGAGAAGGAACCATTACGAAGGGCATTCCTACGTTGTCTACATGCTGTTTGCAAAAATGTGGATGCTACCATGAAGGTGGCTGATCATGTTGCCAGATAATAGTTTGTTTATCAACTTAATCTAATATCCAGTTTTTACAGTATACTGTCTTGACATTCAAATTTGAACTACATATGTAGCAGATGTCACCTTTGCTAGGACCCCTTGTCCAACTTGTAAAATCTGGTTTTACCAAGGCAGCGCAACGATTGGATGGAATATATGCATTGCTATTAGTTGGGAAGATAGCTGCTATTGATATTAAAGCTGGTTAGTGTGAATGAAGCCTTAAGTTGCTCTCTCTCTCTCTCTCTCTCAATTGCAGCTGTATTAAAACATTGGTTTTATTTCCCTTCATTTCTTTTACTTTGAATTTTCATTTATTGATTTGATCTTTATTTTCCCAGAGGAAACATTGGTGAAGGAAAAGATATGGTCTGTGATATCGCAGAATGAGCCTTCTCTCATCCCAATTTCCATGGTGACTATTGTGTTGCAATTTTTTACTACCTATTATACTGGTTCTATTCTAGATCTATCTGAAAAGGTGCGCTGCAGGCTTCAAAGCTGTCAGTTGAGGATTGCATGGTGTGTGTTGAACTTCTTGAAGTGTTACTTATGGAACATTTGCAGCGGCAAGTCCCATTACTAATTCAGAAAGAGTTCCCATAATCTTTCTTCATGTGTCGACCTTAGATTGTGACTTAAATTCTTATGTGTGTGTATTTTATTTTCCCCTACTTTAATTTGCAGAACATTGGCCAACTTCTCTGCCAAGCTGCTGTTACAGGTGACCCTGAATGCACAGTGCAGTATACCAGCTTCGTGTATTGACATGTTATATTAACTAAACAGTTGATATTATATTTAAAAAAATAAATAATTGTTAATTTTTTTGCAGTTAATGATCTTTTTTTTATGCCATCCGGGTTGGGATATTCGAAGAATGGCTTATAATACTGCTAGGGGGATTATCTCTTCTGCTCCACAATTATGTGAAGATCTTTTCTTTGAATTTTCTAATTTTCTTTCTTTGGTTGGAGAGAAACTTTGTGCTTCAAGGATAAGGTAACGCCTGATTACTCAATATTTAGATTTGTACTGTCTCAATTGTGGGTTCTTTGGGACAAATAAAAATTGTGGAAATATTGTGAGGGTTTGGTTCTATACTTATCTTCGCGTCAACTTATTGCTTCTTGATACTATAAATTCTACATTTTGCTTTTGTACCTGCGCAAAGCTTATGGTTCCTTTTATCCACTCTGTTTTCTTCTATTTTCATGTTTGGAAATGTTCTGGATTTTCCTTTGTAGACTATTTGCCATATTTTCATATTTTCAAATTTCAAAAGGCTTCAATAGTGCCAAAAGCTGTGCTGGATGGACCTGTATCTGTCATTGGTTTAGCTTCTTGAAGATCAGTGTCTGTTTGGTGTTGATAAAATTTCTACAATATAGAAACTGATGCTTCTGTCCCTGAGGCAGGTCCCATGCTATGATCTGCGAGCTAACTATTTTAACAATTCAATATCCTTCTCTAGTTCACTTTGCTATTCATGTGGCTCCTTGCTGATGACAATGAAGCGCCAAAACTGTGCTATATGTTTGAAGCATATTTTTGTTGTATGCATTCTTGTTTCAATCAAGTCATCCTGCTACTAAACTTTTATATCTGCAGCGACACTGATATTTCTTCCGACCCTCAAGTTCCTTTCATTCCATCTGTTGAGGTTTTGGTGAAGGCTCTTCTGGTAATGTCACCAGCAGCTCTGAAGGTTGCTCCAGATTCATTTATCCAAATAATATTTTGCTCACATCATCCATGTGTCGCTGACAGTGCAAGAAGGGAAGTAGTGTGGAAGGTAACTCTTTGTATACCATGTTATTTGTGAGGTTTTATTCTTACATGAGATTACTTTTTTGCGAGGATTAAGGGACTGTGGGGTCTTTGAATTGATGGTTTGTTTATTGCTTAGTTGATAAGGTACTTGTTGCATGATGTGAGACGTGTATGGCTGTCTAGCTATTGCAGGATGAAATGGGAATGTTATAGATAATTATAGATCTATTGATATTGTTTTGTTTCTATGTTTCTTGCTATCTTTTGATTAGTTTTGTGGGTTCTATTCTTGCCTTTTGTTTCCCATGGATCATTGTGTCTCAACGCCTTAGGATACTTTGGCAAACCTGCTCCTATTTTGCCGACACTTTTCTTGTGAACTAGATAAATGCTTTTTCATATTTATCATAAAATGATTGATGATGTGATGGTGCAAAATAAACAATGAGTTTTGATTCCTCTAGGTATGTTGTTGTAAGAATTGGTCCATTTCAATACTCACCTCAATAAATTTTAATACTGTCCTGCCTCACTTTATTGAAGATTTAAGGGAAAACACAATTTTGAGTCCCGCACTTTACTCGAGTTTTGCTGTTGGCCCCTACACTTTTTTTTGGTGTTGCAGGTCCTTACACTTCTCTTCCTCTGCACTTTAGGTTCCTACACTTTTCTCCCTCTGCACCTTAAGTCGAGGGACCTAAGGTGCAGACGAAGAAAAGTGTAGGGGCCTGCAATACTAAAAAAAATGCACGGACCTATAGCAAAACTTGAGCAAGGTGTAGGGATTCAAAATAATGTTTTCCCAAGATTTAAAGTGGAATTCAGTTTTATAATTGTTTTGACAGTTTTTCATTGCTTTTTTCCCTTATGACCTATGAGACTTCGAATCCAAATTAACATCGCCTGAGCAACAACTAGCATATATTTAGAGAAACTTCATATTAATGAATAACAGCGGATGGTGGGATTTTTAACTGAGACAATTAGTTACGTGCCAACTTTTCCTCTCATATACGGAAACTTTAAGCAGTAAGACTTAAGAGGATATGGTATTGTTGCATTTAGTTAAATCGATGTATGTTACTCTCTTGTCATTTCAAAATTAACTTGGGCAGTCAATGGGTATAATGGTTTGCTCCTATTGGGTAGTATGCTCAGATGCTCTGGGGATTGCCACTGCATATTTCACTTTTTTGATAGTAGGATAATTTTCCATAGGTTTATGAAGGAAATAGCCTTTGATATGGTATTGTTGAATGAAGAAATGTAGATCTAATGGAGGAAGCACTGTAATCACAGGAATAAGAAAGCTACACTGTAGCTCCTATGCATTTGAGAGGCAGAGTCCTAGACTATCTTAAAACTATCTTCAGATTCTCGTTACCATTTCCCACCAAAAATGCACTCTGATAACTTGCCTCTTTGGCCTCTAACACACATACAAAATACCTCAATTACCCTCTTCTAATTATCTGGATCTGCATTTGCAATTCTGGGCCTCCTCCTATAATATTGAAACTAAGGCCCATACTTAACAATTTAAAAAGAAGTGTTTGAGTATGACAAAGTAGAGTCAATTTGGAGGCCTAAGTGTGACAAAGCTAGCATTTTGATTGAATCATATTTTTCCCTGTACCACAGACCACAGTTACATTACTTGTTTTTGGAACAAGATTGAGCATTATCTAGTGAAGACACTGGGTTATTGCAATACTAATTAAACTATTTAATAAGACCCAAGCCAATATCTCCACAGAAACAGCAACAAAGACAGTAATAACAATAAATGAGGGGAAAATGCTGAGGTTTTGATATTAATAAATTGAGAGAAACCGAATCAGAGTTACAAGTCTTCCTCTGATTCTGGCCAAAACCTTATCTCCCCTGAAAGATCACAAAAGTAACAACATTACAAGCTCAAACCTCACAAGAGGGTTTACTCCTTCTGGCATTCGAGAGGCCAGTCTCTCCTTTCCATTCTCTTACAGAAGTTACCCTCTCAATACAAGCAAAAAGATAAAATATACCCATAGCATGGACAGCATGGCGTCCCCCTAGCCCATACCTCCCAAAAGATCTTAATTATGGCCAAAGATCACGTGCTATTGTTCCTTATGGCTAGAGACCGAAGGATAAACCTTTGGACCAGTCATCATTATTCTACTAGAGTCATTCTTCCCCTTTGACTTCCTTTGATATGTCTTAGTAAAATAATGCGGGGCACTATCACTATTCAAAATAGTTAGTATTACATAAAACAACAAGAAGAAGTCTTATTCCATTAGGTGGGGTTAAGTACATGGATTGCACGATACCATTGTGCTTCATCATTTATCAAACTTTTAGGAATGTTAACTAATATGTCTTGGTCAACAACTTTCATAAGTGTTCTCTTTGGCCTTCCTCTATCCCTCTTAATAGAGTTCAAAAATATTCGTTTCACTCTCCTCATTGGTGCCTCTTGTGGTCTTCTTTGTACATGTTCAAACTATCTTAAATGATTTTTTATAATTTTTTTTTCAATAGATGCTATGCTGCTTTTTCTTATATTTGCTCATTTCGGATTTTATTTTTATGTATATGTCTGCACATTCATTTCAGTATTTTCATCTTTGCTATTCCAACTTTATGTTCTTGTTGTTTCGTTAAAGCCCAATAATCTCTACCATATAACATGGCTGGTTTTATAGTAGTTCAATAATTTTTTTTTTAAGTTTATTAGGTTCCTTTGGATGGAAAATAGCTCCTTTATCTTTTCCTCTATTAAACCACCCAACTTGTATCCTATATGCAACATCTCCATCAATTTCTCCATCATGTTGAATAATAGCTCCTAAATATCTAAACTTTCTATTGGAGGTATAATTTGATATCTCAATTTCATTGCAAATTACTATCGACTGACTTCTTATCAAAATTATGATGTAAGTATGCTGTCTTACTTCTACTCAGGTGGAAATTTTTTGATTCCAATGTTCTCCTCCATAACTCAAATTTATAGTTATTTCTTCTTTTATTTCTGCAATAAAAACTATATCTTTTGCAAAAAATATGCATTTGGGGATTTTCTCTTAAATATGTTCAGTTAAAACATTGAGGATTAGGTCAAACTAATAAGGACTCAAAGATCCTTGATGTAATTCAATCCTTATAGGAAAGTCCTTTATTTCACTCTTAGACGTTCTTATGTTAGTTGTTATCCACTCATATATTTTTTGTATAGCTCTAATATAGGCAACTTGGACTCCTTTCTTTTCCATAGCTTTTCGAAATACTTCTCTCGGTGCATAGTCATAAGTATTTTCCAAATCAATAAAAATCATGTGTAAATATTTACTTTTGTATTGATACTTTTTCATTAATCTTCTTAATAGATTAATTGTTTCTGCAGTTGTCCTACCTGGTATGATGCCAAATTAATTCTCAGAAATATAGTCTCCAATCTCAACCTATACTCAATCACTCTTTTCCATAATTTCATTGTATGATTCATTAGTTTAATCTTTTTGTAGTTTGCATAATTTTGAATATTCTCTTTATTTTTGCAAATAGGAATTAAGGTGTTTCTTCTCCATTTGTTAGGTATTTTCTTGGACTATAAGATCTTATTAAAAATGTTTATAATGCACTGAAAATTTAATGCAAAACTTTGAAATTTCAACCAAATAATTTTAATAAGTAATGTGTATTTTACTCTTATAATTTAATTAATTTTGAAAAGGTATTATTAGTTAATTTTTAATTTTAATTTTAATACATGAATAGGTCATTGTTATAGATTATAGAAGTTAATATAATTTTATATTTGATTTCTCACATATACAGCATTAACAACAACAAGCCTTATACCACTAGGTGTGGTTGAATACATGGATTGCATGACATCATTGTGTTCTATTATTCATTCTTCTGACCGGTGCCTCCTACGGTCTTTTTTGTTCGTCCAAACCATTTCAAATTTTTCTTAATAGATGCCATGCCCACCTTTTATCTTATATACTTATTTTGAATTTTATTTTTTAGTGTATGCCTGCATATTCATTTCAACATTCTCATTTCTATTACCTTAACTTTATACTCCTACTGCCTCTTTAAAACTCAACATTCATTACCGCATAACATAGCTGGTCTTATAGTAGTTTGATAAAACTTCCTTTGAGGTTTATCAGGTACCTTTCGATTACAAATAACTCCTTTAACTTGTCTCCATATAAACCACCTATTTTGTATTCTACTGGTCTTATAGTAGTTTGATAAAACTTCCTTTGAGGTTTATCAGGTACCTTTCGATTACAAATAACTCCTTTAGCTTGTCTCCATATAAACCACTTATTTTGTATTCTATGTGTAGCATTTTCAACAATTTTCTCATTATGTTGAATAATAGCTTTTAAATATCTAAATTTTTTCTCTTGAGGTATAATCTAATTTCCTAATGTCACTTCTAAATTACTATTGACTAACCTCTTATCAAAATTACATTGCAAATATGCCGTTTTACTTTTGTTCAGGCAAAAATCCTTGGACTCCAAGGTCCTTCTCCATAGCTCAAGTTTGCAATTAATTTCTTCTTGTCTTTGCAATAAGAACTATATCATCTGTAAAAAGCAATTTTCTTTTGGAGTGTGCTTAGAACTAGGTCAAATAAATAAGAACTCAAATGATTCCTGATATAGTCTAATTCTTATAAGATGTGATCAGCAGAGCAATTGAGGCTCTGCTTCTTTGTTATTGGGGTTTTGAACAAGTACATATGGCCATAGGCTAGGTTAGAATCGTAAACAACAAAAATCAGATTAGAATATAATATTATTCTCTAATATTCTAAGATAATAAAATCCCTAATAATCAGGAAAAATAAAATAGAAATAGATACGAGGCTAATTAGGTTTTCTATGATGGAAACTTAGAGGGCCCAAGCCACTTAGGCATTGAGCCAACACTACCCCTTTTGCTTGTGAATAGACGTCCATGTTTCCCAGCTTGCTTGTTAAGTTTTTGAACTGGGCTTGGCTAATAACATAGTGAGAATATCTGCAATTTGCATCCTTGCAGGTGCATACTTCACATCAATCAGCTTGATATCAATTTTCTCTTTAATAAAATGTTGATCTATTTTGACATGCTTGGTGCTGTCATGGTGAATAGGGTTATTGACAATCCCAATGGTGGCCATATAGTCACACAACACCTTTATCGCGCCTTCATGATCAATATTCAACTCCTTGAAGACCATTTCAAGCCACAATCCTTTGTATATTCCATGAGTTGGGGGCACAGAGTTTAGCCTCTGTACTACTTAGTGTAACAACATTTTGTTTTTACTTCTCCATGTGACTAGGTTGCCTCAAATGAATGTAAAGTAACTTGTAGTGGACCTCCTGTCAATTACAGATCCAAGTGCAATTTGCATAAGGGTATACTTCAACTCTTCTATTAGAACCTTTTCTAAAAACTAGGCCTTTCCCTTTCCTAGGTGAGGACTTCAGGCATCGTAAGATCCTAAATATAGCAGCCATGTGATCTTTGTTAGGTTGACTGGAAAACTGAGTTACCATGCGAATTGGAAGAGCCATGTTGGGATAAGTATGAGATAGATAGGTCAATTTCCCAACTAGTCATTGATATTGTTCTTTATCAACCAGAGGACAATCTTCTCGAAAGCCTAGCTTGAGAGAGAGATCCATAGGTGTAGCTGCTGGTTTACACCTTGACATACCCATTTGTTGTAGAAGATCTAGTGCATATTTCTGTTGCACTGAGATCCCATTCTTGGAATGTGCCACTTCCATCCCAAGAAAATGCCTTAATGTACTGAGATCTTTTACCTCAAATTTAGAGGCAAGTAGGGCCTTCAAGTGTTGGATATCATAGAGATTATCTCTTGTAATAATAATATCATCTACATAAACTATCAATGTAGTTTTTCTTCCATCTTGTTGTTTGATAAACAATGTATGATCTTGGATGGCCCATAGCATTGAGAAAAGGGGTAAGGTCATGTGCTAAACATCCTATTGGGAATTTTGTTTCTTATGAGAGATTATCTCCTGTTATGTTGAGGATTTGAGGTAGAAGTGGATGATTGGCATCTGTTTAGCTGCTGTTCAGGTGCTTCTACAGATGCATTATGCTCTGTGGTGGTCATTTGTTCAGAGATTTCAGGCTGGTCAGACCTGTGTTGCTCGTTATTTGCTCCAGATGACCTGTTACTGGAGGATGGTCAGCATGTGGGTGAGATTCAGGTTGGGCTGGTTCAGGATCAGGTTCGGTCAAGGGCTGGAAATATGAGGGTTGGATGTAATTTGGTGGCTGAATGGTGGTTGACAGTTCTGGTTGCGTAAAATAGTATGGCTGTTCGCTTGATACAGTGTCTCTCCACCTCTGAATGGGCATTTGTGAGAAGTATAGAAGATGTTCATGAAAGGTAACATCCTTAGAAAAATGATATTTATGTGTAGGAGGATGTATGATGCTTATGCCTTTTTTGGGAGTGAGAAAAGCCTAGAAAGACACACTTTAAGGCATGAGCATCAAGTTTAGACAAGTGGGAGTTATGTATGTTAGTAGCACAACCAAAAACCTTCAAGGGAAGAGAATGTAATAGTTGAGAAGTAGGATAATGTTCAAGACTTCAAGTAAAGCCTAAATTGGAGTCTTGAAGTTAAGAACTTTTAAGGGAGAACGATTGATGAGATAAACCGAGGTAAGTACAGCATCACCCCACAGATATTTAGGAGCATTTGTGCCAAGTAAGAGGGAACGTGTGACATCAAGGATATGACAATTCTTTCGCTCTGAAACACTGTTTTCTTGTGGTGTTAAGGACATGATCTTTGGTGAAAGATGCCATGGGCAGTGAGGCAATTGGAAAAAGAAGTGCTAAAATACTCTTTCGCATTGTCATTTTGTAATGTTTGAATTTTTGTGTGGAATCGTGTTTCAATCAGGGCATAAAATTGTTGGAAAATAGAAAAAAATTTCAAATTTATCTTGCAAGTGACAAATCTAAGTGAGTAGTGTGTGATCATCAATAAATGTGACAAACCATTGTGCCCATAAATGCTAGTCCCCTAAGAGGGTCCCCAAATGTCATAATGAATAAGGTGGAAGGGATGCGAAGCTTTATAGGTGTGGGTATTTTTTGATAAAGCAAATATCATAGCTAAAAGAAGATAAATCTTTATTCAAAAATTAGGGATACAAATGTTTAAAATAATCCATACTTGGATGATAAGCAATGTAGTGCAATAATTTTACTTCATTAATAGTAGAAGCAGAAACCAAAGACTCAAAACATTGAACAGATAAAGCAGAAGCAAAAAGTGCAATGGTGACAGTATTAGGCTGTCGTTTGAAGTAGTATAAATCTCCTTCACAATCATACCAACTGATCATCCTCCCTGACCTTATATCCTGAAACATACAGCCATGAGATTGGAAATTAGCATTTATAGAGTGAGACTTCGTAAGCTTGCCCATAGACAGCAAATTATAGGCTAGCTTAGGCACATAAAGAATGTTTTTCAACTCAATATGGGGAGAAAGGATGATTGTGCCCACACTAACAACATCAATCAAGGATTTATCAATCACTTTGACAACCCATTTTTCTGTACAAAAATGAAGCTCTTTAAAAGAATGATATCACTTGTCATATGATTAGTAGCCCTGGAATCCACAATCCACATGTTAGAACATTGCTCGATAGAGGAGTATGCAATAGAAAATTTACCTGAGGTGCTGGCCACCAACCTTGTGGTAGCACTTGCTTTAAGAGTTTGCTCCTTATCAAGAGTGTGAAGAAGCTATTGAATTTATGCCTTCAGCTGGGAGAAGTCAAAAGTAGGGGTATCATTAGTAGAGGCAGCACAACCTTTACTCTCTCTCTTGCCTTTAGACTTCTCATTGTTGAAAGGACCATGAATCTTCCATCAAGTGTCTTTCGTGTGGCCAGCTTATTGTAGTGGTCACAATGGGGATGGCCACCATTCTTGGATCATTTGTTCCCTTGAGTGACTATAGCCGAGGATTCACTGGAGGATAGAGGAACAGAGGCTCCGGTGACTCACTTTCAACTCTCTTCTTGCCGAACGGCTGAGAAGATTGCATAGAGAGAAGGAAGGGGTGAAAGGCTCAAGATTTGACTACATACCTCTTCAAATTTAGAAGTCAAGCAAAGTAAAAATTTATAAACCCTTTCTATCTCAATCAGTTTCTTATAAGCCACATATAGACTTCATTAAGGTTAAGTTGTTGCCATAGTTGAATCAACGAGTTGTAATACATGGTCTTGGTCATTGTGCCCTGTTTCAACTTATGAAGGCAATTGTTAATCTGAAATAAAACTGCAACATTTGAAGTAGAGAAGTAGAGTTCATGAGCAGTTTCCCAAATGTCCTAGGTGGTTTGATGGAGCATGAAATTCTTACTAGTCTCAAGAGTCAGAGTTCAATAACCAAGACATGACATGGCTATTTTCAGCATGCTAAATAGCGTACTTAGCATTATTGATGCATGTGGAGAAGCACGGCCATCAATGTATTCTTCCTTGCCTCTATCGTCAATGAACATTAGGAAGGATTGTGACCATTGAAGATGATTATCTCCATCAAGTTTGTGACTGGTGATAAGAGAGGCGAGGTTGCTATACTAGAGGGATGCTTAGCACCAGTTGAGGGTTGTCTAGGGAGAGTTGTATTAGGGTCAGGGACGGTTTCTATGTTGAACTACCTATATTGGCTGAATTGGAGAGGAGGATCACTCATCGCTCTAATACGATGTAATCAGCAGAGTAATTGAGGCTTTGCTTCTCTATTATTAGGGTTTTGAACATGTACATATTCTAATACATAGGCTAGGTTACAATCGTTGACGATAAAATCAGATCAGATTGTGATATTATTCTCTAATATTCTAAGATCATAAAATCCCTAATAATCAGGAAAAATAAGACAAAAACAGATACAAGGCTAATTAGAGTTTCTATCACAAAACATAGAGGGACCAAGCCTATTAGGTGCCGACTTCCGACATAGGAATGTCCTTTGCTTCACTGCTAGATGTTTTCATATTAGTTGTTGGCCCCTCATACATAGCTTTTATAGCTTTAATATAGGCAACCCGGACCCCTTTCTTTTTAAGGCTTTCTAAAGCACTTCTCTTGGTACATGGTCATGAATTGTTTCCAAATCAATGAAAATCATATATAAATCTTTACCTTTGTTTTGATACTTTGCCATTAATTCTTTTAGTAGATAAATCATTTCTATAGTCGCTGTGCCCCACCATGAAGTCAAATTGATTTTCAGAAATACCAGTCTCCAATCTTAACCTATGTTCAATCACTTTTTCCTACAATTTCATTGTATCACTCATAAGCTTAATCCCTCTATAGTCTACACAATTTTGAATATCTCCTTTATTTTTGTGAATAGGAACTAAGGTGCTTCTCCTCCATTCTTACTTATATATGCATGTATTTTTAATAATTTTATAAGGAGATAGGGTCACTACTTAGGCCAGAATAAACGGAATGGAAAAAAGATGGGGGATACATTATGTGTGGACTTTCAAAGTTAGTGGCCACTGTTCTTCTAATTCTTCGTAGTGTCAGACAAATGGAGTCTAAACTTCTAAGTAAGGAGGTGTAACTGGTCTGTCTATGGAACTTGATTGGTGGCCTGTTTGCTGGTATCCCATTCCATCCAAAATCTTTATTTCATCTCTTTTACTGTCAATAGAAATAGGACGAAGGATTTTTCAAAACGTTTTTCTTTGTTCAGTCTTGAATGTTGGTAATATTAATTTGGTTTTTCTCGTTTCCTCTGTACAAAAGGAAAATACCAGTGCACAAATGTGTACCTGTGTTTTTATGCATTCTGCATGATCTGTGGATGTTTTTTTTTTGGGTCAAAGATCTGCGGATGATGTTGATTTCTAGTTAATGCATACGGCAGTATTTTTTTTTTTGGCTGGTGATCTGACTGTTTGATTTGGCTTCCAGAGGCTCTCAAAGTGTCTTCGAGCAAATGGGTTTGATGTCATTGATATCCTTTCGGCAAATGTGATGAATATTTGCAAGGTAATTGTTGTACTGCAATGCACAAATTGAAAATCTGTTCTAAAAGATTATTGTAATTGTGGGAATATTATGTTATTATTGAGAATTATTAGCATTTATTAGGATCTCATTAATTAGGCTTTATTAGTATTTATTACCTTTTATCTCTCTTGATGTATATATATAGGACCAGTGTGTACATTAGAATTGCAATGAGACAATACAATTTTTTCCTCTCTGAAAATTCCACATGGTATCAGAGCATCAGGCTCAAAATTTTAAATTAAATTAGTTCTGGAATGGCTAGAACGGGGCTGCTTGAACAGTACGTGACGGCGTTTGTGTGGACAATGGTGGAGCGAGTTTTGAATCTCACCGCCACCCTAGACGTACTCAGGAGGCTCCGAACGGCGAAACCCAGGGCGGCGGCGGCGAATGGCGGCGCGTGTAGACCACACGCGCCACCCCTGCTCACTGCGTCAGCAAGCTTTCGGCGGCGCGTGGAGGAGCGTGGAGGCTTCGTTCAGGACGCGATCTTCTCGGACGGCAACGACGCACTCTCTCCGGCCAGATCCAGCACAATCCGGTGTATGGGCACATCGTTTTCGAGCCATATCAGGTCGTATGGTGTTGTTAGTGCCCTGTTTTGCTGGGTTTGGAGTTATATTGGGTTGTGGCTTCTGTTTTCAATCTACCAGAAAGCTTTTCCCTCATTTGAAGTGCTAGGGGTGGTGCTGTGGCTACTTTTATGTAGTGTTGTGCATAATTCCAGATCTGCACCCATGGCATTTGTGGCAAAAAGAGGGTCTTTCCTTCAGGCTTTAAAGACAACTCGAAGTGCAGTGGTCTGGATCGTGGATTTCGGGGCATCTGATCATATGACTAATTGTCATCAATTGTTCACCACTTACACCCTATGTGCTGGAAATATTAAAGTGAAAATTGCAGACGGCTCCTTAGCACCGGTGGCAGGAAAAGGGAGTATCCGTATATCAGATTCTATTACTTTGGAATCTATCCTTCACGTGCCAAAACTTGACTGTAATTTACTTTCAATCAGTCAACTGACCAGGCACTCAAATTGTTTTGCTAAATTTTCCCGTCACATTGTGTGTTTCAGGATCTATCATCTGGTGCGACAATCGGCAATGCCAAAGAATATGAGGGGCTCTACTATTTAGAGGTCGTCACTCGAGTGGATAACCCACCTATTGTTGGTAATTCTGCATCTACCTTTAAAGTTCATGATTTTATGTTATGGCATAAGAGAATGGGTCATCCCAATTTTCATTACCTTCAGCGGTTGTTTCCAACCTTATGCCCGACCTTGAATCATAGTGAAATCCAGTGTGAGGTATGTGAATTTGCCAAACACCATCGAACTTCCTTTCCTAGAGCCAAATACACACCTACCAAACCTTTCACAACCATCCACAGTGATTTGTGGGGACCATCTCGCATTTCAAACCGTACTCAAACAAAATGGTTCATCTCCTTCATTGATGACCATACTCGTGTTTGTTGGGTTTACCTTTTGAAAAACAAGTCCGAGGCTGCATCTACATTCATGAGTTTTTTCACCATGATCAAAAACCAATTCAACACTAGCATTCAAGTTTTACACACCGATAATGGCACTGAATACTTCAACCAATCTTTGAGTAATTTTCTCCAAATGCATGGGATTGTCCATACCAGTACGTGTGCTTATACACCCCAACAAAATGGGGTCGCAGAAAGAAAAAATAGACATATCCTTGAAGTTGCAAGAGCACTCATGTTCACTTGCAACGTGCCAAAGTTTTATTGGGGAGATGCCATTTTAACCGCAACCAATCTCATCAACCGGATGCCCAGTCGAATATTAGCCTTCGAAACTCCTCTCCAAAAATTGCAGAGTGTTTTTCCTACATCCCACATTGAAACCAAACTACCGCTTCGTGTGTTTGGGTGCACAACCTTTGTTCATATCCACCAAAGCAGTAAACTTGAACCTCGAGCTATCAAGTGTATCTTCCTTGGCTATTCTCCTACTCAAAGAGGATATAAATGCTTTGATCCTGTTTCTAAACGCATCCTTGTAAGCCTCGATGTTACTTTCCATGAAGAAACTCCTTTCTATTCCAATTCCTCAATTCAGGGGGAGAATATAGGTGAATCTTAGACTTGGGAACTAGAACCTAACGCTGAATATATACTTCTTGAGTCCGTGTCTCCTTTACTAGAACCATCACCCTTACCTTTGTCCAACATCCCACCTTCACCAACCTCTTCTCTTATGCCAAAGTTTGAGGAAAACAAGAAAACAGAGAAAGATGTAGAAAGACCACAAAAGGGGGAGTTGTTAGTTTACACTCGAAAGAAGAAAACAAAAGATAGTGAGCAACTTGTACCTGAGGCACCAAGAGAGTCAGAACCAGAGGTAGTCCCTGAAGCTCACATACCAAAGATTGATCCATTTAGTCAGCCAGATGACTCAGAACAAAGATGTGAATCTACTGATCTTGATCTACCTATTGCCCTTCGGAAACAACCTCGGTCTTGTACTTTGCATCCGATTCAGAAGCATGTGTCCTACAAGGCTCTCTCTCCTGGTTACCGAGCCTTCATCACTAATTTGGATAAAGTTGTTATTCCTAACAACATCCAAGAAGCATTGGAAATACCAGAATGGAGAAATGCAGTTATGGAGGAAATGAGAGCTTTGGAGAAAAATGAAACATGGGAGATTGTTGAAAGACCTAGAGGTAAGAAACTGGTTAGTTGCAAGTGGGTCTTTACCCCAAAGTATAAGGCTGATAGCACACTTGACAAGTTGAAAGCACGGTTAGTAGCAAGAGGTTTCACCCAGACTTATGGCATAGACTACAAAGAGACGTTTGCGCCAGTGGCAAAACTGAACACTATAAGAATCCTATTGTCAGTGGCAGCCAACCTTGAATGGCATCTTCATCAACTAGATATCAAAAATGCTTTTCTAAATGGAGAATTGAAGGAAGAAGTCTACATGACTTTACCTCCTGGGTTTGATAGAGGCAGAAATGACAAAGTATGTCGGCTGAAAAAATCACTGTATGGCTTGAAACAGTCACCTAGGGCATGGTTTGACAGATTCTCAAAGGTCCTGAAGTTAGAAGGCTACAAGCAAGGATTGTCAGATCATACGATGTTTGTTAAGGCCGAGGGAGCTAAGAAGTGCATCCTCATTGTGTACGTTGATGATATAATCCTTACAGGAGATCATGTTGATGAAATAGCAAGGATAAAAACTATCCTTAGTAAGGAATTTGAAGTTAAGGATCTTGGGAACTTGAAATATTTTCTTGGGATGGAAGTTGCTAGGTCAAAACGAGGAATATATGTATCTCAGTGGAAGTATATACTTGATCTTCTCAAGGAAACTGGCATGTTGGGTTGTAAACCTAAGGAAACTCCTATAGTGGTCTCGAAAAAGAAGAGGCCACCTAAGAAAAGCGGCACTGAGGAGTTAGAAGGAGAAAACAACTCTGATAATGAAGTTGAAGAAGAAGAAGACAAGGAGAAAGAAGAAACCATTGATAAAGACAGATATCAGAGACTGGTTGGGAAGCTGATTTATTTATCCCATACGAGGCCAGATATTGCTTTTGCTGTCAGTGTAGTAAGTCAATACATGTGTGATCTAAGGAAGAGACACCTGGAAGCTGTATATAGGATTCTCAGATACCTTAAGGGTACACCTGGTAAGGGATTGTTATTCAAGAAGCATGATCAAAGGACAATTGAGATTTACACCGATGCAGACTGGGGGGGACTTATGGAGACAGGAGATCCACCTCTGGCTGTTGTTCATTTGTGTGGGGAAACTTAGTAACCTGGAAAAGTCAAAAGCAAAGAGTTGTATCCAGAAGCAGTGCTGAATCAGAATTGAGAGCATTAGCTCAAGGAATTACAGAAGAACTATGGATAAGAAGGGTCATGGAAGAAATGCAAGTCAGAGTTGATCCACCAATGAAATTGTATTGTGATAATAAGGCTGCTATAAGCATGGCATTGAATCCTGTACAGCATGAGAGATCTAAACATGTTGAAGTGGATGGACATTTTATCAGGGAGAAAGTAGAAGGAGGTATTGTATGTCTGACATACCTACCTACAAAGTTACAAGCTGCGGATGTACTAACCAAGGGACTACCCAAGCCTGCATTTGAGAGTTGTATAAGCAAGTTGGACATAATTAGCATCTATGATCCAACTTGAGGGGGAGTGTGGGAATATTATGTTATTATTGAGAATTATTAGCATTTATTAGGATCTCATTAATTAGGCTTTATTAGTATTTATTAGCTTTTATCTCTCTAGATGTATATATATAGGACCAGTGTGTACATTAGAATTGCAATGAGACAATACAATTTTTTCCTCTCTGAAAATTCCACAATAATGCTGCTACGTGATATATATATAATTTTTTTTTTTTTTGCAGGTCTTACTGGGACCAGCAGGTTTGACTAGTGATAATTTACTTGAACAACGGGCAGCAATTTCCTCACTTTCCACAATGATGTCTATAATTCCTGGAGATACATATGAAGAGTTTGAAAAGGTGTTTTGAGTTATTTTCTAATGCATGCTTGGGTCCATTGTTTGGTTGGAGTCTGTGGAGCATTTTGCTAGAATAGTTGATTATTACCTAGTCTGTTATTGTGAGTGGGAAAGGATATAGAATATTTGATTATTGACATATATATCCTTTCATACTAACGAGAACAAAATAGATAATCAACGATTCTAACACTTTTTATCTCATTTACTTATTTTTTGATTTCTAATTGCTGACTAGTACATATTGCTGATGCCAGCATTTGCTAAATCTCCCTGACCGGTTCTCACATGATAAACTTTCAGAGAATGACATTCGGGTAAATTTTATAGCTTTTAATTTGGCTTGTCCTGTATTTTTGGGAAAAAAGGATTTTAATCATTGAATGTTGCTAATACTTATTTATTGTGTTGGGTATAATTCATCTATCATAGGGTATATGTCACATGTTTTGATAACCGTGATTTGTATGTTTGCAGCTATAAATGAAAGTTGATACTTTTGTGCTCTAAAATTTGATATCAAAATGGTTCAATAAATAGCGCAGGTTGTCTCGTTCTTCCTTTGGTTCAACCCCTGCATATTTTTATTTTCTTCCCGACTCTAGGAACCCTGGGGTGTGTGGGGTACACCTTCTGTCCTGCACTAATGGTTGTCTAATTTTTTCTATGATGTTTTCTTATTCATTGTAAAAGTAGAAGACATTACCGAGTAAGATGTTGAATTTAGAGTGACAAATAAGGACTGTGTTGCACACGGACGCACGTGTATATTCTCACTCATGTTATAGGTTAAGGGAATGCTTGCTATTGAACTCAGATAGCCTATTCCTTGCATTGTCTACTTATATTATTAGTGATTTTTTGATTTTTTTTTTCGTTGTTACTACCAAAATTTCTTATATTGTTTGAGTTATTTATCTGATGGTTGGAATTTTGCTTAGCTTTTTCTCATGCACTTTCAGATTTTTTATACCCCTGAGGGAATTCTTTCCACCGAGCAAGGAGTTTATGTTGCAGAGTCTGTTGCTGTGAAGAATACAAAACAAGCAAAGGGTCGCTTCCGAATGTATGATGATCAAGATGGCGTGGTACATTTATTGTCTCTTCTTTTTCTCATCACTTTGTTTTGCCTTTATTTTAGTTTGTTATGCTTCATTGTTCTTTTGGCCAGGATGATGCTGGTTCTAACCATATAGTGAAGAGAGATCAACCTAGCCGAGAAGCTGCTGGTGCAGGGAAAAGGGATACTACAAAAGTGATAAAGAAGGCTGGCAAGTGGCCCTTTCGTGTTTACGTTAATCTTTTTCTGTATTCCTTGAATTATATAGTTTACCGAGATGCTCTTTACCAATATTGCCATTATGATTCATGTAGACAAGGGGAAAACAGCAAAAGAGGAGGCTAGAGAATTGCTTCTTAAAGAGGAGGCTTCTATCCGGGATAGAGTCTTCAAAATTCAGAAAAGCCTATCTCTTATGCTAAGAGCTCTAGGAGAGATGGCCATTGCGAATCCAGTTTATGCACACAGTAAATTGCCTTCAATGGTATTCTTTGTTAAATTCTTTTCTTGTGCAAGGTTTCTATTTTGTAGCTTGAGGATTACTTAATCATTTTCATATTCAAAATCCGTTACCATGCCATGAGATCTGATTTACTTATATTAGGTGAAGTGTTGCACTAGAATCATTTTCACTTGATTGATTTGAAAAAAGATCAAGAGAGGACAGATTATCAAGGCTGTGATTAAAACAGCCCTAGAATAATGCAAAAAAATAAAGAAAAAATCATATTGAAAATCATTACTGATACCCATCACACAATCTGGCTACACTCCTATTAACAGGAAGTTTGGCACACTTAACTAGTGGTCTTTCATTTTAGCATATTAGAAACAATATTTTGTCATCTTTATTTGACAATTGTTATTGGAATTGTGATTAGATTTGATGTTTTGTACCTGAAACTTCAAGTCAATGCATAATATAATATGAATTTGTGAGCTGCGTTGTTATTTTACCCAAAAAAAAAAAAAACCGTATGAATGCCTTAAATTTGGTTTTCTTGTTAGTGTAGATTTTACTTCTTTTAGCGTGGATCACTTAGTATTGGACTGAATGTTTTAGTTTTAACTGATATTAAAGTCCCAAATAATTCACTTGAAAAGGGAATAGTAAGGCAATGTTAGTTTATGGGATTTTATGGTTAGTGTGGTTGTTGGGGGATGCGTGCAATGAAATAGTATATCGTATATCACTTACCTTTGATGCACAGCGCCTGCTTATATTTATGACCAAAACTACTTTGTTTGACATGCAACAAGATTTGACAGCGTCATGACATTATTATGTTGTATAGGGCTTGTTACTGTGTTCTGTTACGTGTAGTTCTTGTATTTTCTGGTTTAATGTTATCTTATTTTAGTTAGTTGTAAATTTTCTCTTTCCTACAAAGTTTCTTCCTTAGGAGAAACTAGATAATTTTTCCCCATGTTACATGGGGGGAGAGAGAGAGTCACTTGAAAATCTCTCAAAAGTTTGTGCTTATCTTTTTAACATTTGGACCCACTTGAAATATGTAGAGAGGTATTGATTAGTAAAATCAAATTGGCTTGGAGTGTAATGATAAGTGTGAAGAAAGTTGGCAGAATGAAAAAAGGGTTATAGGAGCCTGAAAGTAGTTGCACTGTTTGTTGCTTATGTACTCATTATAGATTTTTTTATTTTATATTGAATTAATATTGATATTTGTGATACTATATGAACAGTTTATTGCTTGTGACTTTAATCGGTTTGTTTACATCATTTGTGTTTTGTATTTAATGATACCATCTTTCGTTTAAAAATGTGGTAATAAAGCTGGAACTGGAATTCTATCCATTTGTTAATCTGGCAGGCTGAACGTTGTTGTGGATTGAGTTTTTCTTTCTTAGCTGTTTCAGTTTGCTATGTACTATCTTTTCATTTTCTTCCAGTTTGCTGTGGATAGAATTTGTCTCATTTATGAGTTGTCTTTTGAGAGTACTGATTTCGCATTTAATTTGTTCTGATTTACATCCAGATATTCAATGTCACTTAGTCTAACGTCCATAATTATAAATGTTTAACTTCTCTCACCTGGTCCATTTATTTTGGATTTTTTTCATAATTATAACAAGCACGTGTGCTTTCTAGTTTAATTTTTATTTCTTTTATACTTTGCATTTGTGTCAGGTCAATTTTGTTGTGCCTTTATTGCAATCACCTGTTGTAAGTCATGAGGCCTTTGAAACCATGATAAAGCTATCAAGATGCACTGCTCCTCCTCTATGCAATTGGGCCCTTGACATTTCCACTGCTTTACGCTTAGTTGTGACTGATGAAGTTCGTCTTCTGTTGGATCTGATACCTTCGGTTGTGGATGAGGAAGGTGATGGAAGGCCATCCATCAGCCTTTTTGAGCGAATATTAAATGGATTATCCACTTCTTGTAAATCAGGGCCACTTCCTGTTGATTCTTTTTCTTTTGTATTCCCAGTAAGTAATTCCATTTTACCAATGCACTCTTTTAAGTTCACTGAAGCTTTTACCTTTCTAACTATGCCTCTGTTATTAGATAATGGAGCGTATTCTTCTGTGCTCAAAGAAAACAAAATTTCATGATGATGTGCTTCGGATACTTTATTTACACCTTGATCCCCATCTTCCCCTTCCTAGGATCCAAATGTTATCGGTAAGGCATTATACATTCCTTGCTTGCTCAAACAAATGACATACTCTGTACTGTTAAGCATTTTCATGTTAGATTTCATTTATTGGTTTAAACCTGGTTGATATCTTTTGTTAGGTTCTCTATCATGTGCTTGGTGTTGTGCCAGCTTATCAGGCATCAATAGGACCTGCACTAAATGAGTTGAGTCTTGGTTTGCAGCCTGATGAAGTTGCTGCCGTAAGTCTGCTTGACTCTTTTCACATAGATTTCTCACTCTTTCTATGATCTTGATTTCTCTCTTCCCCCCTCACACGAGCACGTGTGCACGCACACAAAGTATGTGAAATGATGCTTATGCTGTCTCAATTTTCCTTTTACAGGCTCTTTGCGGAGTTTATGCAAAAGATGTTCACGTACGTTTGGCATGCTTGAATGCTGTCAAATGTATCCCTGCTGTTGCTACTCGTTCTGTTCCAGAGAACACTGAGGTTGCAACAAGTATATGGATTGGCTTACATGATCCTGAGAAGGTTTGATTCGTTACCCTTAATAAGATTGTAATCTTGCTATGGTGTGGTCTAGGGTAGTTTGAAGGAGGTATGAGGCTCAGACCCGTCCTTTGCCATTTGTACCAGTAAGGTTACTGTCCTTTTTTTTTTTTGGGTCACAAATAAGGTTTACTATATAGTTTCCCTGTCCTAGTATAAACTTTAATCTTCACTCAAATTGCCAAAGTGGCATCTTAACTCTTTCATTTTTAATTTGCCAAATCAATCACTTAATTTCTTAAAAAAATTGTTTTGCGTTTTCTTTACACCAACTACCTCAATTGCTATATATACACTGTACCTACTCATCACTATTGTCAATAATAAACATCAACTATAGATCAATTGCACTCGTCATTTATTTCAACAAATACTGCTGGCCTGCTGGGTGGGTTGAGCTATTATTGTATTTAGCGATTGGATATAATGCCCTTTAGAAACTTCGATGAAGGTGCCAATTCATTCATATCAACATGTGGATCTAACAAATTGGGTCTAATTGGTTTGTCTCTAACCTTCCATTTTCTATAATTGAAAAAGATTAAATTGACATGGGTTGAATGTGGCAAATTGGGTTAGTATGCTCTAGAAATCATATGGGAAAAAGGTGGTATTGTTGTAAAATTGCATCAAACAACAATTAGAACGTTGACTATGAGGATCAGAAATAATTGATGAAGTCATCTGGTAAATGGTTCTGAGTTTGCAATTCCTGTGTATGTCGCTTAGAACATGTTCTCCCCTTGCCCCCCGAGTGTCCTATTACTCCTGTTTGCTTGGTCTGGATTTTGCAATGAATGTTATAGATGGGTATTACCGACCATCATTTTAGCCAGTCTATAATTGAAATATGAATATTTTGGACTTCTGAATATAATTCTGATATAGATTTTCATTTGATGCTTTTATCTCCCCCCCCCTCCCCGGGGAATTCCAGTCAGTTGCTGAAGTTGCTGAAGAAATATGGGATCATTATGGTTTTGACATTGGAACTGACTTTTCGGGGCTATTCAAAGCACTGTCTAATGTGAACTACAATGTGCGCTTGGCAGCTGCGGAAGCATTGGCTGCTGCCTTGGATGAACTCCCAGAATCTATTCATGTAAAATTAATTTATTGTTTTCAAAAGTCATTGTGATTATTTTCCTGCCGTCTCATGATTTTTTGCTCATGATTTCCAGGAATCCCTTTCCACTTTATTTTCACTGTATATTCGTGACATGGGTATTGGGGATGATAATATTGATGCTGGTTGGTTGGGTCGGCAAGGAATAGCATTGGCGCTTCATTCTGCTGCTGATATATTGAGAACAAAAGACCTACCTTTTGTCATGACGTTTCTAATATCAAGAGCACTGGTAATCTGAATGGCCTTTTGCATTCTTTATGCTGGGGTTGGGCATTTTTATTTGGTCATGGTACTGGTGTGAACCTCACCTGTTTCTCACTTAATTGTCTGTTCAGAATCCAAAGCCTCCATTGTAGGTTAACATTGTTTTGTTTTCCTCAACATGAGGAAACCTTCTTAAGTGTGATAACCAGGTTCTTTATCAGTAATGGATAGCAATAGTTTGATTAATCTGTTAATATCTCATGCTACTTATTGTTGTCTCTATCCTTCCACTTTGGCAATGTATATCTGTCGTCCTAGTAGATTGTTCTCTATTTCATGTTTTACAGGGTGATCAAAATAAAGAATCCCGTTTTCTTACAAAATGTATTTATCTGCTTGGAAATGCCAAGTATTTCATTAGTAGAATTGATTTGATTTGCAGGCTGATCCAAATTCAGATGTTAGAGGGAAAATGATTAATGCTGGTATCATGATCATTGATAAGCACGGAAGAGAAAATGTCTCTCTGTTATTCCCAATCTTTGAAAACTACTTGAACAAAACAGTGAGTTCTTATCAAGTTGGGCTTATATTTGTAGATTCCTTCTTTTGGATTTCTTAAATGCATAGACACCAGTTGCTTCTTAAAAGATTGTGTATAGTGTTACAAGATCCATAGGTTCCCTTTGGTTTCTCATTTGATTCCCCACTCTTAGGCATCGGATGAGGAAAAATATGACTTGGTTCGGGAGGGTGTGGTTATATTCACTGGAGCCCTGGCAAAACACTTGGCAAAGGTGATTACGAAAATTTCCTTTCTTGTTTTTCTTACTAGGGCACTTCAGACGCTCATTTCAGTTATTTCTATTTTGGAATAGGATGACCCTAAGGTTCATACTGTGGTGGACAAGTTGCTGGATGTTTTAAATACTCCTTCAGAAGCTGTTCAACGAGCAGTTGCAATGTGTCTTTCTCCATTAATGCAATCAAAGCAAGTATGTATTTGTATTATATTTTGCTGACGTACGAAAGTTGAACTGTTGCTCTGGCTCTTCAGTATCTTCTGCTTGACCTCAAAATGAACACTCATGGTCAACTTTTTTGAAGCATCCTTGACTTTGGCTGAAGCAAATTCTCCTGTTATTTGTTATAACTACTTGCATCAGGATGACTCAGCGGCTCTTGTTAGCAGACTTTTGGATCAGATGATGAAAAGTGAAAAATATGGAGAACGTCGGGGAGCTGCATTTGGACTCGCAGGAGTGGTTAAGGGTTTTGGCATTTCTTGCTTGAAGAAGTATAGGATTGTGGCTCTACTTCAAGAAGGTCTTGCTGACAGGTGAGAGAGCTCAGTTTTATGTGTTGTGACTACATCTGTCATTCTGTTGTAACTTCTATCCTGAGTTGTTTGTGTTGTCCGCTGAAGTATCCTTAACTGCCGTAGTACCAGTGATTTTCATATTCCTTGTAGTGTATGCTTTTAGTCAAAAAATTTCTGACATAATGTAAAGGTGCTGGTGCTGGTGCTAGTGTTTCTGTAAGATTAATGCTGTTAGCCTAAGCTTTCTTATTGCTGATTTCTTTCTTTCATTCTTTCTTTTGTTGGGGTAGAAGGATTTAGGGAAACTCTTAATTTCCCATAGCATGGATAGCCTACGTGCAAACTTACTTTCTAGTGATGGCAAATTTCTTTTTTTAATGCAGGAATTCAGCAAAATCTCGTGAAGGAGCCTTACTTGGATTTGAATGCCTCTGCGAAACACTTGGAAGACTGTTTGAACCGTATGCTATTACAAAAGAGATTGTTGTTGTTCTTGCTGTTTCTGTTGATATTATATTGTATTTTAAAGCCTTATTCACATTTTGGTTCAGGTATGTGATTCAAATGTTACCATTACTTTTGGTTTCCTTCTCTGATCAAGTTGTTGCAGTTCGTGAAGCAGCTGAATGTGCTGCCCGTGCAATGATGTCTCAACTTACTGCTCAAGGAGTGAAGCTTGTGCTTCCATCTCTTCTGAAGGTAATTATCTTATAATTCATTATGATTGACAATTCTTTTACCAACTTAAAGCCTCATACATCACTTTTAAAATCTGCACAAACTTTGGGATTATTTGGCAAAAGATGATTTGTGTATGTACTAGCTATTATGTATACTCTCTGTATAATGTTTTATGTATCTACACTTGTCACCATATCTTACAGAACATGTCTGATAGTAATTGACTGTTATGATTCACCCAAATTTGTGCCCCTTTCTCTTTCCCTCTTTATTCTTCTTGTAGAATAATTGGAACCTTGGGGAAAATGTAGCACATACCCGGTAAATTTTGATTATAGATCCTCACACTAGTTAACGGCTTAACACACAAGGTGTTGTGAAGCCTTTGCTCAAAAGTTTATGTTAGCTGCAGGTTGATGTGACTCATGTGAGCGCCTCATTGATAGGAAATCTTAAGTGCCTTCATAAGTTTTTCGAGTCGTGAGGTTTGTCTTGCTCTCAAAATTCAATTCACCAAAACTTTCAAGTATGAGAAAGGGATCTCCGTTTAAATACTTCTCTATGGAATGGTAGAGGATTCTATCATAATCACATCTACAAGGTAGCTTATGTGGTTGAAGAGCTCAATCTTAAGATATACTCTACATTAGGCTCCCAGGCTTGCATTTTGGGACTCAAGGTTCTTATCTTGGAATTGGGGTTCAACATTTGAACGGCCCCATGACCTTGGCATCTTTGCAAGCTGGTTTTATGCTAACTTTCTTGTCTAGACGTTGCAATATTTGGCTACATGCATTATTGCAACTGATATGCAAGGCTCAGATACAAAACTGATATGAACCTTTGGTGACCCCACCCCAAAAACTGAGGCCGGAGAGCCAAATGTTTATATAAACCTCACATTAATATGCCATATTTCCAGTGTGGGATTCAAGTCCTATACCTTGCAACTGGGTTCTAATGCAGATCAATTACCTCTTGGATGGAAATGGATCCCACATTAGATTGTCACAGAATCGGATCAGTCACTTGTCAGTTGGGCTTGCTTTCTATATTTACTGGCAAGCTTAATTTTTATGCGGCAGTTGCATATTCTACAATCTGATGCTTCAAGGTGGTTTGTTCTATTTCTTGTCGGCCTCACCCATCAAAACTTGGAGTATTTTGCAACCAAAGGAGAATGATCGAGAATTGGGAGAAAATATTATGGGAAATGAAATCGTGGAAGACAGAAATGAAAATATTTGGAGGATAAATGAACATATAGTGTTCTAACAAGTCAAAGGATGAAAGGAATTCTTGATACTTTTTACAGTAATTTATGAGCTATTTATCGCTCTTAGACATCAGCACCACAAACCCTAGAATAATATGGCATGACTGCACAATTCTACAATTATACCTGAAATATCTATAGAAGGGTAAAGAATAACAAGGATCTGACATATAGGACGGAAAGACCCTCACACTATACTTATTGTAGGAACAAATTATTTAGAGACTTTGGAGATGTTTTAGATCGAAGAGTTTTACTTTATTTATTTTTTAACTTATTTATTTTATTTTCATATTGGTGGTGGAATAATAGTGTACAGGACAAAATCAAGTATAAGAAGAACTGTTTTAAAGCCATACATTTGTGTAACAATGAGGAAAATTGGGAGAGGTACCGTATGGCTAAGAAGGAAACTAAGAGAGCTGTGGGTGAAGCTCGTTCTAAAGCTTTTGAAGAATTTTATAAGAACCTTGAGACGAAGGAAGGAGAGCAAAATATTTATAAGATTGCCAAGAGTAGGGAAAGAAAATCAAGAGATCTAGAACAGGTAAGGTGTATTAAGGATGAAGAGGAAAGAATTTTAGTTACAGATGATGAAATTAAAAATAGATGGGAGACTTATTTTTCTAAACTTTTCAATGATGGAGAGGATTCATCTAGTAACTTGGAGGATTTAGTAACTGGTGAAGGAGAACAAAATTTGTCATTCTATCGAAAAATACGTGATAAGGAGGTAAAGGAAGCTCTTAAGAAAATGGCAAATGGTAGAGCCAACGGACCTGATTGTATATCTATCGAAGCGTGGAAATGTTTAGGTGAAGAAGGGGTGAGATGGTTAACTAAGTTATTTAATGTGATTTTACGGTCCAAGAAAATGCCTGATGAGTGGAGGAGAAGTACATTAATTCCTATTTATAAAAATAAAGGAGATATTCAGAATTGTACTAACTATAGAGGGATTAAACTCATGAGCCACACAATGAAATTGTGGGAGAAAGTAATTGAGCACAGGTTGAGATTGGAGACAAGTATTTCTGAGAATCAATTTGGTTTTATGCCAGGTAGATCAACTACAGAGGCGATTTATCTACTAAGGGGATTAATGGAAAAGTATCGTTGTAAAGATAAAGATCTACACATGGTTTTTATTGATTTGGAAAAAGCTTATGACCGTATACCAAGAGAAGTGCTTTGGAAAGCGTTGGAAAAAAAGGGAGTACGGATTGCTTATATTAAAGCCATACAAGATATGTATGAGGGGGTAAAAACTAGTATAAGAACGCCTAGTGGTCAAACAAAGGATTTTCCTATAAAGATTGGACTACATCAGGGATCATCTCTGAGTCCTTATTTGTTTAACTTGATTTTAAATGTTTTGACGGAACATATTCAAGAGGAAATCCCGAAATGTATGCTCTTCGCGGATGATATAGTTCTTATAGCAGAGACAAGAGAAGAGGTTAATTGCAAACTTGAGTTATGGAGGAGGACATTGGAGTCGAAAGGTTTTCGTCTGAGTAGAAGTAAGACGGAATATTTATATTGTAAATTTGGTAAAGGACTATTCGAAAATAATTTGGAAGTGAAATTGGGAGATCAAATTATACCTCAAGTGGAAAAGTTTAGATATTTGGGAGCCATTATTCAAAATGATGGCGAAATCAGTGGAGATATTTCACATAGAATTCAAGCTGGGTGGTTTAATTGGAGAAAAGCTAAAGGAGTTATTTGTGACCGTAAGGTGCCTAATAAACTTAAAGGAAAGTTTTATCGTACTGCTATCAGACCGGCAATGTTATATAGTAGTGAATGCTGGGCTCTAACGGGACAGCAAGAGCATAAAGTTGGAGTAGCAGAGATGAGAATGTTACGATGGATGTGCGGACATACACGTAAAGATAAAATTCGAAATGAGCACATACGCGAAAAAGTGAGGGTGGCACCTATTGAGGAAAAAATGGTAGAAAATCGGTTGAGATGGTTTGGGCATGTACAAAGAAGACCAAGGGAGGCACCAGTGAGAAGAGTGGAACATATAACTTTGAGTCCGATTAAGAGAGGTAGAGGAAGGCCTAAGAGAACACTCTTGGAAGTTGTTGAACGTGATCTCTTAATTAATAATATTTCTAAAAGCTTAATAAATGATAGAGCACAATGGCGTCTTGCAATCCATGTAGCCGACCCCACCTAGTGGGATAAAGGCTTGTTGTTGTTGTTGTATTTTATTTTCATATTATCGTATTTTGGGCTCCCTAAAATTATCCTACGGTGGGGCGTTCAGTCTCCTTGAAGATATTAGTTTATTGTGTCATTTTTCTTGCCCAACTTCCTCCCCTTCCCCACTTGACATCTAGCGGTTCTGCATTAGTTATATTCTTACCATGCATTTGATGGAGAAGGGGAAAAATCTCTACATGTTGTCCCTAAGATCCCCTAAAAAATACATTTGATCTGACAATCCGTGAGGGCAGAAAGTGTTTGCATTTTACTTAAAACAAACATGGCACATAAATACAGAAATAGCACATATCAAAGTAGCTCTGCCTATCTATCTGGCAACCATTATCCCTAATTCTCTAATGGTATTTGTTTAACCAATGGTGGTTGATAGAGGTGGAAGAAACTTGATACCCTTTAAAACAAGGTCAAGAGTTCTAACTTTATCATTGGAATGAATCACATCAGGAGTTGCTTCTAATTTGGGCTTGGCAATGCTTAATATAGATTTGTCCTTAATACCAGAGACTATAGTTATACCAAAAAAAAAAAAAACTTGTCCCCAGACCAATTTGTGACTTTTATTTCCATTTTGAAGTACTGTTCAGGATATTAAAAAATACTCCCTCCGGTTCTTATTATAAAACACTTTCAACCGTTTCACACATCTTAAGAAAAGTTAGTTTTTTCTTGATATTATAAAAAAATGATATGTAATCTCATTTTTACCCTTGACTTTAAATAATGATATAACTATTAAATACCTTCATGCTAATCAGTAAGGATAAACTTGGAAAAAATAGTTTATTCATTACAAAGTGTCCTATATTTTGGAACAAAAATTACTTATAGAAGGTGTCCTATAAATAGGATTGGAGGGAGTACTCCATAGAATGAATTATTGCATCACTAATCTTCATTTTCAGGGTCTTGAAGATAAAGCTTGGAGGACAAAACAAAGTAGTGTTCAACTACTTGGTGCTATGGCATACTGTGCTCCTCAACAGCTATCTCAGTGCCTCCCTAAGATTGTCCCCAAGCTGACCGAGGTATTCCACCAAGCAGATGTCACTTTGAGACTTCTGATTCTCTTCTGTTGTATGGAGTATTGATTATGTTTTCTAAACTCTTTTCTGTTTTCAGGTTTTAACTGACACGCATCCTAAAGTTCAGTCAGCTGGACAGATGGCCCTTCAACAGGTTTGATTTGGTCATGAACTGTTAATTTCTGTCTCTATCAATATGGTTATATTTTCTTTTTCATGTAATTTATCTCAATCAAATATTTTTTAAGGTTGGGAGTGTAATAAGGAATCCAGAAATAGCTGCTCTTGTCCCTACGCTTCTTATGGGTCTTTCTGATCCCAATGAACACACAAAATACTCCCTTGACATTCTTCTCCAAGTGAGGTTTTTAGCTGCTGATTGTTTGAGTTTGTTCATTCTTCTTCGTTGTTGTCTAAATTTCCTTTGATTGACCGCAGACAACATTTGTTAATTCAATTGATGCCCCTTCACTTGCATTATTGGTACCAATAGTGCATAGAGGACTGAGGGAAAGGAGTGCTGACACTAAGAAGAAAGCAGCACAAATAGTTGGAAATATGTGTTCCTTGGTTACAGAACCAAAGGATATGATTCCATATATAGGATTGCTGCTTCCTGAAGTGAAAAAGGTTCGTCCTCATCATAACCTTTACATAGTTGTTTTGGCCTCTTCTCACTGCGTTTGAATTTTAAGAGCAGGTTCTTGTGGATCCGATACCTGAAGTTCGTTCAGTCGCAGCTAGGGCCCTTGGATCCCTTATCAGAGGAATGGGTGAAGATAACTTCCCAGATCTTGTCCCTTGGTTGTTTGACACACTCAAGTCTGAAAATAGTAATGTTGAACGCTCTGGAGCTGCTCAAGGCTTGAGTGAGGTCAGACTTTCTTCTTCTCATGCTTCCTTTTAGCATCTTCAATCATGAGCATCTTGGAATTTGGTTGTGGTCATGCTGGGCTTCTGACTAGATATATCCACCACCCCATTGAGCCAGAATGGAAATCTTGAGACCTGAGTCAATTAAAATGAAATCAAATTTAATTTGGAGGGAAACTTTTAGATGGTCTTCAAAGTCAAAAATTGATAGGATAGAAGTTCCTAAAAGAAATAGTCCAATGTGAATTCCTATGATTTTTGTCTGACCATCTATTTGTTTTGGTTACCTTTGCTTCTTAAAAATGAAAATTCATCAATTTTTTTCTTGTGGCAGTTCTATGCTTGAAACATTTTCTATTGCTACCTCTTTTAAAAACCTTTGTTTGGACTGCTGTACTCAATTGAATTAAATCGAATGATCTATTACAGATTCACAGGGTTCATAAATCTATCTCTGGATGCACATGTTAAGTGATTTTTGTGTTTGTATCCAAATAGTCTTCTTTCCTAACACTCAGATGTCTAGACTGCTCCTGAGCTGGTGTTTTATGAGTTTTGAAAAGCAGTTGGTTCACCCCAGTCTCTGTACCATTTATTGACTGTCCTTTTAGGGACTCTGGTCTGCAGGTTGACAGTAAGATTGTTTGGAAGTATGCTCTCTTTGAACGTTAAAGTTTTTCTACCTAATGCAAAATGCTACTTTTTCATCATATCATTTGTATTAATTGTTTCTCGCTGCACTATTTTTGGGCTAGAGTTGCATATGATCCTATTTCAGCTCACTGCTTGTTCCCCAGGCGCATGTGGTGGGTTGGGGTTGGGGAGGGTTGCTTTTACATATTTAAATTTCCTCAAAGATTGCAGAGATCTTGTAAGCTATTGTACTGTTCCACTTTGGTTTTTGTGTCTCGGATGTTTTAGGAGGATTTCTAATTGTCCTCTGTCCATCTTTTCTCAATAAATTTTATTTCTTAATAAATAAATAAAAAAGGTAATGTCACTGAAAGTTGATACGTGCAAAGCCTCTTGTAATTATTATCTGTCTATAAAAGTGTAAAGAATAGCAAAACGAGAATGAATGCTTTGAATGACCTTCATGAAGGGAGGCTTGAGTTACATAAATATATTTTTAGTAAAGAGGTTGTTTGAGATGGAGTCAATGGGGACTTACAAAGTCTAACTAAACAAAGAAAAAAAGATATCTAATGAGATTCTAACATTACAAATGGTGGAGGCGGTCATTTTAGTGCATTCAACTATATATTAGGATTACACAAAGAAAAGGAATATCCAAGCTTAGTCAACAAGATATTGATATAACTATTTGATACTTGATAAGATGCTTTTGCTGGTTTGTTACTTCGTTTCCATAAGCTATTCTCAATGAATTCTAGGTCTTAGCTGCACTGGGCATTGAGTACTTTGAGCACGCACTTCCTGATGTCATTCGAAATTGTTCCCATCAAAGAGCATCTGTACGAGATGGATATTTGACACTGTTCAAGGTGACCTAATAAAAGCCTAATACTTTTGACATTTTGAGTTTTTAGTGTATAGATTGTAATTGACTAGCTTCTTGTCAAAACTTTCTTGTAGTATTTGCCGCGGTCATTGGGAGTCCAGTTCCAAAACTATCTGCAACAGGTGCTGCCTGCTATCCGAGATGGTGAGCCTGCTAAGGGTTTTTGGGTACATTTTTCTGCATTATATGCTTGGCATTGTGCTCTTCTTTTCTGAATTCAATACCTACATTTTCTTTTACAGGTCTTGCTGATGAGAATGAATCTGTACGTGATGCTGCCCTAGGAGCTGGACATGTCCTGGTTGAGCATTATGCAACAACGTATGTTTATTCCTCCTTTTGTCTTGCATGTTGTGATTTGAATTTGTTGCCTAGACATGCTATTTTTTATTCTTATTTCAAAGGTGTTGTTTTAGAAGAAGTTTTTTTATATTGTTTGTAGATTGTAAATTTTGGTGAATCAAAGAGTTAGAACTATTGGTAAAGATTAGATTGTGTATACTTTGTCTGATTAAGTGGGCATCCCACAAATGTCCTTCACTACCCTTTGCTGCCTTAAGTAATTTTCCTTGTACCCCTCTACAGGTCTTTACCTCTGCTCCTTCCAGCTGTAGAAGATGGCATTTTTAATGACAGTTGGCGTATCCGACAGAGCTCAGTGGAGTTGTTGGGCGATCTTTTATTCAAAGTATATGCTGCTCATCCTGCTACTTTTTTGTGGAGTTTGATTTTATCTATGAGCTAATTTGCATTTCATCCAGGTTGCTGGAACCTCTGGTAAAGCTTTGCTTGAGGGGGGAAGTGATGATGAAGGTGCCAGTACTGAGGCCCATGGGCGAGCTATCGTTGAGGTTCTGGGAAGGGATAAGCGTAATGAAGTACTTGCTGCACTGTATATGGTTCGAACTGATGTTAGTTTGTCAGTCCGCCAGGTAATGGCTCTAATATGTCTCACCTTTTCTTTTGTATTAGTTTATACTGGATACATTTCCTCCATCCCCAGATTCCCTAACTACCTGTTAATTTCCATTTGACAATATAGTTATCCTTTTCTTTTAGTATATATATAGCTTATGCATGGTTCTTTTACCAGGCTGCATTGCATGTGTGGAAAACTATTGTTGCAAATACTCCCAAGACTCTCAAGGAAATCATGCCAGTTCTGATGGATACCCTGATTTCTTCCCTTGCATCGTCATCATTTGAAAGGCGGCAGGTTGGCACGGATTTTCAATAATATTCTTTATATGTCACGGCCTGCAAACATTGTTCATTTTAAATTTGATTCTGATGTAGGTTGCTGGACGATCACTGGGTGAGCTTGTCCGGAAGCTTGGTGAACGGGTGCTTCCCTTGATAATCCCAATTTTATCCCAGGGGCTGGATGACCCTGACAGCAGCAGAAGACAGGTAGAAATTACTGTGACCTCTTAATTTATGTGGGAGATATTGCACTGTCAACACCTACTTGTATTGCTTAGTTGGATGCTGTTATGAATTCCCCTTGCTTAACAGGGTGTATGCATTGGTCTGAGTGAAGTGATGGCAAGTGCTGGTAAGAGTCAGTTGTTGAGTTTCATGGATGATCTCATCCCCCCATTCGAACTGCCCTTTGTGATAGGTTTGTTGATTTCGTACTTATTTTGACTGCTGTTGGAATGTTTTTTTTTTGTGTTCATGTAACCTTTTTGTTGTTGTGTCTTTTGTGTTGCTGAGGTCCGCGAATCAGCAGTTTAGCATTCGGCACTCTTTATAAGGTTGATGGCCCCTTATATATTTGCTTTTGTTTGGAACATTTCTGTGGTATGCGAGCTTGAGCAAACATTTTTGACAGTCAGGTATTTTGTTATTAATATTAATGGGACTAAACACACTCTTTAGTGTGCTGTTTTCTATGTGCTTTTTCCCCTGACAATTAACGTTACAGGCTGCAATCAGAAGATCAACTTCGTACCTGATAGGATATTTATTCAAAAATAGTAAATTGTATCTGGTTGATGAAGCTTCAAACATAATAGCTACACTGATCATCTTGCTCAGTGATCCAGATTCATCTACTGTTACTGTAAGTTGTATGTGTATATCATAATAGAATGTAGATTGTCCGCACAACATATTGTTTATTATCTGCTCTTTCATTAGGTTTCTTGGAATCTTTGTCGAGGGTCATCAGTTCAGTACCCAAGGAGGTTTTGCCTTCATACATAAAACTTGTCCGTGATGCTGTATCACATCCAGAGATAAAGAGCGTAGGAAGAAAAAGGTGGGAGTGAAAATCAATAATCATTCTGTTCTAGTTTTCAATGATTTATTGAAAAATAATGTGGAGCTTTTATGCTTGTTAATTGCTTTGCAGGGAGGACCTATTCTCATACCTGGATTTTGTCTTCCCAAAGCACTGCAGCCTCTATTGCCTATTTTTCTCCAAGTATTTCTCCTTTATTCGTTGTGCTAATTCAGTATCTTTATTAATCATATTCTCATTTATTACATTCTTTGGATATCTAAGGAGTATGTGTGTGTCCTTGTGACCCTATCGATCATTTAGATAACTATTTTTTTTTTTCATTTTGTCTCTATCTATATTGGTCCACTAGGAACAGTGCAATCTGTTTTCTTTGTTTGTCAGTGATGAATATGCAAGTGACCTGTAGCAATTCAATTTTCTAGGCTCTTGTTGATGTGAGCTATTTAATCAAGTAGGGTGGTGGTAACCTTTGTTGTCTGGTGATTCCAGAATTCATTTATTTTTTTGTTTGAGACATTCATAACTTCTCTCTCTCAGCTTCGTTCCTATTACTTAATGCTTGTTATGATTTATCAGTGTAATTATATTGATGATCCATATTCACTAAATATATTACATTGTTGGGTTTCTAATCACACTATATGACATCTACATTTTTTTGGATTTACGTGTCATTTTCCAGTCTCTGATGTATGCTTGGTGCTCCTAGGGTCTTATGAGTGGGTCTGCTGAATTAAGGGAGCAGGCTGCATTGGGACTTGGTGAACTGATAGAGGTAACAAGTGAGCAATCACTCAAGGAGTTTGTCATCCGATAACAGGGTAAGTAATAGAGAAAGTGGCTTATGTCAATTGTATATGCTAGTCGTGCAAACTGATTGTATGTGTAGAAAAACCCTGGGTTTGTGTTAAATCATGAACCATCCCTTTCCCCTGAATTATTTCCTTCATGGTCTTTTTATTGCCCACCTATGGCATTTAAATGATGGAGCTTTATTTTAAAAACTGAGTACATTATCATATTATGGTTGAATCCTGATGGACACTAAAAGGAATGGGAATCCTTTCTCATAAGCTAGTTGTTGAAGCAGGAGAACAAATTCACTTAAGCATCTCATACTCTTCCATATAGGACTTGGACATTCCATATTTCTTGGCCCCCTTTTGAGAGGCAACGTCCTCACAGCTGCACTCTGGCACTTGTATGGTGATCCATCACTTAGCTTCCTTGCTTCTTGCTAGTTAAAACCCTCCATGGTAGCTCTGTGTTGGAATTATGAACTGCCAACTTTGATTCTGATTGCAAGCACTCGAGTGGGATGGATAACCTTCCTCAATAAGCTTGCTATTGATGTTGGAGAATAAACTCACTTAGATACTCCATAAAGCATTCCGTATTATGCAGCATGGAAGTTAGGCATCCTATTGAAAGCAAAGGCCTTTGCTAGATATAAATACATCACTTCTATTATGGCTACTTCTGTTTTTCCCTGTCTTTGATGGACATACCATCTACTTGTATATTCTGACTTCTCCTGTAATGTTTATCACAGGCCTCTTATCCGGATAATAGGTGATCGCTTTCCCTGGCAGGTGAGAGTGCCATTTTGTCTACACGAACATCATGATAAGAAAGGGTGGCATGGCCCTCAAACCTTTTCTTCCTCAGCTGCAGACTACCTTGTTAAGTGTCTACATGATAGTACAAGGTTAGTGCGAGAAAATGATTTTCCCATTATCTACAATCCTATGCTAATTTCATCTTTCATCTTTTTATAATGTGCATGATTTGACTTATCTCTTTTATGGTTTTGCTAGTTGTGGATCTTGTAGCAACCAATTTTATTTTGTCTGTTTTGCTCATTAGCAAATTTATGACTGCAGAACTGTTCGATCGAGTGCTGCCCTGGCACTTGGAAAGTAAGTGGACTCAGTACCAGGGTTGATCCCTTGGTTGGGGATTTACTGTCTGGTCTACAGGTGGTTTTATTATGAGTTCTTAATTAGTATTTATGGCATAAGCTGATTATTTATGATATACTGATAGAGGTAATGAACCCAGTACAATATTGTGGAATTGGTTGTTTAGGGATCAGATGGTGGTGTCCGTGGAGCTTTTTTGACTGCTTTTGAAAGGGTGTCCTGAAGCATGCTGGGAAGAATATGAGCATGGTTGTTAGAGGCCGTGTTTACAACTCCTTACGGAATTGATTCGTCATGATGATGAATCAAGTTCGTATGTATGCTGCAAGCATTTTGGGTATCTTGACAAAGGTTTGCCTCTTTATTCTGATATTACCTTATGTTACTTATTCCTTTTTCAGATATGGTTTTATTTTCCTCTGTTTTGCTTTACTGATGGATGATATGGTTAGTGCTGTCACTGAGTTTTTAGTGCTTTTGTCTTCATCATTGTAATTTGTGGGATATAACAGATGGCTGAATCTATGTGTTACTGCTTTATGCCTCTGGTATCTTTTTGATTGCCTTATAACTGTGCTTGCAGTACCTTGAAGATATTCAGCTGAGTGAGTTGATTCAGGAACTTTTAAGTCTGGCTTCATCACCAAGCTGGCCTTTTAGGCATGGCTCTGTTCTTGCAATATCTTCCATGATCCACCACAACCCATCCCCAGTTTGCCTGTCTTCCTCTTTCTCCTCTATTTTAACCACCTTAAGGACGCTTTTAAAAGATGAGAAGGCATGTTGATTCAGAATTATTTGTTTTTTCTTGCTAAATTGTTAATTGTATTTTGATTGTTGGACGTATTTCTGTGAAACAGTTTCCTCTTCGGGAAAGTTCAACCAAGGCGTTAGGCTGGCTCCTCTTATATCAAACTCAGAGGGATCATTTTGACCCGGTGCTGAACAAGGATGTTCTTTCATTGCTTGTTTTTTCATCCACCCACGATGACTCCAGTGAAGTTAGAAGAAGATCTTTGTCTGCTATAAAAGCTGTTGCCAAGGTATGTCCCTTAACGGTCCTGGCTTGGTTAAAAACCCACCTTGCCAACCAATACTATGAAACTATGGAAGTGTCATGAACTTTTCATTCCTGACATTTGCAGTCAAGTCCTCCAGCCATTATGTCTAATGTTACCATTACTGGCCCTGCTCTTGCCGAGTGCTTAAAAGATGGAAATATGCCCGTGAGAATTGCTGCAGAAAGATGTGCTTTAACATGCCTTCCATTGACGAAAGGTACTCTTACCGCAATTTTTGGTTTATGCGTTTCGTGCGGTGAAGAATTGCAGTAGGATATCCATAATTGCAATTATGCACTACAAGCCATTTTTCATGTTGAGTAAGGTGAATTTGATAATACGGATGGTAGCTTCTATCGAACATAGGAAAAAATGGTAAATTAAATTTAGTTGAACATTTTTGGGGTTCTTAAATTCTAGCTTGAATTGGGACTTCTAAGTTGAGTGATTATTGGAAAGCTGATCTTTCCATGATTTTGGGGGTCTCTGCAGCACCGCCCTTGGGCTGACAATTACAATTCAGAATTATGAAAAACTCAATTACATTAAGGAACCATGGTCCTTCTCTGCTATTATTAGAAAAATTACTTCTGACAACAATCCCCTCATGTTGCTGCTACTAAGAGCAGGTTTTTTTTTTTTTTTGGGGGGGGGGTGTTTCCCTTAGTACTTAGTGGGAAATAACTTTAATTGACGTGGAAACTACTTAACTTCAGACTCCATATGTACCATTTTTTTAGATTTCATATAACTGCTGCTGAGAAGAGTGTAATTGGGTTGGCTCTTATATCAAACTCAGAGGGATCATTTTGACCCGGTGCTGAACAAGGATGTTCTTTCATTGCTTGTTTCATCCACCCACGATGACTCCAGTGAAGTTAGAAGAAGATCTTTGTCTGCTAGTGAAGTTAGAAGAAGATCTTTGTCTGCTATAAAGCTGTTGCCAAGGTATGTCCCTTAACGGTCCTGGCTTGGGTTAAAAACCACCTTGCCAACCAATACTATGAAACTATGGAAGTGTCATGAACTTTTCATTCCTGACATCTTGCAGTCAAGTCCTCCAGCCATTATGTCTAATGTTACCATTACTGGCCTGCTCTTGCCGAGTGCTTAAAAGATGGAAATATGCCCGTGAGAATTGCTGCAGAAAGATGTGCTTTACATGCCTTCCAATTGACGAAAGGTACTCTTACCGCAATTTGTTTATGCGTTTCGTGGCGGTGAAGAATTGCAGTAGGATATCCAGAATTGCAATTATTGCACTACAGCCATTTTTCATGTTGAGTAAGGTGAAGTTGATATACGGATGGTAGCTTCTATCGAACATAGGAAAAAATGGTAAATTAAATTTAGTTGAACATTTTTTGGGGTTCTTAAATTCTAGCTTGAATTGGGACTTCTAAGTTGAGTGATTATTGGAAAGGCTGATCTTTCCATGATTTTGGGGGTCTCTGCAGCACCGCCCTTGGGCTGACAATCAATTCAGAATTATGAAAAACTCCAATTACATTTAAGGACCATGGTCCTTCTCTGCTATTAGAAAAACTTACTTCTGACAACAATACCCCTCATGTTGCTGCTACTAAGAGCAGTGTTTTTTTTTTTTTTGGGGGGGGGGGTTTCCCTTAGTACTTAGTGGGGAAATAACTTTAATTGACGTGGAAACTACTTAACTTCAGACTCCATATGTACCATTTTTTTTAGATTTCATATAACTGCTGCTGAGAAGAGTGTCCTAATTGGGTTGGAAATTTCTTAATACTTGGTTGGGAAATAACTCTAGCTGACTTGGAAACTATTTTCATGTCACCACCACTGAAAAATATTAGAATTGGATTGAAAATTTCTTAATACATTAATAAGGGTATTTTAGTCACAAGCTATTATTTTTAATTACACAGAAGGACCAAGGTCCTTAAATGTAATTTGACTATTTGATGGTACTGCATTGTAATTATCACCCTTGGAAGGTCCTTATTTGTGATTTTCCCTAATTAATTGCTGCTTGAATTTTATTTATATATAATTATAGGAAGCCGCACTATTAACAAGTCATGAATTGTGGGACAGTGTGATTTACTTTTGTATGGGCTGGGAAAATCACAGTGAAGGACCTCTAGGGGATTTTATTATCGAAAAAGACTAAAGAATTCTGAATCCACCCTACAAGACCAAAGGACCAAAATGTAATAAAATTTTAATGTGAAAAGACAAAACTACCATTCTTTAAAAAAAAAAAAAAACTCCTCACTATCATTGGTCGCTGACATTTGGACCACCCAGACGCAGCCACTGGAGCTTTGGCGCCAGCAGGCGGTCTGCTGTACCGATCACCGGACTAGTGAAAAGGACAAATTAAATTTTTTTAAGGTGGCCAAAGGGGTTTGAACCCACATTCCCTTTGCCATCAAAAGGATAATTAGCCACTAGGCAAACAATTCCTTTCAATTATATAGTGCAAATTTTTATAGGGTAACGGGGCAAAAATACCCACAAAGTAATCAATCACGAGCACCCAATATCCTAAAGTGACAAAAAGGCAAAAATACCCATAATGTTACATGGGTGGGTGCAAAAGTAACTAGACCGTTAACTTTGATCTAACACTGCTAACTTCAACCGATAAATGCTGATTGTACATGCCACGTGTCAATCTTTGCTGACATGGACTAAAAAAGGGACAAAAATACCTACAAAGTCATCGGCCAAAAGCAAAAATACTCATAACGTTACCAGAGTTGGTGCAAAAGTGACCAATTCATTCAATCCCTTAAATATTGGCTGTTTAGTTGACACCTAAGCAGAAGTTGATTATTTTTCACTGATGTAGACAAAATATTCTAAGATGAATTTTTACGGATGTTGATCGATCATTATATAGTACCTATAATGTTACTTTAGTATGTGTAATAGTGACCAATCTGTCAAAATCAATGCCATATGGTTTCTTTCCATCATCACGTATCTCGCCCCTTTCCTTTCTTCCTCTCCATTCATTTTTCTTGTCTGCAAAACTTGAGATTTAACATAGTGAGATAGGTTGTTCAAAATCGAAGATCGAGACTGAGCACATTAGCTTAAGAACATTGTCACAACCTTAAACAATTGCATTCACAATAAATTCAAAATTTTCAAATGATTTTCACCATTGCTATAAAGAAACAAGCAATTTAATTTGATATTCAGTCAAAATAATATTTTCTCATATGACATTCATACAATAATCGATTAACTTCCAGAGGATTTCGTCTAGGAATATTTTTAATGCGCACTTGCTTGTCAATTATCAAGAGAAATTTTCAAAGCTAGTAATGGAATTTTTCATTTCACATATGGTTATTTGTTAAATTATGAATGAAAACCTGTCATTCCTGTTAATAAAAATAAACAAACATTTATAAGAGTTAGTGCATATTAGAATTTTTTAACAAGTTTCATTAGTAATTTAACAAGTAGTCATTTGTAAACTGAGTAGTAAGCATTAAGCTCTTGATAAGTATTGGCATGGAATGTGGAAACAAAGTTTAAAATATATATAAAAATTTGCACTATATAATTGAAAAACTATCCTTCTGATGGCAAAGGGGATGTGGGTTCAAATTTCCCTTGGCCACTTTAAAAAAATTTAATTTTTCCTTCTTGCTGGTCTAGTGTCAGAGCTCCAGCAGGTGGTCCAGCCTACCTTAGCTTGCTCAACTGTCTCCTTTTGGACTTCTAATCTATTCTAGGAAACCTTAACTCTGATCTGTCAGTATATTCGTATCATAGTTATCCAAATGTGATGGGGGAATGATGATATCTTGTTCATACTGATTTTCAGGTTCAGAAAATGTTCAAGTAGCACAGAAATATATCACTGGCTTGGATGCAAGACGTTTGTCAAAGCTTTCTGAATATAGGTATGTGTGGTTAGATTTACATTTCATACAATGCAATTATTGTCAGAGTTGGGAATCTTGTGTTTGTCATCGCATCACAATCAGTTTTCTGCAGATATCATATCTGTGTGATAATATCTAGGAATGGAGCAAAATTTAGGGATGTTAAATGGGAAATTGTATAATTTTGCCATTAAAAAATTAATTCAACATAGTAATGGAAAAAATGGTTGATGTATTTCAATAGTGGTGATGGTTTTCCTTGTGAAAACAGCTTTTCTGTGTGGAAAAATACATGGAAAGTTGAATTAAGCGGTATGCGACAAAACTTGTTGGTTTCTATTTGAATCCGGTAAGTTTAATGTTGTAATCTTCGTTGATTTTTAACAAAACACCTTTTTTTTAAATGAAGTTAATGCTTATTGGCCAAAGAAAATCGCACAATGATTATATAATCTATTGATGTGAACAACTTAACTGAGTAATGTTGTCCAAAAAAAATTACTACTAAAATTTTACCTTTATAGCTCGTAAACAAGGCAAGAATACACGCTGATGATGTTAATGATAAATTTCTCTCTTGCTTGCCTTGCTGCTATGCAGTGAAGACAGTGAAGACAGTGAAGAAGACATGTCAAGTAGCTGAGCAGCTTACTTTTCTACAGGCGCTGTGTTCTTTAATATCATCAGGGTGTCGACTCATTGTAGATGGCCGACCAATTTTTTCTGGGTGCGCTATAGTGGCAAAAATCAGTATGCACAGTTGAGGCTTGACACCCAATTTTGCCTTTTTGTTTGTTTTTTTTTGGGTTTTTTTTTTGGGGGGGGGGGGGGGCGGGGGGGGGGGGGCGGAATTGTTTTGTCTGCATAGTTGTAAATCAGAGGAGTGTATGTATTTGTTTTATAGTCTCATAGTTGTGATAATATAATGTTTTATTGTTCTTCATGGAACGATGCTCCCTCCTTGTCAGTTGTCACTATACCCTTTAAAAAAAAAAAAAAAAAGGTGGTCACTATACCCTGCATCTTAAGGCATGAATTACGGTTTGGCCAGCTCTTCGTTGTTTGAGTTGGAGTTGAAACGGGATAATGATTATGAAAGTCAGATATACTTTGATGAAAATAAAAGAATGAATAAATGTTCATAGATTAAATAAAGCTCAGAGAGAATCATACCAGATATTTTTTCGATGAAGCACAGCAGATGTACCTTACAAGAGAGGGATTGAATAGAAAGGTGCTTAATTCTAGTGTTTGTTTTTTTCCTCAACCAGCCTCATCTGTTTATAGTGTGGATGGTCATGGTAAATCTTATATCGTTTTGAGAAGACGATTCGGAGTTATTTGGATTTGATCAAGAATAAATCATTAATTCTTGATTCAGGTGAAAATTAATTTAATCAAATATATTAAATTAATATCTATTTTCTGATCAAAAGTGGATGCTGTGATTGGACATATTTTGGTGTTGTTTTGCATGGCCGGTGCAGCTTTCTTTCTTGGCAGACTAGCAATGTTGAAATCAAGAGTTCATCAATCAGGTGGACTATAATGAGTTGTTATTTTATTATACTACGCTTTTGTTTGCCTTTGCCATCTTCGATTCCTGACCCGTAAACAGCACAGTATCGGCTAAATTGAGTAATATTAACAGAAGTCGAAAGGGGGCAGGAGTTTCTCAAATTGCATGACGTTATTATCGTTGGATTTACAGCGGGCTATGGAGTGGGAGCGGTGGCGAGGGAATGGGCCGGCTCGATCTTGGCCATCATGAACCCAGCGGGCCTCACGCTCTCGTCTGGGTCGTCGTAAGCATAGGCGAAGCCGCCATGCCTCGTCAGGTCCATTCCTGCCATCTCATCCTCCCTTGATATCCTCAACAGCTTCATCTTCTTCAGCATGTAGAAGAGCGGCCCCATTGTCGCCGTCACCCACCCCCACACCGCCGCCATCCCCACCACCTGTGCCGCCAGCAGCCTCCCTCCCCCTCCCATCAACAGCCCGTGCTTTCTCCCTCCTCCGTACACCTCCTCCACGTATTCTTTCTTCGCCAGCAGTCCCGTGAACAGCAATCCCCACGCCCCGCACCCTCCGTGCAGCTGCGCCGCCTCCAGGGGGTCGTCATACTCCACCCTCTCCGCCAGCTTGTTCAGCCCTATCAGCACCCATGCCGCCACGAAGCCGCATATGATCGCCGCCCATGGCTCTACCACGGAGCACCCGGACGTTATTGCTGCAAATCCCCCGAGTAGTCCGTTGCACACGTCTATCACGTTCCAGTGTCCCGCTACTAACCGTTTTCCAAACAAAGTGGTCAGCGCCGCCGTGCACCCTGCCAGTGTCGTCGTCACGGCTGTCCTGCCTATCGCACTCCATTGACCATAATAATTCCCGCCCCCTCTGTATCCCTTCAGGATCGTCAGGAATGAGCCCGGGTTAAACCCGTACCACCCGAACCATAACAAGAAGGAGCCCAGCACGACTAGAGATGCGCTGTGCCCTCTCAAGGCCACTGACCGGCCTGTCCGGTCGAACCGCCCAATTCTTGGCCCTTCCAGATAGGCACCCCACAGCCCTGCTATGCCGCCCACCATGTGAACCACCCCCGAACCTGCGAAGTCAATGGCACCGGATCCAAATAAAAGGCTATCGGCCAGAGTGGGGCTGGCCCACCCGTCAGTGGACCAGAACCAATGGGAAACGATGGGGTAAACGAAACCTGTGAGAAAAGAGGAGTAGAAGCTTGGGTTCTCTCAGCGATGGAGCCGCTGGTGATTCCAGCGGCTGCTATGGCGAAAGCCCATTGATAGAGGAAGAAGCTGTAGTCTCCGGATGGAGAAGGGAAGTGTCGGAGGCCAAAGAAGTGGCGACCGATGAAGCCGTTGGAGGGGGACCCGAAGGCAAAGGCAAAACCGAAGAGATAGTAAGAGAGGCCGCCGGCGGCTGCATCGAGCACGTTGGTGAGCATGATGTTCATGGTGTTCTTGGCTCGCACGGAACCGGCGCACAGCATGGCGAAACCAAGTTGCATGGCGAACACCAGATACGCTGAGAAGAGAAGGTAGGTGTTGTTGACGGCGTAGGTGGTTTCACTCAGCTTTGCGGATATGGCTTCGAGCTGGGTACAGAGGTAGGTGGCAGCACCGGTTGCGTTGGAGGCAGCGAAGAGGAGTGGGGCAAGGTCCGCGACGGAGCAAGAGAGAGAAGCCATGCAGATGGATGAGGCAGAGCAAGTGAAGAACGTGCGAGCGAGAGTTGAGATCCTTGGAGGATGGAGCCTAATTTATAAAGATCACTGGAATATGAAGCGCCTCTTTTTTCAAGCATTCGCATGTCACTTGCTATCGTGTATGAGTGTGGAAGAGGAGTCCAATTAACGCAAGAACCTATAGCTACTTGCCTTCTCTTTTATTATTAGTGTTGTCGTTGTTGCAGTATATATAGTTATTTTATTTATATACCAATAATACCATCAGCCAATGTAAAACATGCAACAATTACGATATTCATGAATTAATACGTGCCGTCCAAATTGGGCCCGTTCTTCTGAGCACAAATCTTGACAAGGAAGACAAGGAGGAGAGAGCAGAATAAATCTACTGTCCAAAAATATAAACGAATCATGAGGGTCTATGTATATGTATGGTTCCAATTTGTGCACTCAAACATTCACATGCGTTCAGATTCCTGTTGGATAGTAAACTAGTCTGTATCAGAAGCGCTTGAGTGGCTCTCATGAAACAAGTTTTTTTGGCATGTTACTACAGACAATGGGTAAGTTAAGCGAAGAAAAAATTGTGCGAAAAGAAAAGAGAATCAACGTTGGTTCTCTTTCATGCTATTACTATTTTGTCAGGTTATTAGGTCTTTTTTCTTCATAGTTTCTACAGTAAACAAGTGACAGCCGCAGAGACAATAATAATCCGGCCCTTTAATTTGGTGGTGTCAGCAAAAACAAGAAATTAAAGACTGCCGAGATTAACCCGAATAGCCTATTCTTGAATTTATTAAGCGTGCGAAATCAGACACCAGATTAACTTTATCTGTATATCTAGCCTTCTCTAGTTAGCAGGTGTATGCACAGATGACGTCTGAACTGTCTCTGCATTGACAAGCTTTCATTTGTTTGTTAATTCATTACTTTCTTCATAACTCAAGTATTGGCGACATATCTATGCAAATATACTAGAACAATGTTTTTTCCCCAAATGCTTGCATGGAAACCAAAATTTCTAATGGCCGTCAAGCAATGAATTGCTTTAAATATATATAACAAGGTTTGTGAGCGCGCGCGCATTTTAAAGTGCTGATGAGAGTGATGGCCTAAACATGATTTCTTATGGCTAACCAAATATGTTATTTTGTGGTCCTGATATTCCTCGTATGTTTCTCGAAGGGATCTCTAACTCTCTGCAAGTTGTCAGCTTAGATGAAAACCAGCGCCACGGACCTTATAAAATAGTAGTATCAGTTAGCTTCTTGAGCTTTGCGCAAAAAGGGCAGGGGGGGGGGGGGTTTAGCTTCTTAACCTAGTTTTAACTCTCTCTGTTTTTTTTTTTTTTTTTTTGAACAATCTCTCGCTGTTTCTCTATTTCCGATGATGCCCTCCATTACTTTAAGATTTGTTTAGGAGCTGATTAGCTGAAGTGAAAGGGAAAGGAAATGACGGGAGACACGGTGACGAACTGCATATTAATTCAATTTGTCAACTAAATATTTATATGTAAGTATGGTCGTCCTTTTTGGGAAGATACAAAAATAGTAAATTATGACGCTGCGAGCGGACACCGATCACGTTATATTAAAGAAACCTAACCCACCCATAGAATGAAGAATGGCTTGTTTAGCTCACTAGGTGCTGGATTATGGGGAAAAGTTTACGGATCTCACATATGTATGGTCGTTGACTTTGAGCTTCAATTATTTGTGCATGAACAAGAAAAGTACAACCTCTGGTGATTATATAATTTTTTTTATGATTGTCTTCCCGGTGAAGCTGCAGCCATTTCAGTGGGTATTATATAGAAAATTAAGGAAGCGAGAGTGGGACAGTAGGGGCCGGATCCATCATGATGTTCATCAAGAGTAGATTAGTGTCATTGTTAGATTAGAAAATAATACCATTGGTTGATTATTACATAGTTAATAATTCTTGTGAGTGAGTAGAGCACGCTGAGTATGCAGACTAATTAAATCCAAATCCATATTATTACGGCATTAACAGGGGATCTGACGGTGACACGCTAAGTACTTTTATATATGGATGTCGTTGCACACAGGTAAATGACAGCCATGTATATATTTCTATAAAGAAGTTGGATGTTTTCATGATTAATTGAATAATTGTGAATGCCAACTGCTTTTCGATCGTGGAGTTTCCATGCCTGTGAAAAATCACTATTATATAAAAGCCGCCAGTCACTGACGTGGAAGGTGGAACCTATACGGCCATAATCACTAATCAGTCACTGTTCCGTCCCTCACTTCACTGACAAGAAGAAAAAGCCAGACTGATTAACTTACCATTTATTTAATTAATTAATTAAGGTTAAGCATTATACATGTGGATGAGTGCTAGTTGGTTGCTGTTGTCTCCCCAGAAGCTTGTGAGTTTCCAAATTACTTTTTGGTATCACATTAATTTACAATCAACTTATCAAGACTCAATACTGTTTAAAAATATAAAACATTTTTAATTAAATCTCACCCTCAATAAAGTAATTATCTATTTTTAAACTAACTCTATCTTTTCATATTTATCCCTATTAAATACTCTACAATAAATATAAAGTCATTCATAAAAAAAAGGCAATGATTATACCTCAAAACACTAAAAATGTTTTACATTTTTGAATACCCAATTCTATAAAAAATGCCTTATATTTTTAAATGTAGAGAGTATAGAGATACACATCTATGATGATACAATAAAAAAATTATAAAGATAAATATGTATTCTATTTTAATTTTTTTGTGAAAGTATTTATTCTTTTTTAAATCGTAGCTATAATAGTTTTATCCGTGTAAATGTATGGTTGAACAAATTATTTTATATAATACATATTTAAAAATATAATATAATCTGTTTAAAATGTTTATCTATTGAATATAATAAGCAGCAAAACATATTGAACAAACACTGAAACACATAATACACGGTGAGACAATTTATTTTCTTTTGGCTAGACGCTCACAAACTTATTAGACTATGATATATAATAGCTTGAAATTTTCTAAAACACTGAAACCAATAAAATGTGTAAAGGAATATTGCTGAAAGAATGAATGCGGCTGCAAGTTACACGATATCTATGCATGTTTTACAGCTTAACTGTGCCGATTTTCATATTTTGTATATTAATTTTTTTTATTATGCATAAATGTTTTTCTATTTGAGACAATCATGTTCGAGATATAATCGAATATTAAATATAAATACTTTTCTTAAATCTTGATTTATCACGTTGTGGAAGACTAATCCCTTCACTAAACACACACAGCCCTCATTGGGTATATAGTAACATTTTTTTTTAACAATTGAAATATGCAGAGAAAAATTAAAAAAAAAATAGTTATACATGGAGGCCCAATAAAATGTGTAGAGATAATAATAGTAAACAAACAGGATAAATTATACAGAATTTGAAAATAGCTGCACTAATGCAATTTTATATTTTACGTTAATTTTAATGTTGATGATCTCTAAAAAATTGTTTAATATGTAAAATGATCAGGTCAGGTCAAGTACCAAGGGTTAGTGCAGGCAGAGTCACCAAAGTGATTTTGGTGACGCCCAGCTTATTCGGCCTTTTATTTATTTATTTATTTTGGAGAGGGGCGATGAAATGGTTTAGCCTGTGGTTATAACAGAATGGGCCCAAACAAGTGGTAGGCCAGTCCAAAAAGCATCTAAAGGGGTTAAAAACGCTTATTTAACAAAACTAAAAACGAAGGATTGCTTCGTGGCAGCAAGGTCTCATCTCCTTTCATGGTGCATTTTCACTCTCCAATTCTGCCTTTGACCCTCCATGGCTACAACCAGAAAGGAATAACAGCAGAAGGTTTAATTTGAATTGATGCACTGCCGGACTCGATTTCGGTGCTCATCTTAGGTTTCGGTGCTTAGCACCAAAACACTACCGTTTTGCAGTGTTTTTTTTTTCTCTCACTTTTTTCAAACCACAAATTTATTATAATAACAAATAATTATTATAAAATTATTATTTTAATATCTAATATATTAATAAATATTAAAATGTTAGAATTCACCCTGAATAATTTAAATAAAAATTTTGATTTAAACATTGAAAATTGTATTGAAAAAAATAAAAAATAATCTAAATAATTTAAAATAAGAGTTGAGTCTAACAAAATGAGCCATTTTCTTACATTGTAATAAATTAATGTTTAAATTTTTATTAAAAAAAATACTTATATTTAATACTGATTATGCCTTGAATGATATTATCTTTCATAAATAAACAACTGTGCAAAACCAATAAAATAAAAAAATATTTTTAATTGCAATTTTAATTTTTTAAATACAATTTTAAACTATTCAGACTAAAATTTATATATGAAGTCAAATTTTAATGAATTAGTCTGTTCATATTTAATTTTAACATCTTAATATTTATTTATTTATTAAATATTAAAATAATAATTTTATAATATTTATTTATCATTATTATAATAAATTTGTGGTTAAAAAAAAGAAAAAAAATACTGCCAAATAACAATGTTTTGGTGCTGAGCACCAGGGCGCTCATCTTAGGACGAAACCGATTTCTGCACTGTTGCGGTAGCTGCAGGAGCAGCACAAGGTGGAAGAAAGTGGAATAGACAGCTGAAAACGTCATCCGTCATAGCTAAATGGGTAGGTCATGGGCAATGAAGATAACTCAGTTGTAAGGGACAATAGGTCAATGGGTGGAGACAATCCACATAGATGTCTTGTGCCTTCCACATGCCTCAAACTCAGACTGAGACTCAGACGTGAAGAATATTCATTCCCACGTGAGTTTAAAAAGAGGATAATTGCTTGCATCAAGAGCAATAAAGCCACTGTAATCATCCATTCACACGAAAATTTGCGCTACGAGAAGATAAATAAGTTGAAATTCTTGCCTAAATAGTTTTCATAATTAAGGAGAAAAACATTAAACAAGTGAGCATTGTTCCTCACATCACATGGAGTTCGGTGATAGAAAGCCAGAACCTTTGTCAAGCAACCCGGTCTTCAAAATCAAAATCATAACAAACATTGGCAAAGCCATACAAACGAGGATACAGATACACTTCATTTTGTAATTCACTTTGCCCACTCCAAGTCTAGAACTTGCGGGTCAACCTTTGATTGATGACCATGCATGCCTTTGGACTGATCATGAGCCAGACGATCCCAACCCATAATGCGCGGCAATGCAAACTGCACCAAGGAACAATATATGGTGGAATGTATGACTAAATACGATTACGAAAATCTTGACCCTCCTAATAAAGAGCCTAGGCATTGAATCTTTCACATCGATTTGAAAGTCCAATTATCAAGCCTAGGCAACAGCTATAATGTAATTGGCATGATTAAAGTAATCTGATAAAAATGATAAGAAGAGCATACGCTACAGGCAGTCTTCATCACAGCAAACTCAGCAGTTGTGACTGGAACAGACAAGTATTCTTTGGTTTTTAAAATGTTGTTCACAACAGCTGCCAAAAGAGGTCGATGCACTGGTAAGCGTATGAGATACATTACCTAAACATCAAAGCCAACAATACAGGGCCTTACACAAAGACATAAAGTAGCCAGAGCTGTCTGCATGTGGCTTAATTGATAAGCTCTTCCTGACTTGACCAGCATTACTGCAGCATACAGTACTTACTAAACCATCAAGAATCAATTTTCAAAGTTCAAACTGTACAAAAGTAAAACTGTAAATACAATGCACATTCAATAGGTTAATGCTATGTGAGTTCCTTCATTCCCCACAATATTTCTCTAAGCTGTGATGATTTGATAGTGAGGTAGTCAAAAGCTAATCCTAAATGTTACAACAGAAAGGCCTACGTCAGACCAATTTCTAAACGAAACCAACCTTGATAACATTGCAGGGTCATGAAAGAATTCACAGGAATCTGTGGGGCCCGTGCTTATCAAAGAACCAACTTCCGTTGCTGAGAGAGCAAATCTCTACAAAAAGGCAATCACTAATAATTTGAGACAGAGAGTATGTGGGATGCATAAAAAGGTTTCACATTAGTTCCTCCTCATAAGTAATTATAATTGCAACTAAAAATATCAGTGACATGTTGCAACCAAGATACTCTTGAAAACAATTGATTTACCTTGGAGGGCTGAGCTTCAAACAACACAGTATACCAAAAAGATAACGGGGAATAAGAGGAGGAAACAAAGATGAAAAAATTATTCACCTGTTTCTTCTTCCAGTCATATTTGCGCTCACCAAGAGCAGGTATGAAAGTCATCATCATTGAACCACGGCGATCAATAACAATGGTCCCAGACTTTTAAAGCGGAATTCAGGAACAAGAAATTTTGTTTAAGACCACAAAAGAGGTACTCAATAAATTGAAATAAAGAAATTACAAGCTTACATCCAACTTAGAGAAAGTTGGAAGTCGGGGACTCAGAGAGAGTGCAGCTTTGCCTTTGAAAACAGAATATGGAACAAATATTTGACTTGAAGTATATCCTGCGGGATAGCAAGTGGAAAACAGACACAGGATCTCGATTAAGTTAGCAAAAAAAATGTCCAGAAAATGCTAGTTTAGAGAATGCCTGCCTTTAGCAGAATAGTCATTTGTAGCGGTAGAAATGCCAGCTGAATGGGTAGTACAACCACACAGAAGCCATAGAGCGTCTCTAAGATCAGCTTTCTGAGATAACAGTGTTTCTGATATCTGATGCCTATTAACAATAACAATTCAAATGAATGAACTGAACCCTGATAATGTTGATCTTCAATGAACAAGCATCAATTTTCACAGGTCATAACGTTTATTGGCAGATGAGGGTTACATCTACTAGTAATACATATCCCAAATGAATGAACTGAACCCTGATAATTTAGATAAACCCAAATTTTTTTTTTTCTAAACCTTGTTTATATTAGCATATATCTGGGAAGACGACAACTATCATATTTAGTATTTTTTCCCCAATTTAGATGGACCGTTTACCAAGCAGAAACAGCAACAGAAGGGAGAAAGCATCACGAGTATCCAGCCAACAATACAATGGCGAAATAGGTGTGGAATTTTTTAAGAGAACCTTGAATTAAATTTTCCAGAAATTTTAGAGAATGCTTATTTATTTCACGACTACGTTCAACAGTAATGTCCAGAAATTTTCCTTCTCAAGGTCAATATCCCTGGTTACCATGGGAATTATCAAAATATTTTTCGCGTCGCTTACGCTAGGTCAAGAAAAATATACAATACGAGAGAAAAGAAGCCAAAAACAGTAATTGTCTATACAGTGAATAGGTGATACAGAATGACAATGAAGAAAGCCTTCGACGAAACAGAGTTCGGTACCTGGAAGAGAACAAGCGAGACAGCTTCAACATTTTCGGAAAAGCGAGATAGCTGCAGGCCCGGGGCTATGTAGTAGCGCGGAGAGTGGACTTTGACGGGATTTTATTTGTCGCGGATAAAAATTTCTTCCGCTCCAACGCCTTTTTTTCTTCCCGTCCCCCCCTCTTTTTCTTTTTTGTTTGATTAATCTGACGCTCCACTTAACAGTTAACACATTGGTCCGACTGCTTCACCCGGATCTGAAACTTGGCAAGTACTACCTCAAAATAAATAAATAAACTGGGAAAAGAAAGCTAAATGATAGTATGCTATAATGTCAACACATTACTTAAAATGCATTATGTTATCTCTTTCTCTATTATCTGGCCCAAAAAAATAACTTTCTCTATTGCAGTTAACTAACATTTACTACCCTCTGCACAGGAGCTTCTCCTCATATAATACTCCTAAAATATTATATTCTAAGAGTTGTCTGTAACATAAAATAAAAATGAACTTTATGAATCCTATTTGACATAATTATAACGTAATTATAGTGCAATTAACATGTACAAAAATATTAACAAGAATATTTGAAATTCACTGAATAAAGAATAAACATGACAGTAACAACAACAAAAAGTATTATCTCACTATATAAGGTTGGCTATATGAATTATATGATATTATTATATTCTATCATTTATCAAGTTCTTAAGAATGTTGTTAACTAAAAGGTTTTGATCAATAATTTTCATAAGTATTCCATTTGATCTTCATCTGTCCCTCTTAACAAGATTCAAAATTATTCATTCCATTCTCCTCGTTGATGCCTCTTGCAATCTTTTTTGTATATATTTGAACAACAAAATACATACAAGGTTACAATACTAACAACCATATGCACCTATCAAATAACGCTAGACTACGATAATAACAACCATGTGACTAAAATATAAAATGCATGATCAATGACAATCTTATACTCTCCTGATACCTCTGACATGAAATTGATGGCTATAGTGGCTATGTCCAAGAACTCAGACTAATCAAGCCTTTCACTCATGAGGAACTACTTGGCCAAGGCTACCTCACTTACTTGTGATTCACGATTTTTTTTAATATTAACAAACATAAGGTGTCGTACCTTTGATCTAACCTTCTTATGAATTAATGGAGACTAGTTAGGTTTGAGTCTCTCGAAGAACAAGTGGGATAGTCTCTTATCAATCATAGGATGACTACCTCCCTATTTTAATGGTCAACAATTTGGCTAGTTTCCAATTTCAATGATAAGCCGTCAATACCACATGAATTTATCACATATACTCTTCTCTCCACATGCAAACTCCTACTATAAATGATCATGCCATGCACACATCAACACTTAGCATGCACATATATTGACATTCATCACATCATACATATCATACTCATCAAAGACAATTTTCCATCATACTCCACATATCTAATCATACATAATAACCCGTGTTATGCATTTTCATATGCACATATAACATACATATCATTTTTTTTAATTCAAGCACATTTCTCACCCAACAAATAACTTGCCACAATTTGCATTAAATGAATTCACAAACACCAAATATGTTTCAAACAAAATATTTCAACAAATAATTAATTAACAAACAATTGTACAAACTAAATTTCTCTCGATTACCTCAAACTTATAAGAGGTCAAAGGTTTAACCCTCAATTACTAACACTTATAAAGCTCCAATTAGCTTGAATGGTGTAACATCCTAAATTTCAAGCTTTAAGTTTGTAGTATTTAAAAGGAGTAAATTGATAACATTAAGTAATTAATAAGTTAATGATGTTTTCGGACTACTAATAAGGATATTGGATCATTGGACATCCTTAAAAGAGGGCTAAATAAAAGTTCATGCAAATCAAGTATCAAGTGATGCCTAAAATTATTTTGAGCCTCATTGTGCCATCTTCTACGTTGGATGCACAAAAATTTGATTTTATCAAATCGTGCACATGGGCTGAAACAAAAGGAAGGAAGTGAGAAAATGAAAAAGGAGGCAGAGGCAAAGTTTATGGTCGTTAAGGCTTCACTTTGAGGGTAATTTAGAGGCAATTTGAGCTAGTCACATATTTGGATAAGCTTCCTATCCATCTTCTTCTTTATGCGAATTTTCTATAGATTAGGTAGAGTTAGTGTTGATTTTCATCCTCCCTTGAGTTTTGACTAACCTGTTATTTTAATTAGGGCCTTAGGAAATTAAGTCAAGCTTCTAAACCTAATTTTGTGGATTTTATAGTAACTTGGAATTTTTGGTTAAGGTTTATATGAACCTTGAGTGAAAATTGGAAGATTGGAAGTAATATGGGTAAAGAATTAATGTTATTTAAGTATTTAGATGTTAAATGAAATTATTGGAGTGTGTTAAGAGTATTGATTATGTTAAAGAGAAAATTTAGATATAGTAGGTACCTAAAATTAGGTGAAAAGGAAGGTTTATTTATATTTATAATTAATTATTAATGTTTAATCTTATAGATTAAATATTAATTGAGCCCTATGGAGCTAATGGACCTTTGTCGAGTAACCAAATTGCCACGGTAACCTTATTTTGAGGTAAAATGGTTGAGTTAACCTAATAATCTAGTCCTTTTACTTGTGTATTTAAATGTGTATGAGTTTCATGAAAAGTGCGCGTGTGCGTGCGCGCGCATATATATTCTATTACAAAAACTAGCAACTTATTTATATGAGTGTTGGATTTTGGAAACTTGTGTGAAGTAGTTTTGAAACTATAGTTTTAAACCTATGTCTAAAGCATTTTTCCCTTTTATAGAAAATTGTGATATCAAATATAAGTTTGAAATGTTAGTAAATGATGTATATTCATTCCCAATGACTTGATTGTGTATGATTGAGACTGTATAAGCATGATCATTATGAGTGGGTATGAGTTTGTCTTAGAATTATCAGGGCATATTGTATGAAATCCATATGGTACACTAGTATTATGGAGACTTCGGTGTACAATCTCTCCTGTTTGGAAGTCTTTGTACTATCTTAAAAATAGATTGGGTATATGACACCGCGAACATTCGAGAAAGGGGAGATCTGTGGTCAAAAATAGGTAAAGGCATCTTTAGCTGAGACTGCCTCCCATGATTGGTAAGCTTGGGCCGATCCATTTTTATGAACCTAGTCTTATTATATTGTTAGCCCATAGATTTAGTAGGAAGGAATAAGGAGGATATAAGGGGAAAAGTATTGATTATGCATTGTATGAGTTGATATATGATAATCATGTGTTTGGTGTGTATTAGATAAATGTTTTACTTGTCACTTCACACACTCATATGCTATTTCTGTATGCTCATTAATAGATTATATTATTTGGTTACTGAATCATCAACTTATTCTCATAGTTATGTTTTATAGGTGAAAGTTCCATTAGGGGCAAAGGAAAGGAGAACACTACGAGGATCTAAGGAGTTACTGGGTATAGCTCTTTTCTTGGTATTTGGTGTAACTAAATTGGATATATATTTATATATATTGCCAACTCTAGGATGCATATTGTTTTGGGAGTACTTGCATGATGGATTTTGTTTTTTTAACGTATTTCAACATGAGTTGCTATATATGAAGTGAAAATTTAAGTAAGAAGCTAAAATATTAGTATAAATGTAGTTATTGTATTAACTGTATGCGTATGATTGACCAAGAGATTGATATGCATGATAATTACCACCTTTTTATAAATGTGAAATCTAGGTTTTAATGGTCAATTTGTGTATGGAATGTATCGGATGTTATATAACTATTCAATTAGTTATGTTGTGGCTTATTTAAGTTAGTTCAAGTGATTCTAGAGTTATTGACACTTAGTTGGTAGGTTTGGACACTTTAGGTTTGTTTTGAAAGGAAAAGAGGATAATTTTATGCCCAAGTATCTGACTTTCAAATGGTAAAGTGTTTGATTGTGAAAATGATGTCAATACCTAGATAGCTTAAAAAGTTATGTATGGCTACTTGAATTGCTCGAATTGAATGTAATGGCAAAATGACATACTCTGGAAGTTAGCCTAGAGGCTGTCATGACATTAATAATGCACCGCGGTGTAGGGTTTGTGTATCATGACACACTACACAACAAGAGGCTTCCTTCTCTGTGCTATCCGCCGTAAATGACATATGTGTTGCAATGGATAATGCAATTTGAGAAATGTCCAAATTACCTCTTTTGATTATTGTATGTGACAATAATTGTTTTATGCTTCTGTTATTTCTGTTTGTATGTTTTAAATTATGGTTTGGCTCAAATATTTTCAAAAGGGTTTCTTAGGATCCTAACTTTTAAATTATTTTTCTTAAACATTTGTGTTATAATAACCTAATATAAGGAATTAATTAATTATGGTTATTATAATAGTGTTGTGTGCTATGTTTGCTAATGTCAAAGTGAACATTACAAATAGCGCCAAATTTGGTTAGTCTATAATTTAACTGTAAAGATAATCATCAATATTTTTATTTGGATAAATTTTAACATTCTAACTCAACATTTAGGGCTATGGCTCATGTAAGGCCAATAAGATAGTTGCCTTAAGCTAAAAAAAAGTCTGTTTATACCCCATATAACTAGTTATTATTTTTCTCATTAAGTATTAAATTAATTATATATCTTATATAATTAGTCATTTTTTTATTGCTTATAGAATCATTGACAATATTAATAATAGTTGTTTACTATTAAAAGAAGTTTTTTTGAAATTAAAATTATTTAAATCTTATTTAAGATCAACCATGTTACAAAATATTAAATGGACTAACTATATTATATATTGGAAGCAAAATGTTAGAATTACTTGACTATAAAAATTTAATATTTGATTTTGTGCTTGAATATTAAATAATAATACAATAGGCCTCTTAGATAATTTGGCCTCAGGTCCCAAAATCCCTTCACATGGCCCTGTCAACATTCCAAACTTATCAAAATCATAAATTTACTTTTAAACATACCTATTGAATTTACTAAATTCCTTTAGCTCACATTGTTATTAATGAATTATTAAACCATCATTAATGGCCATCAAACACTTCCAACAACCACATTAAATGCCCAATTTTGGCCATTAATGGCCTCCAACAACCAAATACTTACTAACATCCTCTTCAAGGTGTTAACTAAGGTAATTTGGTAAATTTGAATGATTAATGGATTGATGATGTTTTTGGATTACTAATGAGGTT